GATTCTTGCAAAAAGATATCACGAGGGACAACAAATAGAAAGAGACAACTGCTCTAGTCAAACACTGATAAATGAAAATTCCTAGAAAAAAAATCTGATAACTTAAACGGGCAGGTGATCATTTCTACCTCATATTTTTGTGCCCCAAAGTGATGAAAATGCCCAAATTATTGTACCAAAACTTTTAAACCATATAATTACTCTGCCAAACTTAAATTTGCCATCGATAAATGTGGCACAATAAAATCAAATATGGCGAATATTCCCTAGTGTGTAAATTCCCCAAACACTCACGCATAAACGTACGGTATATCTGATAAATCATGTTTATTCATTAATAAATGTATTAGATTTTTTTTCTATACTTTTTTTTGATAAATTTATAAGATCAGAAAAATAGTATCAAATATTTTTCATTTTTACTGTTGATTTAAATAATTATTATTCAAATGCCGGAAAGAAATACTCTCGTTTCATATCCGCAATATAGTTGTCGTCACTATCGCTCATGGCGACAAATTTGATGTAAATCAAGCCGTTTATTGTTCTTCAATGGCAATTTTTATCAAAATTTAATTTTTTTTGTCATACATATTCCTGTTTGGATTTTACTTATTATTATAGATTAGACTTATTCACAAACAATCTTTATATTTATTAAAATTAGTTGAAAAATAAACCTGTATTTACTCTATGTGTAAACTATAGGTACAGTTTTTGTGAAGAATGATTACAGTACACAAGTGTATGAATAGTAAACAAAGAAATATTTTGAAATCTCTCGTGATGTTATGAAATGAAAAATAATAAAATTAAAAAATAATGTTATTATTACTTTAATGAATATTAATACTGTTAATCTTCGTAGATAAATTGTTTATATTAGTAAACAATTAACAAAATGGCTTCTGGCAAAGGAATAATTAATTTAAGATTTAACCAAGATCAAGGTAAGGACTTTTAATTACACGTAACCTTAAAATAAATTTATTGGAGTATTAATTAATGTATTCCTTATTTCCATTAATCATTAGGTTGTTTTACATGTTGTATGGAATCAGGATTGAGAATATATAACGTTGAACCTTTAGTAGAAAAGGCTCATTTTGATCATGATGTTATGGGGAGTATAGCTATTGGAGAAATGTTATGGAGGACTAATATAATAGCAGTAGTTGGTGGTGGTACGAAGCCAAAATTTGCTGACAACACAGTGTTGATTTATGATGATTTATCTAAAAAGTTTGTGATGGAAATCACATTCACTAGTCCTATCAAAGCAGTTAGATTTCGAAGAGACAAGTACATGCTATTTAAAATATATTTATTTTCTATTTCTTTATAATAATGTTTTGACACTTTCAATTCATGGAGATATTTTTATTCCAGATTAATTGTCGCATTACAAAGGGAAATTCATGTATTTTCATTTCCATTTCCTACAAGAAGACTTTTAACTCTAGAAACGCGTGATAACCCTAAAGGTTTAGTTGAAGTGGCAACATTAGCTACTGCTCATAAACAATTGCTTGCCTTTCCTGGGCATAAATTAGGTAGCGTTCAACTTGTTGATTTAGCAGCTACAGAAGCTGGTAGTTCTTCTGCTCCTGCTACACTTGCTGCACATCAAGTAATTTTTTAATATTTATCGTATGTTTAATGAATATTATAAGATAGTTTACTGTGTATTAATGAATTTCAATATTATTCTGAATATTTCCAAATAGGGAGCATTAGCATGTTTAGCTGTTAACTCGAATGGAACTATGGTGGCAACTGCATCAGTACAAGGAACACTTGTCCGAGTATGGGATAGTATAAGACGACAATTATTAGTTGAATTGAGACGTGGAGCTGATCCAGCCACTCTTTACTGGTAAAATCCAGCAGACAAACTGATAGATACATTTAATATTTGTTAAAAAATATTTAACAGTATTATTTTTTTACAGTATAACGTTCAGTAGAGATTCAGAATTTCTTTGTGTATCTAGTGATAAAGGCACTGTTCATATTTTTGCACTCAAAGATACTCGACTTAATCGTCGATCAACGTGAGTTTCGATTTCATTTACATGTTTAATGTCTCATTTATTATTTCGTAAAAAATAAAATTAATTTTTAATGTCAGATTTTCAAAGATGGGATTTCTCGGTAATTATGTCGAAAGTCAATGGGCTTTAGCTACATTTACTGTTCCCCCAGAATGTGCATGTGTTTGTGCATTTGGATCTCGGAATTCAGTCATCGGTAAATTTTACTTCATATTTAATCATATAGATAATTCAGGTTAAATAATTAATTATAATAATTTTATTCAAATTTCAGCTGTCTGTGTAGATGGTACATTTCATAAATACGTATTTACATCCGAAGGTAATTGTAACCGAGAAGCATTTGATGTTTTTCTTGATGTTTGTGATGATGATGAATATTAGTATATAAGGAAAAATAACATCTAATAACAATTGAAATACGTTTATTACTAACTATTATTGATTATCATATTATTAAATTGTTAATATTGTAAATAATTTTTTTAAATAACTTACAAATAAAATATATTTAATATAAATGAATGATATTCTCTTGTTATGAATAATTATTTATCTTTATGCGATTATTTATTTTTGATAAAATTATTTCTACATTATGAGAAATTTAGTTTTGAGCTTTTTTATCCGGTAACGTATAAAGCTTAGCCTTTTCTCTTATTTCCTCTACAAAAAAATATAGCGAGGTAACATTCAATATTTGGCTTTAAATATGTTAATTAATAAATATATGATAATATATAAATTACTTACTGTAAGGTGTAGGATCTATCATAGGCGATAGTATTGTAAGATAAATTTGAATTCCAAAAGCTAAAAACAAGCCAGCTCCAACAATAGCATTACGTTTTCGTATTTTGGTTATTTTGATTGATCTACCACGATTTCTGAAATCCATTGTAACTTGAAAAAAAATTTTATTATTGAATGAATCATGTTGTCATTTGTTCTATTTGATACTCACTGTATTTAAATTGTTATTAAAAATAAAATTATAGCTGAATAATAAATATTTATTATTAATTTCATGCCAAAATTAAAGAGTGCATTTTATCATTCACTGTACATTTTTTAGATTGCAATATTATGTACATAGAATCGCGCATGTGAACAGAAGCCAGTTAAAGTTAGGCAGTTAAAAAAAAAATTAAAGTTCTTTGAATTTTACTATGGGATAAATTTTACCCCAATCAAAAAAAAATCATCTTTAATCCTGCTTTATATATTAATATTTGTTTAAATAAAAATTTACCATTTATAACTTAACAGTTAAATTCCTGATTAGAGTAGTAATCAGCTGATGGATGAAAAATCAACATTGCCAACCAAAGGAACCGGTTTGTTTTTGTGATTGGTGTTGATAAGCGGGAGTACATTATTGTAAAATTATGAAACTTTATTTTAAAGAATAATTCATAAATCCATCAGTTAAAAAATCAATGATAACATTTGTTTAATATTAAAATAATATTTTTATATGATAATGTTCAAATAAAAGAAATTTTCTCCATAGAAACTCATATTGAAAGAAAGTCTATAGTGTTAAGAGTATAATTAACAATATAATAATTTGATGAAAATGTTAACTTCCAAACAATTTCTGTATATTGGATTAGCTAGTGGAATTCGATTCCTATTAATTAATTCGGAGCTCCAAAATACAATAAGTGAAAGGGTAGAAATTTCAACCGCATTAAATTCATGGAAGCGAGGTTAGATGAATTTCTTAATTTAATCTAACATTAATGGTATATAGAATATTAAAATAAATTTTTATTTTCTAGTCACTGAAGGTGTTCAACTTAGAGACTTTGGAATAGATCCTTACAGTGGTGATTTATTTCATGAAACACCATTAGGACTTGTTGTTTTTTCTTGGATGCATAAATTTCTATCATTTCAGTCACTTAAAATAATATTTATTATTACTGATTTATTGACAGCCTGGTTTATTTATTTAACAGCTCGAAATTATATTGCTGAAGTAGTAAGTTAAATAATATTACTTATTTAACATTGATTACAATAACTTCATGATGATTTTCAGGCAAAAAAAGAAAAGGAAGATGCTAAAAATTTTGAAGAAAATGAAATTTCCTATACTCCAATAGCAACTACAAGTCAATCGTCAATATTTTATGCTCCAGCTGCATATCTTTTTAATCCTTACATTGTTTTAAATTGTGTAGGATTAACTACAACAGTATTTTCCAATTTAATCACCTCTATGACTCTTTATTTTATGATTAAAAAATCAAAAATTGCTATTGGTTTGCTAATTCCTTTGTTAACTCTACAAAATTTATATCCAGCATCTTTACTTGTGCCTGCTATTATTTTTGTTGTTCGAGATATCAATGACAAGTATCAACGAATTAAAATGATCATGTTGATGATTATAATCTTCATCATTTCTCTAACTGCTTTATTTTATCTTTCATTTAATATTACGGGAAGTTGGAGCTTCACAAAAAATACCATTGGGTTCATTTTGAATGTACCTGATTTACGACCAAACATTGGGCTTCATTGGTACTTCTTCACGGAAATGTTTGAACATTTTCGAGGATTGTTCATTGCTACTTTTCAAATTAATGTGGGATTACTTTATATAGTCCCATTAGCATTGAGGCTACGCAAAGATCCAATGTTACTGTCTTTTGCATATTTATCAATTATTGCAATTTTTAAATCTTATCCAAGTATTGGAGATGTTGGATTCTATATGGCTTTATTACCAATGTGGCAACATTTATTTCGACGTAATGAAATATTTTCATATCAATATTTTATCAATAATCATTGTTGTTATATTTTTGATCGAATAACACTAAGACTTATTTTCAGATATGCAGCAAGGATTTAATGTTGGTTGTTTCATGCTCTTCTGTACTATTTTCGCGCCAACTGTTTGGCATCAATGGATTTATGCTCGTTCAGCAAATGCTAATTTTTATTTTGGAGTTACTCTAGCATTTGCTATAGCACAAATATTTTTGCTAACTGATATATTATTTGCAAGCTGTAAACGTGAAGTAGCACTAAAAAATCGGCTTAATCAAGAAGTTAATGGTCAAAAAGTTAAATTAATATTAGAATAATACTGTACAGTTCCATAATTTTTAATATAATAAAAATTTTTTCTATTATTTGATTGTGATTTTTGATACTGACAATGTTTATCAGTGATAAAAGATCATTCTTCAGAATTTTTTGTAATTTCTAATAACTATTGCATAAGACAAAATTTAAAATGCGCGCATGAAGGAATCGTGCGACTTTCAATCGAACAGAATCGAATTCAAACGAAACGTGGTTATAGGATCGATATTAAAAAATCACATGTGTTTTCATTAGCGGTAGATCTAAGTTGAAACACTAAAGTATTCAAAAAAATATTACAATGAATAAATTCTGTTACCTGTTGTAACTAATTCATAAAATGATACCAGTATTTATCGAAATTAATGTTAGTTTGTAGTTTTAATAATTTTTTAATCTTTAGTGATTAACCTAAAAACTATTTAAAAATGTCTACAACAGAAGAAGAAAATCCACAAACTTTGAAATTAACGAGAAATACTTTTTTTTCATCAATGATAGTAAGTTACTGGAATCTTAAATAAATGATATAAATAATCATTTTCAAAATTTATTGTTATGTAGTCTGGTGCAGCAGCCGGGCTTGTATGTGATTTTATATTTTTTCCTATGGATACTATTAAAACAAGACTTCAGAGTCAACCTGGTTTTATTAAATCTGGAGGATTTAAAAAACTTTATAAAGGTCTTGGTCCAGTGATTGCTGGATCGGCACCAACAGGTAAAGTCCATTAAATAATACCTTCAACAAAGAATCTTTTTTTACAGTAATTATTTATTAGCAATAACGACCCGTTTAAAATTTACTGGCAATATATTTGTTAGCATCGCTGTTTTTCGTAACTTATGAAGGCTTCAAAGAAGTAGTCCAACCTCATGTTCCAACTAGACATCACACATTTGTTCATATGGGAGCAGCATGTGTAGGAGAATTGGTAAGAAATCTATAAATTCCGATAACTCTATAATGAGAAGTTTAAGTAAATAATTATCCTCAAGGTTGCTTGCCTTATTAGAGTACCTGTTGAGGTGCTTAAACAACGTAGACAAGCTTTATTAGCCAATTCAAACCCTGCGGCTCTAGGAATACGAACACTATATCGAGGCTATGGAAGTACTTTATTGCGTGACCTTCCTTTCGGGTTTTTTCAAATGCCTTTATGGGAGTATTTAAAATTATGTTGGAAAAGAAGAATGCAGAGGGATTGTACTCCTTTTGAAGGAGCTGTTGCTGGTGCTTTGTCGGGTAATTATTATCCTACTGCTTAATCAAACAAAAATGTCTAATGATATATAGACAACAGAGTTGTAAATAATTTTAATTCAATCATTTACATCCACAGTTACTATATCAGCTGCAATAACAACTCCACTAGATGTTATAAAAACAAGAATTATGCTTGCACATTCTGCTCAAAAAAAAGTTAAGATTTTTATGACCATGAAAGAAGTATACAGAGAAAAAGGAGTTAGAGGGTAATTTTTTGTTAGCTTTTTAGAGTTTTCCTATTTGAAATATTATCAATTCAACGTAAAATTATGTTTTTAGATTATTTGCTGGCTGCTTATTGAGAGCTGTTGGGTTTACAGCAGGAGGTTTTATATTTTTTGGAATTTATGAACAATCAAAGTATATTTGCTCAACATATTTATTTCCAAGTCCGTCAACTGAATCATCATGAATGCATAGTTTCTTGCAATGAATTTTCGAATCAAACTTCTAGTCGATAAAGTTATCCAGAGCACAATTAGATTTTAATCAATCAGCTAGTTTGAATTTAGGTCATATCTGACCTATCTCTTTTAAAAGTAAATAAATGTAAATAATTTAATACTTTGTCAATGTTTATACACAAAGTAACAATTACATTAACTTTTTAATGTACATCACAAATAAAAGTATTTAAGTATATATGTTAAATTTACGGATCTGAAAATAATTTTAGAAAGTCCATTCATTTTGGTAACTTTCTTAGAACTCAAAAAAATTCAATATCTTTATGAGTGTTTAATATTTTATCAGTGAATTACAAATATTCGAAAAATAATTATATTAGTACTGTTTTATGAATACATAAATATATGATTATCTTTGCTGAGAAAGTATTACGCTATATTACGTAAAATATAAAAATATAAAAACATATGCAATCGAGTAATTAAATCATGTTAAGTCTTTCCACAACAATGTTTTTTTTTATTATTGGATAATACTGATAAGTTAATTGTTTTTTCAATTATAACATTCGCGGGGTTTGATGCATAATCTCTGGCTATCTCTTGAAATAATTGAGCTAAAATGTGTAAAATAAAATAACAGAATGAAAGTTAATTAACACGAAATTACTACATATCAATTATTAAAGTAATATAAATTAATATAATAAACAATATTGTGTAGTGGTACAAGTGTATGTACTTACCAACATTTTCTCCAGTTTTACTGGAAGTAATAAAAAATTTTGAACCTATTCCATCAGCATATCTTTGAACCATCTCTAAACTGGGTGATGGTTCATATGGAGTAGGAGTCTGATCATTATCAATGAGATCTTTTTTTGTAGCACATAAATAAATTTTACATTCTTCTTCTTGACTTCTTAATTCTTGTATCCAAACTCTAGCACGGTTAAAAGAGGCTTGATTTGTGATATCATAGCATACAATTGCAGCTTTTGCATCACGATAATAAATTCTTACCATAGCATTATATCTAATGTTTAAAATAAGTATAATTTGAATAATAAAAAATTGATTATTCATTATTTGATTTCAATTCACTACCTTTCAGTACCAGCAGTATCCCATATACCCAGAGTGATAGTTTTATCATCAACTTCTACATTTTTAGCTGCGTAAGCTGCACCAATCGTCTATTAATTAAAGAAATAATTGATATTTTGATTAGCAAAAATTTTAAATGACAATTAAACATAAATTTTAATTTACATTTTGGTAAGCCATACTCTCGTTGAATCTTTCGTTGACATATCTCTCTAGCAAACTCGTCTTTCCAACCTCAGAATTTCCTAACAATACAACCTTAAGATCAACTCGATTCATTTTTTTTAGAATTTATATCATATGTTTTATATTTCATATATAGATGAAAAATAAACTGGATAAGTATTTTTATAAACAAATTATTTTAAGGTTATATTAATAAATTTAAACTTTAAAAAAATAATTATAAAAAATGTTTAAGAATTAATTAAAATAGATATCAGATGATACTAGAAACATAGTTCAAACAATAAATTTTAAAAGATAATTGAAAATGTTTCAACACATTTTAGATGAGATCGAATCATTGCAATGAATGAATTGTTTGATGCATGACTCATGTCATGTGACTAATGTATACATTTATTATTATTTTTTCGTTCTTTAATTCGTGCACATATATACACGTAGGTACTGGTTTTTTCATTATATAAATACTATTATAAATTTTATGTTATTATTAGTCAATTTATTTAGTTCAAGTAAGAATCAGACAAGTCATGTTAATTTTCACAAACCTTCTGAACTTTATTTTATGCTATTTTATCCACTTTTATTAACTTTATTTTACAATAAATAATTTTAAGTTTGTAACGTTATTGAATCATGGTATCATATTGAGAAATTATGTAATGGCAACAGATTATTTAATCTATTTAGCTTTTCCTTGAGCAGCTACTGCAGCAATAGCAGCTTTAACTGTTTCTTCATCTCCTAAAAATTTCATGGATACGACTGGTTTGAAGTTTTCATCCAACTCATAAACAAATGGAATTCCTGTAGGTAAATTAAGTCCCATTATCTGATCATTGGTCATTTCTGAAAAAATAACAATGCGTCAATATTGTAAAAATATCATAATTTACACGGTTCATAACATAAAACCTTATTACTAGAAAAATTCATTGTTATCTCAATGAAATAAAATACATACGATCAAGATGTTTGACAATTCCTCTCAAACTGTTACCATGGGCAGCAATAATAATCCTTTTACCCTCTTTCAAGTGAGGAATAATAACATCATTCCAATAAGGAAGTGTTCTTTCAATAGTTAATTTAAGAGATTCGAATTTTGGAAATTCTTCAGGCTTTGGTCCATCCTTATAACGTTCATCTTTGACGATGGTTTCATAATACTTATGATCAGGTTCCATTGGAGGAGGTGGAGTATCAAAAGACCTTCTCCAGATCTGAACTTGTTCTTCACCGTATTTAGCTGCTGTTTCTGCTTTATTCATTCCAGTTAATCCACCATAATGACGTTCATTTAATCGCCAAGTCTTATGAATGGGAATGTTTTCTTGATTGATTTCTTTCAAAATAGTTTGAAGAGTAACTTGTGCTCGTGTTAAAACGGATGTATGAGCTTCATCAAATGTATAACCGGCATCTTTAAGAGCTTTTCCAGCGGCTACAGCTTCACTTTTTCCTATAAAAAAATTGTAATAATATTATTTGATTGACAATCAGATATACATTTATTAGTTTTAATGTTAATGTTCACATCATAGTCATTTAAACAATTGATTGAAAGATTCATTCAAATTTCGTATATGACCTTTTGCCCTTGATACTTCAAGTTAGTACATTTATAAGATTTCTCACCTTTATCTGACAGTCCTGCATCATACCAGCCACAAAATAAATTCAATTTATTCCATTCACTTTCACCATGACGAACCATAACAATTTTGTATTTAGCCATGATTGTTTTAATTATTTTTGCTTGCGAAAATAAAACCAACGAGCTTGCTGTCGGATATTGTAATAATCAGCTGTGATGAACAAATGCGATTTTAAATATACTAGGAATTTTTTTTTATTGATTTCTCAAAAGACAACAGAAGCGCTCGCTACAGGTTAAAAGCCAAATCATATGTTTATCTTACCGAATTTGTTTACCATTCACGAATAAGTTTCTCACTAGTTTATCAACATTCTTTTCGGAATAGAGTGTATGTATTGATATTTAAATAAACGTAACTTGTAAAAGTTAATGGTGTATTTTTCTACGACACACTTTTAAAATAAATCGCAGTTTTTTTTTAATTCATAAATAATACAAATAAACCGTTTGATAGGAATATTTTTAGACATGCCTTATCATGGTAGATTCTTCAAGCTAAGTTATATGTGCCTGCACCATAAAATTATACCAATCACAATGAGCAATCGAACTTTATCTACAATATTTCAATTTTCAAGAAATTTTTGTACCACAAGACTACAAGAAAAAAGGTAAATTATGTTCTTATAAAGATTATTAAATAATTTGTTAATTTATGGACAGTAGTGTTAATAGGTCAATAAGAAAAATAAAAAACGAAATTAATTGTTTTATATATCTTGATAAGATATGCTTATTATGTAATTATTATGTAAAAAAAAAATTAATAAACAAAAATTTATCTATTTAGATTTGTACAATTTATGAATAAAAATGGTGGTCCTCAGCACCTTGGAGTTCAGTTGAAACCTGGTGGTGATATTATAGCAATCTCTTCAATAGATTCTAGAATACCAAATAGCTTAAACAAGTTTCTTGAAGGTGGAGAAGTGTTAAAAAAAAAAGCTAAAAGGTAAACTACTCTAATAAAGAATATACACAGGATATACATCTTTACGAATATATATTTTTTTGGAGTAAATTCATACTTGAACAATTATGACAATATTATGTTACTTTTTTTATAGTTAATTTAAAAAGAATAAAAACCTTGTACTTGTAGAATTTTTTTCGTTCCTCAGGAATGGTGATTCTGACGTAAATGATATCATACAGAGGTTGGTGTCGGCATGTCCAGACCCCCTACTTGCTTGTTTTGGATTTTTAATTCAATTAAATAATTAATTTCATAGATAAGCAGTACTAAACTAATTTTTATTAGATTTATTTCCTTTTTAATTATGATAAAATCCTTTTTAGTTGAAATAAATTTATCAATTATCGCATTTATTAACTATAAATATTTTCTTTTATAGAATTATTGTTGAAGGTCGAAGTGTTGTTCCTGAGTCAGAAGTGAAAATTTTAGAGCCTATCAGTGGAATGGATAAATTGCTTTGCGTTGGACTTAATTATTCTGGTCATTGTCAAGAACAGAATGTTGAACCACCTCAAAGTCCAGTCATATTCAGTAAATTTCCCAGTAACATTATTGGACCTACAGACAATATTGTTTTGCCAACTATTTCTAACGTATGTTACATGAATGTTATATAGTTGACATTCTTTACAAATTATATAAAATAAACGTCTAATCAAATGATTGTAGAAAGTTGATTGGGAAGCTGAGCTAGCAATAGTGATTGGAAAGAAATGCAAAGGCTTAAATAATCAGGATGCTGAACAATGCATTTTTGGTTACACAGTGGCTCAAGATATTTCAGCTCGTGATTGGCAAAAAGGAAAAAGAAATGGTGGCCAATTTCTTCTTGGTAAAGCCATGGATACATTTTGTCCACTTGGACCAGCTGTAGTAACAAAAGAATCAATTTGCGATATTAACAATCTTTTTGTTAAGACGTGGGTTAATGGAAATTTAAAACAAAATGGTAATACCAGTGAGCTAATTTTTAAACCTCAAGATATAGTTGCATTTATTTCACAGTGAGTAGCTAAAAAAATAACTGGCAATGATAATTCATTCTTGTGTATTTATTTCAATATTTTAATTTCGCTTTTTTAGATTTATGACTTTATTACCAGGAGATGTTATTTTAACGGGAACTCCAGCAGGAGTTGGATTTACTCGAAACCCTCCTGAGTTTTTAAAGGTAATTAATTTAATATTTTCATAATTCAAGCTTAAGTTAAATTATTCAATAATTTTAATTACTGTTAATAGGCTGGAGATATTGTTGAAACAGAAATTGAAGGAATTGGAAAAATGAAGAATCAAGTAATATAAAAACATGTATTTCATACAACTTATATGTTTATATATGTAATGAGTTTTGAAATATTAATATTATTATTTTACCAACTTTTGTATTATAATAATTAATTTTGAATATTGAAAAAATTTGAACATTTAACTTTTATTTTTATATTACGTAAGAAAAATATCTATAATTATCGTATAAATATGCAGTAAACATGGAGTTTTTTTAAAAATACTCCAATCATGTTTAAATATGCATATGAATTATTTGACATTCTTTGTAAATTAATAAACGGTTGTAAATCATCAATAAATACAAATCATACGATGATATCTTCAATTCAAAATATTCGAAATTCATTGTGTGTTAATATTCATCAATCAAGAATATTAATATTCTTATTTTTTTTAAAAATATTTAGCAATTTTTATTATTTTTTTCAATTTTTCCCACACTTTTTCAGATGGCGCTTAACTGTTGTTCATAGCCTAGCGAAATTATGTATATTTTGGCTGACTTGACTATACCTAACGACAACATCAAAAAGCCCCTATCCATAGTCTAAGGTCATTTGCTATGGTAACAGACATGCGCAATAGGTAAACAATCATTGGAAGAATAAAATTATAGGGGAAGGGGCTCTTAGAGTGAAATCCAATGTCGACTCTTATCTGAGTTTGACGTTGGCTTGTGTTTATTTCATCACTTTATACTACTTATTTCATGTTCATTGACGTTGACTCTGGTTGGTTGTTCTTTCTAGTTTTTCGTGATTCTCTTCTTTTTCGTCGTCAAGTCGAAGTCAGTTCATCACAGTTCAAGACTGCCCCTCTTCATCCAGATTCTACGGCATTTTACGGCATTCAAGTTTACAAAGGGGAAGAAAATGTCGGTGCGTTGGTGGGGTCTTATGTGCCACTAGTGACTTTCGCCAGACGTTTTGTCCGTATTTCATCCGTGTCTCATTTTATAGGCAGTGTTCCCGACATATTTTGGCATTGGCTGGGGCTTATAATTTTACGCAGCCTTACGTTTCATCAAATTCGTAAATTAATTCTGTAAGTGTATGAAAAAGTATTATCTATCAAGTGTTACAATAAATAACAAAAAAGTTCTCGAACGGATGAACGGATTTATAAATTTACAATAGACTAGTTGAAAAAAAGTTTTATTGTGGATTAATTACAACTATTTTCTTCAAACAATAATCATTGATATTTAAAACAAAGTTAAAACGATTATTAATAATATAAGTTTAACGGGCCCAGAGCCACACCAAGAACGACGAGAAGAAAATTGAGTTGTGTGAGTGAATGTACGCGTGAGCAAGAGAAAAATAGAGAGATTGAGAACGAAGAGTGAGAGAAGGAGAGAACGAACAAAAAGAAAGTATTGGTGCTGTGGGTAAGAGAGAGAGAGAGAGAGAGAGAGCGCGCGAGAGAGAAAGAAAGAGAGACAGATAGGGAGCGAGAGCAAGAAAGAAATAGTATTGAAGAGAGTGTATTTATTAGTGCTTGGCTGCCTAGAACGGGATTACTTTTGAAGACGGCATGGCGATGATCGGTGCTGTTCTCGGGAAGAGCGAATTTATTGTTGGTGGAAAGTACAGGCTCATGAGAAAAATTGGGTCGGGTTCTTTTGGTGACATATACTTGGGCATTAACATTTCTAATGGAGAGGTGAGAATATTATTCATTTGATAATTTTAAATACCTACACATTTCAATTTTACTCAACCTTTTTCTTTTCTTTCTTTATCACTCTTATCTGTTTATAAATTTACACAAATTAATCATTATATTTAAAAAAAAATCATTTTTCTGTTGTTTATTTTATTCTGACATAAGTATTAATATAAACAAGGAATCTAGTAAACATTGATTATTAAATGGTATACTTTTGTCCATTTTAATCATAGGAAGTGGCTGTCAAATTGGAAAATATACGAGCACGTCATCCACAATTGCTTTATGAATCGAAATTATATAAAATATTACATGGAGGCATCGGAATTCCCCATATTCGCTGGTAAATTAAATTTTTATTTTATAATTTATTACTTAATTGTGATATACTATAATGATAAAAATTGAAATGATTAATTCACGAATAAAAGATAATTAACGATTTTATGCATAAAGAAAAATTCTAAAGTTGTGCTCGTTTACTATTAAAATAAATATTAGTTGTGACGATAATGATTATTCCACTTTAGGTATGGACAGGAACGTGATTGGAATGTCCTAGTAATGGATCTTCTCGGTCCATCACTGGAAGATCTTTTTACATTTTGTTCACGAAGATTCACAATTAAAACAGTACTGATGTTAGCTGATCAGATGATTGGCCGAATCGAATTTGTGCACTGCAAACATTTTATTCATAGAGATATTAAGCCAGATAACTTTTTAATGGGTATCGGCCGTCACTGTAACAAAGTAAGCTAATTAGTATTATTTATTTCATCAAGTAACATGTGTATATACATATGCATATAAATAATGAATGTTTTAGTTATTTATTATCGACTTTGGTCTGGCAAAAAAATATCGGGACTCTCGTACTAGGTGTCACATAATCTATCGTGAAGATAAAAATTTAACTGGCACTGCAAGGTATGCATCCATAAATGCACACCTTGGTATTGAACAGAGCCGTCGTGATGACATGGAGTCATTGGGATATGTTCTTATGTACTTTAATAGAGGATCACTTCCTTGGCAAGGTCTTAAAGCTGCTACGAAAAAACAAAAATATGAAAAAATTAGTGAAAAGAAAATGTCCACACCTGTTGAAGTTTTATGCAAGGTATATAATTGAAGCAAATTTTGATATATTTAACTAAATTGGATTATTTTTAATAAGTTAAAAAATTAATTTATGTTTTGTTGTCTTAGGGTTTCCCAGCTGAATTTTCGATGTATATAAATTACACAAAAGGATTGCGTTTTGATGAAAGTCCAGATTATATGTACCTGCGTCAGCTCTTCCGAATTTTATTCCGCACGTTAAATCACCAATATGACTACACTTTCGATTGGACGATGTTGAAGCAAAAAGCAGGAGGTACCCTCGTTGGTGGAGTATCAGGAGTCACGAATACATCGGTTCCTGGACAAGGTCAGCAGACAACAGCACAGACAAGCGCACAAATCGATCCGTTCGGGGATATGTCTGTTACTTAGATTTTTGACTTTTTTTTCACTTTCTTCAATCGGGTATTCTTTTTCTTTTTTCAACTCATCTTCTGTTTGCTAAAATTTATACAGAAATCTTATTATTACTTTTTTTTATTCTGTATCCAATTTATTTCTATTTATTAATCATTTTATTATTGATTAATCGTATTTTTAATTAATACTATTCTTCAATTTCTTTTATGATCTACTCTATCACCAAATTTCGTTAATCTATCCAAAAATGATTCCAAATACGCTGTTAAATGAACTTATAGATAAATTTCTGAATTACATTTAATTAATTGATCCAATCGAATTCGGAATTATCAAAATATATGTAAATATTCCTTTGCACTTATAAATATGCTGGGATTCATCTAATGTGTAATTTATTAATAATTATAATAATTATATAGTTTAAATTGTACAAGTAAACCAATTTCATCAAATATTCAAATTAAATCCATATTTTTTGTTTAACACAATGGTTTCTTGATGAAAAAGTTACAACGCAAATATTGCGGCATATAGTTGAATCAACTACCAAAAATAAAATTATTTTTGTTGAAATAAAATCAGTTTTATTTTCAAATTCAAGTAAAAATTCATTTTGTGATTGTTCTAAACTGTTGATTCATATAATTTTCCGAATTGCATTAGATAGCTTAAAAGTTATTTTTATTAAACCTCATTTCGAAAAAATAAAAATAGTTTCTCACTATAAAAACAGTAATAACTATCGTTTTACACATAGATCAATGAAATGAATCTTTTTCTGTCTTTCTTCTATAAATATCAATTGAATGCCGACATCTTATTCTGGGCTCGTTAAATTTTATTGTTATCGAAACTATTTTAAAATATACTTTAGAATATGATAATCATAATAATATATATATATAAATATATTATTGTTGTAAAATAATAAATTCTAAAACAATTCAAATATTCTAAGTATTTTAAATTATAAAAGATTATTTTTTAATAGATTCGATAGCAAAATATCTATAAACATCGTTTATAGAATAACATATGTTATGATTAATAGCTTATAATTAATGGTATGTGATTAGGACGTCTCTTCGAATTTGTTACAGGAGCACCTTAAAACACTCTAACTCCGTGATAGCATCAAACTCGAATGCGATCGCTGTGGTATCACGATGATCATGATATAACCCAATTAACCGTGCAAGTCCTGTCTCAAGTGCAAACAAATCACTAAGACTCGAGAAGATCATTCAAGGAAGCTAGAATAAACAATGTTACAAACATTATCATCACAAATTAATAATAGTAATAATGGATAAATAAATGAGTAAATAAATAATAATAATATTATTAATAATAATAATAATAATGATAAAATACAAGTTGGATTAAGAACCTTCAACGGTTGAAAACTACAATAAAACAATATAATTGACACGTTTTTTGTCTTGACAAAATTTTGATTTATGAGGCAATAGACGTGTTAATATTATAAACAATAAGATTGAAATTTTCCCTGCCATTAATTCACACTAATAAGTATCATCATCATACTTTAGTTGATGGATAATGGACAGAAAAAAGATTCATGCATTAATTGATTGATGAAGTCAATGAATTAATTATATTGTACTCAATATATTAAATCAACATTTTTTTTTTTTTGTTTGATTTTTTATAAAGACGTAAATATGGGATTTTGTATAAGTATTTTAATTAATTTTTTAAGTTATCGAAATTACTTTACATACCATAAAACTTACTTTAATAATAACTTCATAGTTATATATTGTATTAATAACTGACAGATATTTTCAACGTTCATATTACTAATGAAATTTTTTTCATACATACAGTTTTATTAAACTATGATTTCAAATGAAAAATCATTATAGTTTGTTTTTAGGAGTTAAGAAGTTCAATATATTTTTCATTATTGAATTTTTAATTGACTTGATCAAAATCAATTAAAATAATAATAATAATTTCGCGTCATCAAAGTGTTATGTAGCAAGTGATGCTATATAAAAACATTTTATTTGTTATGTTACATTCTCACTAAATTGGCTGAAGTTCATTAAAAATATTTTTTCTGATGGCTGATCGTTCTGTTTCTTATTCATAGATGTAATAAAATTATTATAGTAAGTTTAAGTTAATTATAACAGTTTATAATTTTTAATAGACAGGACAGAATCAGTCACAAATAAGAAGCTACAGTGATAACATTCAATTGTTAATGATCAGAAAAAAAAGTGCAGAAGTGGGGATCAAAAATGATTGAAGATAAAAGATAAAGCCTTTCATTATTGGATATTCAATAAAATAATATTTACATATTTCAAAGTAATCGAATAATAAGAAATAAAAAAAGAAAAGGAAAAATTTAGTCATAAGCAGACTTAATAAAACGGAATTATGAAGTATGGATACGGTTTATTCATTAAATATAAAATAATAATAAGTAATATTAATGAACTAGCTTAAGAATGATAGTGTGAATGTTCAGTTATTTTATGTCTATTGTCTGATTAGATTTATGAATGTGTAGGTAAAAATGAAAATTCAATATTAGTGTTGAAATGTATGTCGGCTGATATCTTTAAACTTTTTGAGAATGGATAAAAAAAATCAACTAAACAAACGATAAATGTCATTGATATAAAGTATGAATGCGTATGGGTATTATTACGAAAGTGTGACACTAACTGAATTCTATGTTATTCCTTAATAAACGAACATGTAAAAGGGTATAATTGACCCAAAAATTTTATCGTTTATTTAATTAATCTTTTTTCGTCTCTATTAGGAAAATAAAGACATACTATTATACTGTATATATTTTATTTAAAAGTATTTTATTTGCATAATCTTCCCGTCATATTAAGTTACATTAATTCAATTTATTATCGACTTTTAGTTAAATGAATATATATATATTTTATCTATAAAATAATATTTAATTTTTTAAGCTTACTATTTTTATATGTAAGGAATATGAAAACGATAATTACTCATAATTAATTGCCAATAATATTTATAATAAAAAAATCAAAATGATTTATTAATAGCATAAAAGCGAGTGAACTTTTCGTAGATCATGAGTGTTTACATTAACAGTGTGTATTTGTGATTGTCCATTATGTGGAATATCAATTTGTGCTGTTAGAAGTCCGGATTTTTCTTTCATTGCTGAAGCCATTTCACGATTTGGAAATAGTGAAAAGTCTGTTGATGCTTTTCCACCAGCTGTTTTTCTTATCCTTATTTGATACAGTTGATTCTGAAAATCATTCAATTAATTGTTTAACGCATTTACGAAAGTGCTTTTTGTTTTATCAGTTAAAGAAGAGTATAATAATGTTTAACATACTATCAATTCTTGAGAACGTTGAGTCAAATCTCGAATCCTGATCTGTTGCTTGACTAATTCATACGCAGGAATGACTCTTTCGTTCTCTACAGATTTTAATCCACGAGTTAAATCAGGAACTGTTGAATACGCAATTATACCTTTCAAATCCTGTAAAATGAAATTTTAGATATAGTTATTGGAGGTTTTTTTAATTTAAATACACATAAATTCAATATTACCTTAAGTAATTGCAGTCGTTTTTCTTGTAAAGTTACAATATCAGAATCAACATTATTTTGATCAATTGAAACAGGTAATGGCTCTAATGAATTCAATTTATTTCTAAGAGTTTCAGAAGCATATTTACTCTTTAATCGATTTACATTAGCCAAAGCTTCCTTTAATATAGATATTTCTTGGACTAATAATTTATTATCAAAAGTAATTGGTATTCCAGCAAGTGAATTATTGCCATCACCACCGCTAGACAAACTCATAGCACTTTCTGACATTGGACCTGACAGTGGAGTACCAGCAGGAGTTGCTGCTTTTTTGCCAAGGGATTTTAGTTTTTCTTTCAATTGTCCTCTCTCTGTTTCTAAACTGTCAATGTCAGTTTGCAAGTGATCCATTGTTTCTTCAAATTCTTTTTCTTTTCGCTTTAATTGATTTTGTGCTTCATCTAATTTTCTTTTCAATTTTTCAACGGTCAGTTCATTTTCGTGCTGTTGATTAGCAAGTCGTTTTTCTGCTAATTCTTTTCGCAATATCATTTCTGAAAGTTCTTCTTGTTTTTCACGAAGTGTCAGTTTAATTTCTCGTATATCAACATCCCTTGTTTCTAGTTTTCGTGCAAGAATCTTAGTTTCCTCAAGTTCTTTTCGTGCTATTTGTGCACGTAATTGTATTGGACAAATAACTTCTTTGTTACCATCACCTGATGGCTGAATTTGAATTTGTCCAATGGCAATCTCATTTTCGCATTCTGCCATTTTTTGTGCTACTTCAGTTGCCATTTCTTGTAAAACAACTACACTTGCTTTCAAAGTAGCAACTGGTCCTAAATCATCTGTATCATAAATTTTTTCACTGGATATCGCAGCCATTTCTTTAAGTTTGTTTGCACTTAATCCAGTGTCTAAGTCTCCATTAGTAATAATAGTTTGAATAGCAGTTTTTAACAAATCTTGGAAAGTTTTTGTTATTTTAACTGCATGTTGATAAGTATTTATGAATTTTTCAGACCAATTTTTATCTAAACCAATATTTATTCTACTATTCGGACCTTGATCACGCGGCACTCGTCTTCTGGCTGTATTTAAATTTTGTTGAATCACTTCACAACTTGTTTCAATATGTTGACACACTAAACCTATTATGAGAAAAAATATTTAAAGTAAAAATATCAAAAAAATGAAAATAAAACTGATTGTATGATCAATAAAATATTTACCTATATCACCACTCATATCTCCATCTAAAAGAGTTTTTATTGCAATAGCTTGAGTCGTAATAGCATCACAAAAACTGCCAAGTGTTCTTGTTCCATTAATAACCATCCTGCATTGATTAGCCATAAAACTATCACCAAAAAGAACTGAAAGCATTGTTCCGAAATAAGCACAACATTTCTCAATAGCTTCCAGAGAAATGTTTTCATCGAGTTGATCTTTTTTAGCAAGATAAATTAAAGAATCTAAAGATTTTTCTTGAGCTGCCATTTCTGGATAAACTGCTCCAACTTTGAGTAATACTTCTGGTGTGCAAACTTGAAGTGTGGATTCAAAAGCTCCAAGTGCTGTTTGTAATGCAAACATATGACCACAAAGATGAGATCTAAATATATACTGTGCAATTGAATGGCCTTTAACCAAAGACGATCTATCAATAATAAAAAGAAAAATATAACATCAAAGTTTGAATATAGAAAATGTGAAATAATGTATTTTTCAAAGCTATCTTACCTGTCAACTTTATCGATTGCTTGATATTTGTCTCTCACTTGTGATATCAATATTTCAGTTTTTCGAATCATTCGTGGTATTAACAGAAGCGTCATAATAGCATCATGATCGCTTCCGCGTGCTAAGAATGCAGGTGGCATAAATGAAAGTAAATATTTTACATGAGAACGAGCTTCTTCTGCATCTAATCGTCGTAATTCAAGATCTACAGCTTTAGTTTGTGCACGAGTTTCAGCAAAAGTCTTTTGGAAGTCCAAAATTTCAGCGAGTTGTTGTTCCGCACCTCGAGTACCACTTTGTATTGATTCTGTTGATTGTACACGATTCTTCAACTCTTGCAGTTCTGTTTGTAAGTGACTAGTTAACTCTCGGAATTTAGCAATTGTCATTTCTCGATCTGCTAATGTCTCTAGTGCTGCATCTCGATGGCGTTCGGCATCACGAGTTTTACCAAGAGCAAGATCTAAATCTTCTCTTAACTCCAATTCTACCTCTTTCAATGATTCAACCAGCTGATCTGACGTATCTTGAAGAGCTTCAAGATCAGATACAGCTTCTTCTAATTCAGCAACACGTTCTTCAAGTGCCATTTTCTTCTCACTTAAAGCTTCTACCATTTCTTCAGCACCAAGAGCCGCATCAACTTGTTCTTGTAGATCAGCTATTTGATGACCCATTTCTTCTACTCTGGCAGATAATTTTTCTTTCGTTCTTCGCAATTCTAATATTTCTGACTTTTTCTGATCTAAATCTTTTTGAAGTTTCTGGTATTCGTGTTTTTCATGTGCCGATAAATCTCGCATTTTTACTAGAGTTTCACGAAGACGAATATTTTGCTGCTCTAATTGTTTTACTTCGTAAGTAGAAGGTCCTGTTCCATTACTACTAGTACCATCACTACCGAGCTAAATGACGTATGAATTGATTTTTTAAAAATATATACAAACAAGTTAAATTAAGTAAAATAAATAATTGAAATAATTATTTACCCTCTCTGACATTTCATTACGTAGAATTTCTAAATCAAGTGTTTTTTCTTCTAATTTTTCTTTTAATTGTTCTAATTCAAGTTGAAGAGTTTCCGCTTTCTCTTCAGCCATTTCTTTGTCAAGAGTTGCCATTTCAACTGTTTCAGCAAGATCTGCCATTTCTTCTTGATATGACCCTTTAGCAAGCTGCGCTTCACGTAGCTCTTGTTTTACTCTTTGAAGTTCTCGCTGGAGACTTGCCTTAATAGGATTATAACGTATGATAAATTATTCATTTCTCATGTTTATACATTTTAAGTTGAAAGATATTACTCACTTGACTTTCCATCACCTTTGATTTAAACTCTAATAGCTGGTCTAATTGAAGTTTGGTTTTTTCAAATTCCTTCATTTTTTCTTTGTCTTGCAGTCTTTTAGTTCGTAATAATTCAAGTTTCTCATTAAGATCCATTACCTAGTTATACAAGTTATATTTATTGAATACATTGATTTTTATAATTGATGACAAATAGTGAACAGGCTAATTATAAATACCTGTCCTTTCAAATTTTCATTCTCTTGAAGTAATTGCATATGATTAAGTTTTTCTTCAACATTACCACTAGCAGACACTGTGCCACTTGATGCTGATGATATTATTGAACCAGTCATGGATTGGCCAGGTACAAAATTTGGTTTTAAGGTTTCCACAAAACCAGTCTAAATCAATAACATGTAAACTATTAATATACATACTGGTTAACTTATCTTTTCAAGACAAAAATTTACAGTGTTACAGTAATTGATTGATGATATATTGATAATTTAATGATTGGAGAAAAATAAAATTAAAAAGTACTTGATGAAGTAAAAAAAATATTGATAATGAATTCACCCCTAAACATTGATGAAACGTGAATTGATAGTTCAAATGGTCCTTAATGCACTTTGCTTGGAAAATTATTAAAGAGGTCAGTTAGTCAAACTAGTCCTGTAGATTGAAAGGATAGTGTTGAATGAACATTCTGAATATTGAAATAGATAAAAGAATGACAATGAGCTAGCATGAATCAATTTGAATGTAATAATTATTAAATTATGTATTATACATAAATATGGCTGAACGAGTTTTAAGTATGAACAGTAATGATAGTTAATTACATTATTGCGATCGTCTTGGGCCTCGTACTTTTTGGCAGGAGACGAGCTCGTGCTAGGGGCTTTCTGAAACACGTATGTGTTATATTTATACATTTTTAAACGGATTTCATGCTTTAATGTGTACTTTTTATTGCTTTATGAATACCTTTATTACCTATAATTAGTAGGTAGATTGTAATAAAAATTTAAAAAGTTTTCATCAATGATATGTAAGCCCATTAATCAATTTTTTTTTTTAAAGGAAATATTACGTCTTGTCACAGTCTAGGTATTTTTTACAATACGAACAGGTGACAACAGTATAAAGAAAATAAAATAAAACAATTCGATGGTATTGTTACCTCCACAAAAGATGATCGTTTGACAGACATTGGAATAGGAATTCCTGATTCTCCGATATCTTTTCGGTCATGTTGTGATCCAGTAAGACTTTCAATACTTGGAGCACTCAATTGAGTTCGACTACCAGCTAATGAAAGTCTCGAACTGTAATGAAAAATGCAAATTTACAAATTATTTAATGTTTATAAACTGGTAATACATAATTGAATAAAAGATAAATTCATAAAACAAACAAAACAAAATTTGAATCAATTATAGAATTCAACTTTTTAAAATATACCGCAAGTGCCTAATCATCTGTGAGTTATTCATTGAGTACTAGATATTCAAATGTAAAATCGCTTTTTAAAGCTGTAAAATTGATTGCAACTAATAATATTTTGTGGTGTTCTTGAGTGTTCTATTGAAACAGAAAGCACAGTTGAAATGCAATTTCAAGAAGTTTTCTTACCCGGTTATTTTTTCAGTATGTTGTTGAATAACTTGCGCAGTAGATGTTTTTCTTTTGATGCTTTTTTGAGCAGCAATTATACCATTAAAATATGACCATGTTAAAGAGTAATTATTTTAAATATTTTGGGCAGTGTGTGATGAAAAATATGTCAATCGAATGTCAATGAATAGACAATATTCATAATGATAATAATGGCAAAATGATTTTCTTGTCAAATACTTATTATTTGAAATACAATAAATGTAATTTTTTCAATGAAATAATACTATCATCGTCTTAATATTTATATGAGTTAATTTAGGAGTAATAATACTTACGATGTTGGCTCATTTCTCCTGCGTAAGCTTGTACTTATATGAAATTATTCCGTTAGATTTGAGATCAATACAATAATTACAAGTTTACCAAGTGATCGAATAATCATATTGGAAAAAATGTTCTCCCATGAAATGATTGCAAATTATTACGAAATTTGAATATATTAAATTTTACCTAGTTAAACGACTTCTAGCCCTTGCTGCACCAGCATCATCAGAACCGGTATTATTTCCACCTCCAGGACTTGTTGGATCAACCTTGTTTCCTGTGTCATCAATGATGATGATTTGACTCTGCCTAACGAACATTCCATGATTTTCCGCACACTAAAACGAGAAAAATAACATGCTCAATTTCAACTTTGAATCGAATCGATAATGATTTATAAAAATTTCAATTGTTAATGCATAATTTAAACCTTAAAATATGTTTGTCCTTTAATTGTTCCATTATTTTTGCCTTTTGGTTCATCTAAAATTACTCCAATCCATTTTCCTGATGCAAAAGTTGGATGTCCAATATATGCTATGTATCCTAAACAATCTTTTCCAGTGATTTCTACTCTTGCACCAACTTTACACGACATTATTTTATTAATTTGAGAATAATTTTGACACTTCTACTCGTTGTGTTAATATATTTGTAGTGATACCAAAAAGAAATCTACAAATTGACAACCATTATACGACAGTAGTGCCAGAAAATACTGCCTTACCCAGTGGCGTACAATTTTTTAGTTTGTACTCTGGCATACAGATGGCTCTACTATGAATAATAAAAGGCGGCAGTTGATAATTAATGATCGAACTCTGTCGATAAAAGCAGCTTTGAATATGTTTTGGCGCTAATAATAAATTAAATTAAAAGTTAACAATACTCATGACACAGATTTGGTCACTTTCTAATAAATTAAATTGACAGGTAAAGTCAAAACTAAAACTTTAAATGAATAAACAAAAGAAACATAGTTACATTCTAGAGAACTAATAACGAGGTATGACATATTTATTAAAAGAAACAGAGCAAGATCTTTTGCAATTATCATCATCTATTCATACATGTGTATGTATCTGAAGTATATGTAATTGTAAATTCCAGTCAGTAGGTGTGACTGAAAATATTTCCTCTCATGTGAATGACAACGACATCACCATATCCGTTGTAGAGATAAAAGTTTTATGGGGTTTATTATTAACTAAAAAACACTAAATAAATTTTTTGGTATAAAATTAAATCATTAATAATAAAAATTTATCAATAACAATAATTCTAAATAATTAGAATCATTTAAATCACAAGAATATTCCATCAATTAATGTCAGAAGAGATGAAGCAAGAGGTGAATCATTTTTATTTATATTTATGTATTAATACTACATACAATTAAAAAATCTTTTCCTTTAGAATTATCAAAATTGTTAAACTATTAGTTTCTTTTTTTTTAAATAATAAAAATTCTTATAAGAATAATCGAATTCTACCAGCAATTACTTAAAGCTAAATTTACTCAGTTCGACCTTCAATTTTGACAACCTTTCGATCAACAAAACGAAATCGTGTGTAGAAAATTACCACATATTTATTATTTATCTGACAATCGAAGGATAAAAAAGTTGCTCATTGCATAGTAGTTTTCCATTTCATTCCAACTTAAAATTTTCCACTTATCAAATTTTTTGTTTCTTTTCAGACATTACTCAATAATTGATGAAAATTCTACCTATGTAGTAATAAATAAAATAGAAAAAGTGCAATATACATTTAAATATTTGATTAATATTTTTAATAAATTTACAATTTAACAAGATGTATTTTGTAATTTTATTATTAGTGTTTTTTATAAACAAATCATGGACTCGAGATGTTGATTATTGTTATGTTAGCGAAGATGATCCATATCTTTTTATGGGCTCTAAAACTTCTTATACTTTTGTTGGTGGAAATATACGACCTTCATTATCAAGTAAAATAATATTTACATAATTATTTTCTGATAGAATTTTTTCTGATGATAATTTTTTTAAAAATAGTGTATGTTTTTTCAAACAGATTGTCAACCTTTACAAATCTGGGGAATAATCCGACACGGAGCTTATTATCCTGGAATAGAAAAAATGACTAAATTGCAAACTTTAATGAGACTTCGTGATCAAATAATACAAAAACATACGGAAAGAAAAGGTTTATTTTTTTACATACAAAAACTAAAAGTAATATTTCAATATTTATTTATTGAATTTAAATAAATATTTCAGATAGTCGCTTGTGTAATGAGGATTTAGAAAATTTACAATCTTGGTCACCAGATCAAAATTTAAAAGAAGACAATGCTAATCATATAAACAATCAAGGTATCGAAGATTCAAAATTACTAGCACGACGACTTCAATATAGTTTTCCAGAACTTCTTCAACCACAGTTTTATGATATTACATCACAAAATTATATGGTATTTGATGTTTAATAATACATTGATATTTTAAGTTTGATATGTAAACGTATTTATATTTAAGTTTAGAAGTACTGGAAGTCCTCGTACGCAAGCAACCCTTAATTCATTTGTTGAAGGATTATTTGGAGATAGAAATGCTTTGAGAAATTTGGAATTTCTAAATGAGCCATTTATAAAGGTATAAAAATTGCTTTAAGGATAGTGAAAGAATGAATAGATATTTACCATGAATTTATATTATAGTCATTGAAAAATTGCTCTGTTTGGTTGAATGGTGATGACGTTGATCCCAACTTGTTAGAAGAAAGAGTAAAATTTACTACAAGTTTTGAATTCATAAATCTTATTCAAAATGTCAGTCATAGATTGGGATTTAAATATAATTTATCATCAGGTACAATTACATATTTTCATTGAAAAAGTGATTTTTATGAAAAAATTTTTTATAAATGTAGAAGCTATCTACATGATGTATGACATGTGTCGGTTTGATAAGTCATGGGCAGTGAATAAAATATCTCCATGGTGTGCCGTTTTCAATAAAGAAGAACTTAAAGTTTTAGAATATTCTGAGGATATAGATTATTATTACAGAGCTGGATATGGCCGTAATGTTAATGATCAGCTTGGGTGTATTCCTTTGCAAAATATGTTTCAACATTTTAAGTATGTTAGATTTCATTTTCTTAAATTTTAATTTTTATTAATAATAACGATATAATATTAATTAAATGTAAATGTATTTTTTTTATTAGGAAAATTGAACGTGGAGAAACTGATGGACAGCCAAAAGGAATTTTTCATTTCACAAATTCCATGACATTTTTAAGTTTACTTCATGCATTAGAAATTGGTAAAGATAATGATAAACTTCTTGCGTCTAATTACAAATATATGTCCAAACGTCAGTGGAGGACATCATTCTTAGATCCATTAAATGCAAATTTCATTGCAATATTTTACAAGTAAGTATATTTTCTCAAGTAAGTTTAGATAATTATTCACATAAATGCTTTCTTCAATTAATTTAATGGTTTCGTGACCTTGCAAAAAATCGAAGGAAAGTAAAAAATTCTATTACTTTGTAGGATAATATTTTATCTTTTCATCATGAAATAAAAACAAAAGTAGATCATAATGATAATATCTACTTTAACCATTTGCTCGATAGACAATAAATTTTTTTTTCGATAAATGCGATGACATAAAAGAATAATAGTTCTTTCATAGACATTGATAAAAATTTAGTACCTCATGATTGACTAAGATATGTAAAAAGTGATAATACATTATCAGATTAATATAAGTTGTAAAACAGGCTGCAAGATACTTTTATACTTTGTTTCATACGTTTTTAATTCAAAGGGAATGTATATAAAAAATTTTCACTCATTCAAAATTTAAGGAAGTAATATTTACTTATAAGTAAAATAAATATTACGATTTTTAGTGTTTATTATGGCTAAAATGTTTAATGTGGTGATTATATGTGTAATTAGTTTTTCTGGATTATCAGATTCTCAATATAGAAGGATTGATTGGCTTCATAATTTATGCCATTATATTATTGATAATAGTACTGATGAATATCAAGTAGCAGTAATTACAGCTGAAAATCAAAGAAAATTAGCGAATGATCCACGAATAATGTACCTTATTAAATTCATTATGCAACATCGTCCGATTCTCCATTTAAATATTGATTTTGCATCCGAAAAAAATGAAGAAGATTCATATAAATTGTCTACTACTGCATCAACATTTTTCATGTATATTGGTGATACTCAGCACATTTATGTTACTCTGATAGAGAGAATTTTAGATACTTTAAAAGATCTATCAGAACTCAAAACTATAATGAAATATTTACTTATATTTTTTTCTTCAGAATCTAATTTTGATTTTGACATAATTTTTCAATATTCTTGGAAGAAACAAATAGTTGATTTTACTATTTTAGAAATACCTCGATGTGATCAATCAAAAGAAAACAAAATGCTTGAAACTTGTATTTCTAATGAAATAATCATTCGTCACTTTAATCCATTTTTAAATTTATCTACTCAGGAGTTTTATTCTCCAAAAAGTCAATGGTTTCCTAATGTAATGACTAATTTACATGGTTATCCAATAAAAGTTGGTGTCTTTCATAGTCCACCATTCTCTATGGTAAAATGGAAAGATAATCTTGAAGTAGAATCAGCATCGGGGGCTGATATTACTTTGACTCGACATTTGGCAAAGAAAATGAATTTTACAATAAAGTTTCTACCACGAATGATTGAATTTCATACTGCAAATAACAGTTTAAAACAGTTATTCGGTTTATTAAACTTTTACAAAGTTGATATTTTAGCTCGTGTGACTCCACATTATACTGAAGATCTGGAGGAAGATGCTATCAGATCAGCTCCAATACTTTTAGATGATTTCTGTGCTTTAGTACCGAAAAAATTAGAAGTACGTATTCCATTTTCATGGGAAGCTTTTGAAGGAATATTAATAAGCATTGCTATCATATGCTTCTTTTGGATACCCGCTTTATTACTTAGATTTGATAAAAGACGTTGGAGTGTTTTTGTTATTTTACGAGTACTCTTCGGTATACCTGTTTATGGTAGTCCATTAATCATTTCTCAAAGAATGTTTTATGCAATTTTACTGCTTATTTCATTAACATATTCTGCCAATATTTATGGATCATTAACTCGTGTCAGTATTGATACTGACAGTGAAGTTGAGTATCGTACATTTGATGATCTTGCTAAGTCACCATTTACTTTTGTTATCCCACGATATCTTTATGAAAAGACATTTAGTGACAAAAAAGAACTTCTTTTATTGAAGAACAAAACCATCAACTATATTGAAGCATGGAAATGCCCATTTCATGCTCAACAATATAAAAATGTTTCTTGTTTAATAAGTAGATATGAAGCAATCATTTTTATGAATTATAAACATCTTAATAGTAAAACAGATGGCCTAAAATTAACTAATTTATGTTTTTGGAGTGACGCTTATTCTTTTCTTTTACGAAGAGATTCACCATTACGAAGATCTATGAAACATATCTTTTTATTTTTCACTGAAGCAGGATTAATTAAAAAATGGTACAAAGATGATATAATTGATATGGAAATTGCCAAAGATGAAGACGAAAATGCATTTTTTATCCCACGTGGTGTTTTAATTGATCAACTATTAGCTGTTTTACTCATTGGATATGTTACATCAATTATTGTTTTTATTGGAGAAATTTTATTTCAATCAATTACAATATCGTTTCATAAAATTATTTTAAAAATAAAGAAGTCATAATACTGTGGTAAATTTGCTGATAAAACAATTATTTGTTTAAAGGTTTTTTTTAGTTATTAATTATAAATATAAAAAAAAGTAGTTAAACTTTAACTCATAAGTTTTGAAATAAACCTATTAATAATTATACTGTTTTTTTTCACATTTATCACAGATGCGTGAATGAAGAATCACCCAATAAGATAATGTTTTACCTACAAGAAAAACCAGTAACTTATGATGGCTGTAAAGTAGGACTTTGTGATTGGGAATATTTAAAAAATAAACTTGGTTCCACTGTTGAAGAATGTAATGTAGATTTTTGTGAAGAAGCAAGGGCATCTGCTTCCAAAAACATCATAACTTCATTAACAATATTATTTATATTGTTTAAATTAATATTAATGATGTAAATTATCAACTATTATGTTATGTATATTTCTAATGGTTGATGTTATTGAGTAGTTACTAAATAATCCGTCCATTTGTTGTTTACTTTTTCTAATTTAATTGTTAGATTTTTTAGAGTCTATACATGAAAAATGATTCCTAAATGTTTTAATGCTGATAAAATTTTTTTATTTCTATTTACAATTCTTGTAGTTACATAATAAAAAATAAAATAATAATTAATCTTAATAAAAAAAATTTTCTTTTTAATTTATTTAGATAAATAATAATAAAATAATTAATATTTAAAGTTTCTTATTATTATGTAATGGCCATCGCTTGAAGGCCTTCAGCCATTTAGAGTTTATTTGATGAATTTTTCACTTTTCATCTATAAAATCTATTATATTACTTAATATAATTAATTAACTTAATATTATTTATATTGGTATATCGTAATTTTTTTTAAACTAATAAATAATCTTACGAATTTTACCGCTGCAATTCATTATTATAATTCAATAGCAACTTATTTTCAAAATATATTATAATTTTCTATGCCTTTGGTCATGTATTTTCAGACACTTTACGTGATCTGTTACTTTTTTTAATTTTTATAGGCTCACCTGTACTCTCATCAGACACTGAGGAATCTCTTAATGTTTTTCTTCCTCGTCCAACATTTCTTTCTTCGTTTTCTGACCCAATTGATTCCCGATTAGACTTTCGTCTTTGTCGTTGAGGTGGATGATTTTGCGTTTCAATAACATCTTTCAAATGTTTACGTTTTGCTTCCCAAAACATTTCTTGCCTCTGAGCTATTTCTGGATGACGCGTAGCAAAATCAGGAGTAGGCGGTATAATTAATTGCCACCCTTTTTTTTGTTTATGTCGAGCTAAATTTTCAAATATTTCTTTAATTTCTTCCGGTGGTAATTTTATTACTGTAGATATTTTTTTTCTATCAACAAATTCATTTTCCGTGAATGACAATAACTGTAAGAAAATAATAGCATATGTAATGAAGTTTAAAATACTTTTTTTAGTCAAGTATTTACTAGTTGATAATAAATTTTACTTACAATATAATCTCTTGCTCTACACATAAGTTCAGAAGAAATTCCACTGTGAGATGATGTACTGTCTTTTGGGTAAAGAAGTTCACTATTCACGATCCAATTTCCTTGAACGAGAACAGCTACTTGTTGCAGGTATTTTAAAATAGCTCCAGTTTCATGATCCGAACTTATTATTGATCTTAGTTGCGTGAAAGACATCACTTTTGCTGTAAAATGAACTCAATTATTGTAACAGTACTTTAATGACGTGACTACACTTTCCAATAAAAAAAATCATAATAATTATTGAACTAATATAATTGATCTTTACCGTCTTTCATAATAATCCGAACTTGATCCAGCAATGGAAGTGTGCGAATGTAATTGAGAGAAGTTCCATGGATTGGTATATTAGATTTGGAATGTTCATCTGATTTCACAACAGGAGCTAATAGTTTCAAATATTCTTTACAAGAAAGTCTTAAATTATTTGCAGACGTTTCATTGGAAGAACAAAACATTTCTAATCGTGTCAGCTGAAAAAATTTTCATATTAATAATCAAATAATTTAATGATTATTCACTGACAAAATTTATTTAATAAAATTATTAAAAACCTCTGCTTGACTGCTTTGAGCATTTCTATATTCAGTATTAATCCATTGCTCTTCAGAAATTTTCTTAGCATGTTGTTGAAATGATTGTTCTTGTTTTTTCTTCGTTATTTCAGATTTTTGTCGAGCAAACTTGACATTAACTTGTTTAACTTCCTCCTCTTCAGTCTCTATTAAAATAAATCATGTATTAATAAAAATAATTAGTGAAAAAGCTGCCTTAAAATATTATTTATTCAAGTACCATGACTATTCTTTTTCTCTGCTTCTTCTTTAGTTTTACTTGAGTCATCTAGATAGTCAAATTGAGGTTTTAACTGTAAAATACTTTTTAATGGTGTAATATGCAATTCTCCGTCTTGATATACACCTATTGAATAATGTTGACAATCTGGCACAGCCCTTGATGATTGTAGTATAGTTTTATCCATTATGTTACTAAAATATAATTCAATTAGAATTATGATCTTTTGTATTTATATAATTTTTTTTTTGTTAAAATAATGTATACTTAATTTACTATGTGCACATACCTTTCAAATATACGATTTTCGTTGTCATCTTCAAATTTATCAATAGGTCCATCAGCATTTAGAGCAATTTGTTGACCTTTCTTCTTATCATAATTGATACTGTTATGGTCTATAGCTACTTCAATTCTCACTTCTTGGTTTTCAGGTTTTATAGATGATTTAAGGAATTTTTCATTATCATAACCTTTAGATGCTGGTTTTATAGGATATTGGAATATAAATAACTTTTCGGCAAGATTTTTGGATAAAAATACTGGAATCTATATTATTAAACAAATTAAAATATATTCAAACATTGAAAAACATTTATTAATAATAATCAGAATTAATATAACTGAGAATAAACATTGTAAATAGTTTACTAGTAGATGATGATAATATTTACCTCTTTTATAACAGGATCATCATTATTTTCCTTCATTTTTGAACTCATTATTATAATGAATTATTTATTATAATGAAAATTAAAATTGTTTTTAAAAGTATCCGCTTAATTATAGTATATTTATACTGTTTAAAATTTGTGCATTCATCTGTATATATCTACGAATGATTACACATGTATTAACTGTGTACTTCTGGAAGTTATTCACATGCCGAAAGAAAAGAAAGTAATCGGAGCATAAAATATACAGATGTAGACAACTCCGTTCATGAAGAATATAGACATAGAATATAGTCTATATTCTTCATGACTCCGTTCATTGAATTGATCACGTGAGAAGAAAGTTGGTACGCCTGCTTTAAAATTCAGTAGAAGTACAGTACCGGACATAAATGCTGTGTAATTTTCTATAGGACGGTATAGGGAAATCGCCTGTATAACCCTTAAAAAATTGAACAGCATTTATGTCCGGTACTGTACAGTCTGGCGCAAGCGAATCCAAATTGATGCTGAAATACATTGAATACGTACTGAGTTTTGAATGGACTAGTTGAAACATGGCTGCTAATGTCAATTCAAGTTGCCAGACATTGTTGTTCGTTGTTGTTTCCTCCAACCAGAGAGAAGGCTTCTTCTCTCTGCTCCAACGCGAAATAAACCAACCAATGGCGACAACCAAACTGATTGAAAATCACATCAGAGGAAAATGTCATTTGCTTTATGAAGAAAGCCACCTTATTCTGTCATAGTTGTGGGATTAAAAGTTTTGTTTTGTATTATACAGAGTATTATACTAATGTTCATTTGTTTAAATGAATAATTAGATTTTATATTATTTATACAATTTTTTTAGTTGTGAATCTATCTTGTCGTAACTAGAACACATTGTGTGAGACAAGAAGATTGTATATAAACTTTTAAGTTATTTATAAATATAAAATGATTCGTATTTGTTAATTAACAATTATATTAAATAATCTAGCTTAAATTGAAAAAACTTTATTTATTTTAATCGTAATAGCTAACCTATTTTATATCATTACATTGAATAAATATTCAAGAAAATAGTTTTTATTTTCAAATGATTGAAATGTCATTTGATTTTATCAGTCATAAATTTTAAAATATACAAAATTTATTTTATGAGAAAAATTTTGTTTATAACAATATGTAACGTCATGAAACAACACTGTGTTCCTGACAATACTTCTTTAAATGAATCCATCTCATGTCAGTCTAAAAATTAATGAATAATTATTAATATTATAATTAATTTGAAGAATTATCCTGACTATTTGTCGTAATATTATTAATAAAAATGACTTCAATCTTTGATCAATACGAGAAGGCATCTCAAAGATCGAAACCATCAGGATCGGAGCTTATGAAGCCTGATATTGTTAGTATAATTTCGAACTTCATTTATTTTATGTTCTATTATTTGTCAAGTTATAATAATTTAATTTTTAGTGTACAACTGGATTTATTCAAATGAAATTACAAGATGAAGAACCAATTTTTATCAGACAAAGAGTTAATTTTAAACCTCCAGATAGTATTTTACATCTTGCAGTAAGCAGTAATTATATTGTGATTGCAATGGCAAACAATGTTTTATTACGCATTGATGTTAAAGTTCCGGAGAAAATAGAAGAAATTGACATATCAAAATATATTGGAAACATGAAAATATCGGGACTATTTTTAGATCCTTTGGGTTATCATTTACTTATCACTATGGTCCCTAAAGTTGGTGATAGTCCACCAGATTTATTTTATTTACATCGTTCATCAACCAAGTTAAAACAGGTATATATCAAAATTTAGAATCATTCGTTGTTAAACTTTCTTTAAATACTTTTATGAAATTTTGTTGAATGAGAAATTTTTGTCTTTAACAGGCAGGCAAGTTTCGAAGTCATGAAATAACTGCGGTTGGTTGGAATTTCGCTAATACTTCAGAGACCACTACTGGTCCTATATTGCTTGGAACTTCGAAAGGGCTAATTTTTGAAACAGAAATTGGTTTAGATGGAGATAAAATATTTAATACAAGTCTCGAACAATACTGGAAACAGGTACATATTATATTATATATCATTTTAAGTTAATAATAATGATATAAAATATTTAATTAATTATCGAATCATTATTATAAGCTTCCTAATTACTTACCTCTTTACGGTAGTAAAGAGGTTGATGGATTGGTAAGTGATGAATTTTGTATCCAAAATTTGAATGATTTTTCAATTAAAAGTATTCTACATATTTTTAAAATTATTATATTTGAAATTATAACTTAATGATGACAAATTAGTAAATTTTATATCATCTAGGTATTTGATATTGGAGAAGAAAGTAAGCCACCAATAACTGGAATAGCTTTTCATAAGATACCTAATTCAGAGAAATATTTTATTATTGTAACAACTCTAATAAGAATCTATCAGTATGTTGGCACTATTAATAATCCACAAGAGAAGCCTTTATTACAACAAATATTCAGTAAATATCTCAATGTTAAAGGTAAAAAAATATTTAATTTACAACTATGTACCTTATTTCTTACTTTTAACAAAAAATGTCATAAATATATTTTATTACTGTAGAGCGTTTTAATCAACTAGAAAGTTCTTTACCGTATTCACGCATGCAGTTTTATTATCCAGTACCAAAAGGACTACCAAAAACTTTCGGTTGGTTAACAGAAACGGGCATTTTATATGCAGAAGTAAGTCTCAATAATTTTTGTCATAAAAAGTTGATTCTTCTAATTTCACATTTCTTGTGCTAAAGATTGATCCACAAATCGATTCTGACAGTATTTTAATAAATCAAGAAATGTTATATTGCCCTGAAACGAGTTTAAGTGGAACTACCGTCTCAAATACGGCTACTGCACCTATAAATTTTATTTTAACTAAATTTCATGCTCTTATTCTTTATACCGATCATGTGAAAGGCATTTCATTACTCAATCAAGAGCTAATTTTTGAAGATATATACGATGATGTATGTAATTTTTTTATCCATAATAACCAAGACTTATTACTATTATCATTTGATAATTGATCATTGAAGAATTTTTTTTTAGACATATGGCAAACTAATTAATATCACGAAAGATCCAATAACAGGATCAATTTGGGCGTATTCAGAAAGTGCATTATTCAAATATAAAGTTACGAAAGAAGAAAGAAATGTTTGGCAAGTTTACATGGAAAAGGGAGAATTTGGATTAGCTAAAGAGTATTGTAAAGATAATCCAGCTTATATAGATCAAGTTCTGATTAAAGAAGCTGAAATGTTGTTCAAATACAAAGAGTAAGTATCTGAAAATAAATTCTTTTTCGTCATGCCTGCGCGGAAAGTTCACTTTTCCATTGGAAAGGGGTTGAACTTTCCACTCAGGTATGACGAAAAATTATATTCAGCCCTAAGGAGGACAATTAGACAAGCTTAAACCACGTGTTTACTCCCTAGGTGTGAAATATACTATATATGCAAATATTCATTTTAATCAATTAAGTTATTTTTAATTTTAGATTCGAAAAAAGTGCAATGATATATGCGGATACACATTCGTCTTTTGAAGCAATATCTTTAAAGTTTCTCCAAGAGTCACAAATAGAAGCATTGAAATTATTTCTGAGAAAAGTAAATTGATAGATATTTATAGAATATTTTTAGTTTTTGAAATAATTGATTCCCTATTTATTATTTTTTTTCTTAGAAATTAGAAGGTCTTAGGCCACAAGATAATACACAAATTACGATGATTGTTGTGTGGGTTGTTGAATTGTTCATGAATCAAATGGGAACCTTAAGAAATGATCAAACCTCGCATTTATATAACTCATCATATACTGAACTTCAAAAACAATTTGATCAATTCCTAAGCATTCCTACTGTTGAAGACTGTGTAAAAAATAATTTTAAAACAATATATAAATTAATGGCTAGCCATGGTGATAAAGATAATTTGATTAAATTAACTATCATGCATCGTAATTATGAAGAAGTCATTCGTCAACATCTATATAAAAACAATTATCTAGATGCTCTGGAAGTATTAAAAAGTCAAGGAAATAAAAATCTTTTTTATCAATTTACTGGAATTCTAGTGCAAGAATTACCAAAGCCTACTATTGCAGCTTTAATTTCTCAAGGATCTCAATTACAACCATCAAAACTTTTATCTGCATTAGTATCATGTGATAGTGATGAAAAACACGTAAGAATCCTTTTAGACTTTATAATGATTAAAAGATAATAAATATTGAAGCGTTTAATTCACAATTAGTTGAGTTTAATGCATTTTTATTTTTCAGGCTAAAGAAGTCATAAAATATCTAGAATTTTGTATTTATAAACAGAATTGTCCAGACCAAGCAATACATAATTTTTTATTGTCATTATATGCAAGATATAAACCAGATGAAGTGATGCGTTATATTGGATCTCAAGGTTTGAAATGTTATTTGAAATATTTTATTTATTTTAATGTATTATTTAAGCAATTAAAATGGATCTAACCGTCTCTATTTTAGGTCATGATATAACAATGGTACCATATGACGTACATTATGCTTTACGATTGTGTCAGGAAGTTGGTTTAACTGAAGCTTGTGTACAACTTTCGGCTCTTCTAGGATTATGGACTACTGCTGTTGATTTAGCTTTAACAATCAATGTCGACTTGGCTAAACAAATAGCTGCTATGCCATCGCACCACGATAACGAATTAAAAAAGAAATTATGGCTAAAAATAGGTATAAAAATTGAAATTAAATTTGTAATTGAAATCTATTCTATTGTGTTATTAATAAATATATTAATTTTTTCTTAATCTACCCTTGGTTTTTCTTTACAGCTGAACATGTTGTACGTGAACGTGATGATATCCAACAAGCTATGGAATTTTTACAACAATGTGAACTTCTTAGAATCGAAGATATTTTGCCATTCTTTTCTGATTTTGTTACCATTGATCATTTTAAAGATGCTATTTGTAATTCACTACAAGTAAGTATTTATTATAATTTTTACTGTAATTTCTTTCATCATTATCTAATTGCATAATTTACTAGGAATATAATCAGCATATTCAAGATCTTAAAGAAGAAATGCAAGAAGCAACAAAATCAGCTGAAATTATTCGAAAAGATATTCAAGCGTTTCGCACTAGGTATAATTTTTATAGAATTTTATTTTATTATTAATTTTCGAATATTAATTTTTTTTTTCCACTATTCATGTTATTGCAATTGCAGATGTACATTTGTACATGTCAGAGATACATGTAACTCGTGTGAAGTTCAACTTTTATTGAGGCCTTTTTATGTATTTCCATGTGGTCATCGATTTCACAGTGATTGTTTGATTTCTATTTTGACACCAATGTTATCAATTGAACAACAATTAAAATTGACAGATCTCCAAAGACAGCTAACAGCTTTACCTAGGAAATCTGATGAAACTGTGTCTATAGGATCTGTATCACTATCCACCAAAGATCAAATAAAAGCTGATCTCGATGAACTCATTGCGTCAGAGTGTCTATATTGTGGAGAATATATGATTGAGTAAGAATAAATTTATATTTAAAAATTTATTTATTAAAAAAGTATAAATTAATAATTCATAATTATTTATTGTAAATTCTAGATCTATTGATAAACCATTTATTGAGGAAGAAAATTATGACAAAATAATGGCTGAATGGTCATAAAAATTGTATGAAAAATATACATGATTGCTTAAAAAATATATCACTATGTAAATAGAAAAATATCTAATAAATTTACAAATTATGGTACATTATAATACTGTTATTATTTATCGTTTACAAGACCAGCTTCTGCTTTTTTATCACGTTTGCTCACAGACGTGTTTCCGTAAATATAAAATCGTAATGGTTTACTCGCCCATTCAGGGCCTGCACTGTCAATACCTATTCTAGCACACTTGACTATTTGTATTTCTTTTTCAGGAGACTTCGAATCATTTTCTATCCACATACCTTTCCATGAGCAAAGTGAATATTTATTGTAATCTTTATTTAAATTATATGCAATACATAATTTTGAAGGTCCATTGCATAGTTCATGAACTTTTAAACCTTTATTCTTTCCAGACTTTGATTTTAATCTCGATATTCGATTGTTCTCCATTTCTTCTATTCCTTCAATAGGCTCTACACCTCTCAAAAGAACTGCGGCTCCTTCTCCTACAAAAAATGATTGTGTTCTCGGTTTTTTAATCTCTGTTTTTTTAATTATTGAACTGGGTTATTCTTGTATTATTTAGAAAAAAAAATTATAATATACCTTGACTTGATATATTAAAACAATAATACATTCCATAAGTAAAATAAATATAAATTGTTCCTGGTAGCATATACATTGGAATGGTTCTAGGGGTTATTTTGTTTTGATAACTTTGAGAAGCTTTATCAATTCCTCCAAGGTAACTTTCTGTTTCTACAATTCTTCCTTTTAGGATTGTTCCATTTTCTAATTGTCGTACTAATATTTTACCTAATATTATTGTTATTATTATATAATTTTATACTATTTGATTGAATATAACTTTAAAAAATGAATTATTCTTTAAAATATCATACCTAAAAGATTTTGAGCTAGATCTATGCATGGAACATTATAAAAATCATCTATTAATCGATTAGCAGACAATTCTTTTTCTAACAAAGTTGTTGGAGGATCCTGTAACTGTTTGAATTCTGCTTCCATCGATTTTAAATCAACTTTTGTATTTTGCTTTTTCTTTGTTGGTTCATTTTTATTATCATTCAACATCTTTTTTTCTTTACATTTTCTTCCTGTTGATAAAATTTTATATACTTTCGTTTATGTATTGATAAGTTTAATATAATTACTTACTATGATTATATAAATTTTTATAATTTAATTTTTCTTTAATTAGAGCATCATTGGTTTTATCTTCATTTTTATTTTGAGACATCTTGTAAATTAATTTTTGTTTCACTTGAATAATTAATTTTTAAAAGTCTTTTTAAATTGAATTTTCATTTAATATTGTATAAATCATTCTTATATTCTTATTTTATTTTAGAACAATTATATCATGATAAAAAAGAGTGACATTTTTACACTCAAACATAAACGCACATGCAACACATTGAGATATCGAAACACGTACAAATTGAAGTTAGTCGTTGTTTTATTTTGTACATTCACACGCGTGTACCAACTTTAAAATTCGATTATGTCAACATGTTGAGTAGAGAAGTTTTTTCATACTTTTTACCGTTATATCGTCATAAATATACTTTCTATAAAGCATTGTTTGAAAAATAAATATTCAGCTCATTTAATAAATCATTATTTACTAAACAACAGATGAGCTTAATTGTGATTCGATATTATAGAATTCACCAAATAATTAATCTTTTGATAACTAAATAATAGATCTCAGTAAAAAATCAATAGATAGTTCAGGTATTCGATTAATTGTTTATCTTAGTTTAATTGAACTTTTGATTCCTGTTCTATTAATGGCGATAACAATGAAGAAAAAAATAAACATGAAAAAAATAACAAAAAACAAAATTTGAATAGAATATTATGAATAATATTGATTGTCTTTTATCAATGATTAAATTTTTTATTGATAGAATGAATTCAATCTTCGTGAATAATGTTAACTTTGTGGTAGTGAAAATAATAACAATTAATAAAGTCATCTTATAAAAATATGTCTTAAGTACATGTACTGATTAATCTTAATTTTATGACGATAATATCTTACAAAGTTAATAATTTTTTTTTCGATTATATAATTTTTCATTTACTATTTTTTAAAAATATTCTCTTATTTTTCTCTTTCATCTGCTTTATTTTGAATTTCCATGAGCGTTTGTCCTTTTGTCTCTACAACACAAAAGTATGTAAATGGAGTAACACTAAATGCACTCAATGCAAACATCCAGAATACGTATTTTTCACTCATGATATCTACCAATGGTTGAAATGTTCTTGCTGTAATGAAAGATAAAAGAGCAGAACTTCCACTAAATAGCATCGAAGCAAATGTTTTTAAAATGGGTGGAAAGAGTTCTCCGATAAGAGCATTAGGTACTGGTACTAATCCATAGGAAATAGAACAATTAAAAAGAAAGAGAGCAAAAATTGGAAGCCATGTAAGATCATGAGAGTCAAAACCACATGATAAAAAATGAAAATGACATCCAAGAAGTGTTAAAGCACAACCTGTACCAAGACTAGAAACAATCAAAAGTGATTTACGTCCAAATTTATCAACTACAATTGTGGCAGTCGATGCTGCAACAACTGTGCATAAACTTAAAGCTATTACAACAGTACCTGGTGCAAAATTAACTCCACTTTTGGTAACTATAATTTCAGCATAGTATCCTATTGTGTTATGACCACTGAAGTATAAAAAAATATTAAATAAACACATAATTACTGTATTCTTACAATTTTTAGGTTTGCAAAATTCTCGGAATCGCGTAGAGAAATCAGTTTTTGTACTGCCTATAAAATCCTTAAGAGCTTGAATTTCTTTAGGAATATCTGCTTGACGTTTGAACCACTTTAATGATTCTTTTGCACGCTCCATATCATTATTTGCTATATGATGATATGGTGACTCCGGAATGAAAAAAATTAAAATAAATTGAAATAAAACAATGAAACTTAGACTAATATATCCGAATTGATCTAAGTGTAGATAAGATCCCATGATATTTCCAAGGAGTCCACCGATAAATGCTGCATTTGTGCACAGAAATATCTAGGAAAGAATCATAATTGTATTAACTTCTGTGGTAATATCAAAGTATTATGATAAATTTATAAATAATTTTACCAAGGAACCACGAATGGAGGGATCAGCGATCTCACCTAAATACAGCGAAAGTGTAGTCCAGATCATTCCTCCACCAATACCGGAGAAAAATCTTGCAACAAAAAGCCAAAATGGTGATTTTGCCATAATCATACATATCCAACCGATTGCTAATGGACAACCGCCAACTACTAATGTCCTTTTTCGTCCAATTATACCTAAAAGGAGTTCAGATAAATTCTTTAATAATCTCAGATTTTTTAATACAATAAATACAATTAATACAATAAATAATTATTAAATAATCATCATAAAATAAGTACAAATTTAATCTACAAATTTAAATTTAATCTTATAATACGTTCTAACTTATACCTTGAGTTAATGCACCGATTATTGCACCAACAAATCTACCTAAATTGAGTAGAGATGCAACCCAAGATGCTTCAGAATTAGTGAGCATTAATGGAGATTCGACATTCGGTGAAGTGAGTTGAGCTAAATATGGTGAAGTCCATCCAGTGGAAAGACCAGCCGTAAGTATACCAAGTGAAACTTAAATAATAATTATTTTATATTAATTATTTAATTTTTTTTTAATTAAATAGACATAAATAAAATAATAAATTACTTGTTAATCCAGTGAACCATTGGGGCCAGAGAGATAATTTAGACATTGATGATAATTCTGTACTTTTTACAATAATTTTAGTCATAATTATTAAATAGCTATCACTGTTAATTTTTGATTTTTTTTTTTTAAATTAAATCAGTTTTATTGAATGTCTAAATCTATATACATCTTCTTCCTCCACTTGTAGACTTTATAACTGACATTAATTTCAAAAGTAATAGATAAAATATGATATAATGGAAATTTTCGCAGAATATTTGTTTTTCTATGATAACGTAAAATTTATTTATGGCTATGTTTAAGAGACTTTACAATCATTTGATGTCTCGTACCGTTATCAAGATCACGATCTTGATGCCTTATTAATTTAAAAGTATATTATTAATAACTGTTGAAGGAAACCGGAATATCTTAATTCCAATAACTTAGTATTCATTAAATACAATTATTGAAATATAAAAAATCCGATTAAAATGAAAATTCTTTTTTTTGAATTTATTTATATTCATTTTTTTGATCTTTGTTTGTTTTCTTTTTTTTACAGATTCAAGTGATACACCAGCATCACGTTTATTAATTTATACAGTAAAAGTATTGAAAATTTTTAACAAACAAAGATTTAATATTCCACGTATTGAAGGCAAAATGTCGATAAATAAGCCTAGAAGATCTGGAGAAAAAACCATTGAATGTCACAGAAGATAAAATTCAAGAGACGCGAGATCATATTCGTGGAAATACAAGGTGAATCTGTTGCTATAAGTATTTGCATTTTATGCACAGATCAAAAGGATATGAATGAATAAAGCATTTTAAGCTGTCATGAACGAACTGTTGAGTTCTTCGTATGAAGTATTTTAATCAAATTCTCCACCTTAACTACAATTTTTTTATGTGCATCGTTTTAGCAATGAAATTGCTCGAGAGACATCACAGTCGCTGACTGACACAAGTGAGGATGAAACTTTTGAAGGTGATGAGTTTTTTGCACTAGAAATTTATCATAAATCTTATAAAAGTTTTTTTTCAAACAAAAAAGGCATTTCTACAATTTAATTAGTGAAAAACTTTGAACTGAATTTTTTTTTAACAAAAATAGGTAATGTTTTAACAATATAATTTATATAAGAATTAATTATTTATAGATTTTTCTAATACAGTAAGCAGTGTTTGTAGCAACACAAATTCACTTTCTACAAATACCAGGTTAATCTTAAAGTGCTTAAGAAAGCCGTTGATACTTGGACTACGCGATATCATGTTAAAGCGGCCTCAAGACCCAGTAGATTACTTGGCTTGTTGGTTATTGAATTACCGAAGTTGTCAGGAGAAAACTAAACTGCAAAACCTAGAAAATGAAAAGCTGACGTTGCTTAGAAGCCATCTGCACCACTTGCAGACATCACAAGTAGGTGCTGGCTTTTAATAATACCTCATTCAGTTTTCATCTGTCTATACATATATAAACCGTTGAGAATATAAAGTTGAATTATCGCCAACTATACTCTTCCAGGAAGTATCAATAAAAGAAGCCAAAAATATTAAAAAAAAAAGAAATGAGAAATAATAACTATAATTAAATTGATAATTTCAAAAATTAAAACCACTGTCATTATTAAAATGCAAAAATTAAATTTCCACTTATTCATGGACTAATATTATTCAAGTAATAATTCATTCTTATTTAATAAATTTGTGCACTGTGACTATTTTATTTTATAAATGCACAGAATTGAAATATTTATAATTTAATTAAATCGATTATTAAATAAATATTAAATCAAATATTTGAAAATAAATAGACCGGAATGCGTATGTGATTTATGATTTATTATGATTATTGAAAAAAAGAAATGAATTCAATAGAGACGTGGTTTTTCAGTGAATAGAATTAGTTGACCAACGAATTTTGAAATTTTTTCATAAAGAGATTGAAAAAATATTATGAGTGTTTTGCAAACTTCTAAATAAAAGCTTCTTCATGTTCTTTATATTACCATGTGCAGCATCCCTTCAGTCTTCATATTCCCCTAAAACATTTAGTCAGAGTGAGTGGTAAGTTCGTGTAGTGTCGGACGACCTCGTACATATCCGTTACTGTAATGTAATGGTTCTCATGTAGGGGCGCGTTCAGTCCAATTCGCGCAGTCGCTCAAATTCTATAAAAGCTTTCAATATACAACTTCATATCGAAAAATCGTGTGATTTCATCCCTCAGTAACTAAATTATTTGGTATTATTGTCAACATGAAATGTCAGTCATATACCAGATATAAAGTGTTGAATATTTAATTGATTAAATGCTAATGAAATATTGGCTCCAAATTTTGTATACTTCACAGTATCATTGAAAGCAAAGTGGAAAAAAACTATAAACATCTGAATAATATTGATGCTAAATGTAAACCTTAAAATACTTGGTTGTAAGAGATTAATGATAAGCTTCAACAACAGATGTCGTTGCGAACGATGTGGTCCACCCTAACTTAGGGATGCTTTTTAGTTGTCAACGGGTTGTTGTCATCAGGATTTTTCAGCAACGTTAGTTACTAAGGGCTTCAATTTTCATATTAGTGAAAATAATTGTACATTAATACTATCAAATATGAAGTTTGTTCAAAAAAAACAGTATGATTATATGGTGAATTCTGTCATGTCTAATGGTGTTGTAGTGAGCTTGAGAACATCAAATAAGAGCAAAGAGAGAGGAGAATAAAAAAGAAATGTATTGTGTGTATTAAAAGTAGAATCGTGTTTGTTAATTCAGTGAAATTAAAAACATCAGTGATTATATGTGCTCCAAATACATTATTATAATTTCAAATAAACTGTGTATGTTAATCTGGTAAATAAGTAGAACAAGTCAACGACGCACGGGAGTGTCAGCCACCATTTTGATGGTGCGAAGGTTATTCATTGTACAACCATCTTGGCTCTAGTTTCTTGTTGAAAATTGTATGGATAAATTTCTATACAATAAAGTGAATATCGTGAACCGATTGAAGAAGAGATGTTTTATAAATAAGTGTATATATTTAGTTAATCATTTAATCTAAACAACAATAGGAAAATAAATAGTGAAGTTTTATGACAGACATGAAAATAATATTTTTATAACTATGATCACTGTAATGCGGAAGCTTTGGTCAGCTGGTGTTACTTGTAAAAAATATATTAAATAATTTTATCTAGACACCAGATCATGATTATTTTTGAATGATTATCAAGTTGATACAGTGGTATTGAATACTTTGTATATGTATCTCTTAAATAATCATGTTTTCTCCAATCATCATACCAAGACATGAGGATAATTTTACTGGTAAATAGGGCAAGTTTATCAATGATATCAACATTTAAAAGTGATTTTCGAGTTTAAGCAGATATATGTTGTGCAATAAACTGTAAATGAAATGTCAATGAATGTTCGACAAAATGTGAGATTGTGAGGGTGATGGAGATAAAGTGACCTTTAATTGTGTATTAGTAGTTTTAGTTGAATTTTTTTTCATTTCATTGTGTTTCTTATTTATTGTAAAGTGAACATGATAATAAGTGTTGTTTTTTTTTTGTTTTATCAAATTATTGTACCAAGGATTATTGTGTTTGGAAACTCATTTCTGAAGTAGTTCACGGTAAGAATAGTATAATTTTATCAATAATCCAAATATTCATTTGCTATATTAATTTCATATTTAACTGAAAATAGTGTTTATATAACACTGCAAATATTAACAATCAAAAACAATTACTCTACTACATTACCTTTTATTATTTCAAACAAAACATTCTATACTACATAAAATTTATTTTATTCGCTCAGTTCTAATAATTGTTTTTTCATTTTCATTTCCTTCTTGTATCAATATTATCATTGGAGGTCATAGATGAATTAATATTAAAGCATAGAAAAGCATAAAAAATCTGGTACGCATTCGATATCAGATCGTTTGTTTTTTTATTGTATAGAAGTAAATGAACATAACAAGAGGTGAATTGAAAAAAACAATAATATCGTGAGAAAAGTAAAGTTGTAATAGATATCGATATTGTATTGAAATCCATTTATCATCAGCTATCCGTGCATTCTCTGTTAGTTCACACGCCTAATGATGAATTTACCGTCGGCACGTATTCGTGTCATTACTACTTACTATCAGCATAAAAACAATTTTAATCATATTAAATATCTTTTAATTCTTTTTTGTTTGATCATTTTTCTTCCTTCCATAGGTATTATTATTTATTTTTTTCTACTAAAATACCATTAATTTAATTTATCATTGACAAAAAAAAAAAATAATTGAAACAAATTTTTTGTATTCCTTTATAAATAATAATAACACGATTTTAAAACTTGAATTTTCAAAGTTATTAATTATTTTATACATAAATGTGTGTTTAACTTTCATTCAACGTTAATTATTTTTTGTTTTTATTTGCATAATAATCCAAGGATAATAATAATAATAATTGTGGCCTATATTATATGTAGAATAATAGTGAATAGACATAATAAATATTGATTCTTGATATTATAATAAATATTGTTACTGGATAATTCATGTAATTTACACCGAAATAATGAAAACTAATATTTGTTGAGTTATAATAAAATAATTAAAATATAAAAATTAATAAATAAAAATTCAAACATAGTTTTCGCTCAAATAAATAAACGAGCATGTTTTATTTTCATAAAAGTATAAAGATGTTTTTTGTGCTCGTTATGTCTATTTTTATCCGGAAAACCACTAATACACTGGCTTGTACCCTGTTTCATTTCACTTTATTACGATACAACAAGACCGTTACAACTCTTGGACGTTGTCGTCGTCCTGGATTTCATCTCAGGCTTGGATTTCAAGCAGTTCCTTGCATTTCGTCACTGTTATCTTTACTTTCGTATTATTATGTGTATTTCTGTCTCTTGTTCACTCACAGGTATTCTTTTTTTTTATCTTTAATTTTCTCTTACCCTCTGGAGAGTTTGTTAAGCGAGATAGACCGGATTAGACGACACTTCTACTCGTCCTACATTTTCTTTTGCGTTGTTGCAATGACACTTTTATTATTTTTCTCACTGTTTATTTCTCCTTCGCCATTCCCATAATATAAGTCAATAGTTTTTTGATCGTTTTTTTGTGTGATGTTATTCACACTTATTTAATGGATTTAACAGAAATATACTAAGAGAAATGAAGATTTTAGTATTAATTAATATTTGATTTGTTATTATTTTAATAAAAAATAAAATAAATTTGTTTAAATGTTGAGAAACAAAAAGGGTTTTAATTGCTTTGAGTAAGGACTCGGTTAACTACTAAGAGTATTTTTGCGGTTTGCAAATTACATCCTTCAGACTGATTTCACAATAACCCCTTGGTCACTGGAACAAATCTAACAAGTTCTAAAACTATCACTCTGTTAGTCCTTATAATTAGCTAATGAAGTCATCAGTACAATTAGTAACGTAGTTTTATTGCAAATCAAACTCATGTTTTTATCAACAATTGTTACTCAAATTCACACTATATCTTTTTTGATTGGTTTAATGTCAATATCCATCACTGTTTTAATCTATAAATAACACAGTTATATATTTAAATTTCATTCACAATATTTTTTTATCAATTTTATTTTTAATATTATTTACAGATCCAAATAAATATGATATACTTTTTGAAAAAAATTGATTAATGTTATTTTTAATTCAATTACGAAAGAAAACTAATTTAAAGTAATTAATTGATAGAAATTAAAAGCAATTAAATACATTTAACAAAATAATTTTTTTTTTAAGACAAGTAAAATTGATTTATTTTAGCTCATTAAATAAATGATATTTATTTTAAATAATTTATAAATTAATAGTTAATACATAAATTCCATATCTGCATGAATAATTATAATATTATATAATTATTTTATACAATTTGATAAGGAAGAATTTAATAATAATTCATCCATTGTAAATGTAGTATTAAATTTTTCATTTATATTGTTTATATTTAAGTATCTTTTATCGACTAGTTTTATCAAGTTAAAACCATCGTATACATCATTGGTGTGATTCAACTGTATTACGCGAGATTGTGAGCATAATCTGACGCCATTGTTATCCGCTTCATTATCACAGTTTAATTAATAATTCGGTGTGCATTGAAAGTTGCTACTATTAATTAATTGATTCAAAAAGATTCATGCGCAGTGACAGATAATTTCCGGATTGTAATTTCCTATTTATTGAGGTAATATCAATCAACATTTTTAATTTGAATACTTTGCCAAAAATTTTAATAAATAAAGGATCATTTAAAACATAATAATTAAAAGCAATACTTGAGAATTTATTGAATATTTTTCTTATTTATTCAAATTAATAAATATTTCTAGAAATAAAACATATTTGTTATCAAAATTAAAGATGAAGATAACAATGGCTAACTAAAATGAAAGATAATATAATCACATTAACTGATGTAAAGTCTAGCAAGGGTAAAATGTAAACGCCAATTTGCAACACAATTATTATGGAGATCTCGAGTTGGAACAAACTATCTCTGTCTTTGGAGAAAGCTGTCGTTATAGTTGAATAGCGTCTGTTGGATTACTGCCGTTACTACTGCTGCAACTACTTCTACCACTAGTGCTCCTATTACCTGTATTATTTTCTATCTATATAAAGAACTTTTCATTAATACATCTTTGATAAAATTATTATTTCATAAATAATAATGAAATATAATTACCATCAGTGATATTTGTATTTTTTTTTATTCACTCTTTTGCGTCTGCGTTAAATTTTAACGTGTTCGCATGTATTATAATGCGCATACGCAATCGAAGAAGGTCCAAGGTATAATGCAGTGTACTCATTAATCCAACAGAGAAGCAAGTAAAAAGAAAAAAAAAAGAAAGGAAATATTTTAAAGAAAGAATTGAAACCATATGTAAATAATAATAATATTGCAATAGTTTTGTAGAATAAAGTCATTTATAGAATAGTAGATAATATAAATGTTAGAAACTTTTGAAGATACCCAATATTTTACGCCAAAAGTTTTAGACTGAATTTATCTACATTTTCGATCTTTATTCTTGAATAGAATAAGCTTGGAATCCGTTAAATGGCAAATAGGAGATTTAAATAGTGAATTTATATGATTCTCTTCTATATCCTCAACTTCTATTAATAGTACATTAAGGTATTATGTTGCACAAGGGACACCTTTAAGACTTAAATGAGACCTGGATCAATGTTTCAGGACCTTAAGCGGACATCCGACCTTTCTGATTTCATTCAATTATTTATGTACTCATCTACCGCATAAAAAAAAAAAGATTCCTATGCTGAAACAAATTGGAAGTCTGCTTTGAAAGCATTATTAATGTCTGTTGTGTCTGCAGAAGAAATAAGTAAATGCAATGAATTCAATCTGTAGTTGCTACAACTGTTGGAATAAAAATTTGTGTACTGAAAAAAAATAGTTGAGGCTTTTATGAAATATATTTTTAATTCTTCTACTAACGGAAATATTAATTGTGAAATAACTCATACAATATATGAATAATAAAAAAATTTTTTCATAACATACTTTGGTGATGAAGTAGACTATAAGCTAGATATAACAATAATTATTCTAGACAAGTTATTTTACTTTTTATGAATTTTGTTGGTAATTTAAAGAATTTTTATTAAATTAAATGAATTTTATTTAGTAATAAAAAATTGCTGAAATTTAAATCAAAGTTACTTGTAGCTCGTAAGTAATTTCTATTTTATTCTGTTGTGTTGAATCTGTATACTCAATTCATTACAAACTGTAGGGTTTTTCTGTTAACTTAATAGGATACAGGAATCAAAATTGTTGTAGAAGCAGACCTCTGATTTGTTGCGACAACAGAGTTTTTTTTCGTGTACACGTAGTGGATAAAAGCGTAACAATTATTTTGTGAAAAAAAAGTAATTTCACGTCACAAATACCAACCTTGAGACACAATAAACTGAAAAAAAACTAAAATAATTCCGCATGTTGCATCTCAGATTTACTATATGAATTGTAAGGTCGTTGTTTACAGCTGAAATTATTTTCAGTGTATTTTAGTATATTTAGACTTATGTAGTGAAATGTAAGCATTAATGTTTGATGATTGTTAATATAGTAAATCCTGTAAGTTATATCGTACAATTGTCTTTCATTAGGAATAACAATTTATCAAAGGATTTTAAGAAGCTCATGTTTTATGGAGGTTATAAAATTATGTTTTTTCTTTCTATTACTATAATCTATGTCATTTCATATGTTATTGGTCAGTGATCTCACATAATGTCTGCTTCTCGGGTTCTGTAGTTGAAGAAAACTAGGAAAAAATCATCTCAAACTCGCTGAAACTGGGAAATGTAATGGATGGCATTTCCGGAAATCTCTGATTTAGCTGATAAACTTGATTGCTAACGTTCTCACTATAGTATACACTTTATCTGCTTTTTTTAATATAAAAATTGTGCTCAGTTTTATTTCTCTTCACCTTCTATCTTGATAATTCGTGCCATATATTTTATAAAATAAAGAAAAGTCAGATGAAACTACTTCCAAATAGTTTAATGACTTTATTAAACCACGTTTTGCTATAAAAAAAAAGGTGCAATTTTTTTTTACCACCAATTCAGTTGAATAAAATTTCAATCAAACATTTGAATAATATAAAGTGTTGGAAGAAAGCAAGAAAGAGAGCGTGTTAGAAGTCGTTCACCTTACTTCAGAAAAAATACATGATTTTGCTTTTTCTTTGTATCTGCTATAATTGAAGTTTCTCTACATCTGAAATAAAGTAGTCCAGTTTTTTATGAAGTACAAACTGAATTATATCTATTGATTATTTATTTAGAAAAATGTTTTTTTTTTATTATAAATTAATTAATTGCATACAATACAATAAAATCAATGTGAGATTATTATTAACATAATGAATAATTATATAATGTTTATTTTAATTGTATACCGATTTCGAGAATATATTTTAAAAGAGTTTTATGTTGATTTGCTTTCAGAATAATTGGTATGCCAAAATCAATAGAAGACGTGCAAGTAACCCAAGACGACAAGCTGTATGATCAAGAATTGTTCAAAACTAAAGCAAGTACAAGGATAGAGCAAGTGATTGCTGGAAGCATCAAAGACATAAGGAGCAAGAAGTTGGTAGCATTTATGTGGTTCAAGGTTCGGTGAACAAGTTGGAAATAGGGCGAGGAACCCTTTTGTTCTATCCAACCAACCAGCGACCTTTGTATCTATTGCCATCGACGAACAACAGAACAGGTCAGTATACTATTTATTCAATGTTAAAAAATGTTTTATTTATATTATTATAATAATCATGACAAATTTCTATATTATTTTATTCAACAAGTAGCTTCTTTAATTTAATTCATAACAAAGAAAAATAGGCTCTTTTGTTTGTGATTAGATTCAAAAGTTTTTGCAGTTAATTATAAATAAAGATATTTATATTTGTAATTATAGTCATTTATAAAATAGTATGAATGAATAATTTTGTTTGGAAAATAAGCTTGCTTAATTTAGTAATTTCTTTGTGTGTAGGTAAAGAGCAGTATAGAGCTTAAGAGAAGTAATACAAAATGGCGTGAAGTTGGCACAAGGTTTAATACAAAACTTTTGCAGTATCCACACTCTACACACTCTCTTACTTTCTTCTCTTGCTTTACTATCCTCAACATTCCTTGTTACTTGGAGGTTGGCATATAGAGTTCGTATATGTGAATTTTGTTCTCTAGGGGAACATATTTGGGTCAAATTAATTTGCTTCAAGCTTGGAAATACATACTGTGAATGTATTCACCCTTTTCCATTTAAGTTAGTAAAGCCAGGAACGTATGTATGGGAAAGGATAGCTTCTAGTAAGTAGTGAGTCTCAAGTCGAGGATAATTCATAGAAGTATATAATAACCAAGGTAGTTTGAACAAGATGACTTGTCTACAACTTTTATAACTAATTTTTGAAGCTATAGATCTTTTTTCCTCTCTTATCAAACCAATAATAATCATAATTGAAGTTGTTTTTTCTGAGTTTGTTGCAATTTTTAAAAATAATTGCATTAAAATGCAAAAATTGGTATAACATGTGGATGGAGATTGAAAAGAAATTAATTGAAGGCTAAAAAAAAATTTCTTCAAGAAAAAGTGAGATAAGAATGAGGTGGTTATTACATTGATTTTTTTTTTTCGTTAAATGAGAAATGTTACATGAGCAAAACTATCCAGAAATAAGTGTTGAATTTTTTCAATTAAAATTCTATCATTCCATTTATCACTTACTCTTTTATTCTTTATTTTTTTATGTCTGAGTATTTCATAGTTTAACTAAAGAATAAAGGTAAGTCACGTTTTTGGGTCAAACTACGTGACTCAAGAAGTATCCAAAAGTAGGTGTTCGATAACTCTCGTTTGGTTTTTCTTTTATAACTTTTAAACAAAAGTAGACGCTGCACGTACATCGATTAGTGTACGTACTCTTTAAGTAATACACAAAATTTACTTGCACCTTTATTTCTTATTCCATTTCGTTCATTCTCTACATACTTGGTAAATCAATGGAACATTTTTCCAAAAATATGGCTTCGTTCATGTTTCCATTGAAAAATTACGTTCTCGAAAGGTCATCCTTAATTTCAGTTTATTTTATGAATTTTATTGAATGGTTGTCATTATTTAAAAATAAAAATCAGAGCGTTTAAAATATGGAAAATGTAGGAAAAAATAACTAGATAAATTCGATCAAGTGTAAAGACAAGAGATAAGGAAATTCAGGATGAAAAAATAAATCTTTAGGGAGTGCAAGCATTATATAAGCAAACGAGCTGTTTTTTTTTTGAAAAAAAAATTAATCTAAAATGTAGCTGGTTGCTCAGGAAATACATAATATATATACGTACATATATATACATATATCTATAGAAAGGAATTCACGTAGAAATAAGGGTAAGCTAGTAACCCCTAAGGCTTGCGTCTGTTTTCAACGGATCGAATAAATTCTGGGCCGTCGAACTCGACAAATTCGATGTTTTCAAGTGGTATGTCGACTACAGACGATAGCAAATAAAGTTCATGTAATATTATTCTTTTTTTTTATCCTCGAGATACATGAAATATATCAAGCTGTTTTAATATAACGAATAAACAATATTTTCTCTTTTCTATCTTTATATAAAAATTGAAATGTAACATTTTTCTTGAGGCATATTCAAAAATATTACCACCTTAAACCGAAGTTAAGAGTCAATATTTTGTTGGATATTAAATCAAAACAACACAGTAAATTTTAAGAAATTATTTACAAACATAATTTTGATTAAAAAAAGTTGATGCAATAAGAATCGATTTCTAATAATGATATTTCATCTAACAGACGTAACGTGGTGGATGGTGATCGTCATGCACTGAGGCATTAATTAGCAACGATTAATCCAACAAATTAATGCACCTGACAGCCGTCACGTATTCAAACGCTCAGTATGTGCATGACTAGCTTGGATACTATCCCTCTGGAGATATTATTTATTGCATTATACGATATTATATGCCAGTCACATTCATAAGGGAATTCGTTTTTTTTTTTAACGATAGAAGAGATTTTTTTCTGCATATTCAGTTAGATTAAAGAAGCTTTTAACTATTCAACATGTTTTAATTAATATACAGAACACATTGATTTGGTCATTGATTTTTACGCGTTTTTATAAAAGTTTAATAAAAAAATCATTTAGCATATTTTAATAGTGTAGAAAATTTATCTATTACCATTGTTAATATTTTTTCACATTTTTATTAAAAAATAATAATTAATGGAGCTTGAAAATATTTTTCGAAAGAGAAAATATTTATTTAATGAATAGCTTTGAATTATTATCAAATATTCCAATACTATTTCATTGTTACTCAGGTTTTGTACCTATGTGCATTGCTACAGAGTGATATAATATACATATCATTCATTTAAAAAGTTCTTCGTTTTTCCACTGTTAATTTAGTTCTTTGCGGGTAGTTTTATTTGCTGGGTGAGTTAATATTTTATACTCTCTTTTAAACGTATGATAAACACGTTATTATATTCGTTTAATTACCTTTTATTTTTATTCATTCCATCTATTTTTATACTGTTTTTATCCTCCATTTCTTAGTTTATTATATCATAAGTTTAAAAATTCAGTTTTGATTGAATTTATTGGATCTTAAATTGTCAATTGTTCAGTTAAAATCTCAATTTAACTTCTTTTATTATTTAAATAATTATATATTTAAAAAATACTGAAAAATAATTTTATAGATTGAAGATATTAATTTATTATTCATTTTCTCGATTAATGATATGATAAAAATACATTTATATTAAATATAAAATATCTATTCCCACGTATATATGTAGGAGTGTAGATATATTAAATAGAGACCTTTTCGAGATACTAATCAATAACTTTGTAACGCTTGACTGGTATTCTATTCTCTTTATCCATATGACTCGTGAATTACCTTCTAAGCCTCTTATGTGGTTTACATATATAGTTTACTATCTTTTATCTCGTTATATTCAAGAATATCAAAAAAATTATTCAATTTTCCTATCGTGATTGTGATTCCTTAAAATACTTATCTATTAAGAACAATCACTTTTCTTTTTTTATAATTAAATCATTATTTTTTTCTGTATCGTACAAACAGAATTTTTTATAGATACATTTTTTTCCATACTTGTTTTTTTTCTGATTGTTATCAAAGATAAAAAAAAAAAAGAATTAACGTAATCCATGTCAGAATATAGCACTATGACCCCTGAAGACTTTATTGACTCAATATCACATCAACAAAAAGAAGATATGGAAAATTAACTGGCGAATTTCTTTCATCCTTAGAAGTTTTATTTTTCTTTCTGTCTGTTTGAATGGTGGTGAGTGAAGTAACGGACGGTGAGTCTCAAGAGCGACAAAGAACGTGGGGAAATAGAGTGTGAGAAGAGAAACTTAGAGAGTTGGCTAGCTTTTACCCAGAAGCTTCAACTGGAAAACTCTTGCTTTATTTTACGTTGCTCTTATTTTATCGATGTGACAAACTAATACGAAACCTGATAAATTCGATTTTCTGTTTATCAGTTTACTATTTGTATTAGCACTTGGAAACAACATTATTCATTCATCATTTTTTTAAAATATATAAAATTAGTTTATTATTAGAAAGATAACCAATAAATTTGATATAGTAATTTTCATAAAATAACTCAGATGAAATTGTGATAGTTTGTACTATTTTCATTTAAAAAATCTTTCACTTTTTAGATCAGTTATTGATATTAGTTAGAACAAATGAATTTACATTTATCATTTTTTTACATTATAATTATAATTCAGTATCCTCTAGTCATTTTTAATCATTTCCAATGAATAATTAATTAAAATTTTCATTTGTTACTCCAAACATCTACCACAAACTTTGCTCAAAATTTTCTTAATAAATGTGATGTTTATTTTTTGGAGAATAATAGCTGAATATTTGAATAATATTAGCTGCTTTGTATACGTTTATGTAATATGTAAACAGTGAAATGTAAAAAATGGAATAACATCACCAAGCAAAGCTATGATAATATTATATATATTTATACAAGAGAATCTATTTTGCTGCATTAAGTAGTAAGCTCCAATCTATCATTATCATGCTACTATTTGACTTAGAAGTCACGTAATTTGTTTCGTTATCTGTGTAATTAGAACAGGTAGACTGAAAAGTTAATTATACTAATCACTATATTGGCTATAATTATTTTGCCGGATTTGTTTGGATTTATATATGCATGTAATCGGTTGGAACAGTTCAAATGTAGTACATCTAAATAATGATGTTAAATAACATTTGCTTCATGTTAAAGTTCGAATGGGAACTTTTGGACGTGATAGAATGACTTTGATTTTTGAAACTTTATTTTGTTTGTTTTTTTTTTCATATATATCAATCAAACTCAAAAACAGAAAATTTATAAATAATTACCTGAAGATGATGAATCTTATATTTTCAGAATTTAATTTCACATCATTTTGAAATAAAACAAATATTTATTTTCTTCTTTTTTTCAACCGAGTCATTGCGAATTAAGGGGTAGTTTATTTTATTAAGAAAAAATATAATTCACCCGAATACTACCTTCATTTCGAAGTTGTCTTTAAAATCTTATCAGGTTGTGTCGTATGACCCTGTTACTCACTCAGTCACAAAATTCAATGTGCAGCTCAATTTCATGAATGCACTTATGTAAACGCTTTTCTACTTTCAATTTCATAGCTTTTAAACAAATAAATTTTCCTCAAGATGATTATTTCTGTAAATTTAAAAGAAAAATAATGTCATGCTTACAAATACTCAAATGAATTTGACTTAAAAGTTAATGAAAAATATATTTATTTTGAAGCAATTCAAAGAAGTAGAAGAATGAAGAGTAAAGATGAATTTTAAAAATTTTTCAGATGTCCTGACAGCGGGCCACGGGCCACCAGGATGCCGACAGACGACGACTATGGCCGAAGAGAACGTCTCCTGTTGCACCAACACTCAACTTCTCAATTCGGAACATCGACGACATCATCAACGGTATCAGGAACTAATAACGGAATCTCAAGTTCACAAAGTGTTCCGACCAGCGCCGGTAGTGGAATTAACAGTAGTAGTACCACTGACTGTTATCTCAAACAGCAATTATCACAGCCAGAATCGAGAGCTCCTTCATCTACGAGTGTTTCCCAAGAGCTTTATCAGAAGACGGTATGTGGAAATAGCAACGGAAATAACGAAAGAATTGAATCAAATGAGTCGACTGACTATGGAGCCCGAATTACGATGGATAAATATGAAAAACAAGTTGAGAAGCAACAACAATCACTGGACGATTCGACAACATATAGCGATCAATCAAGATCAATTACATCATGTTGTGAACGGTTTAATGTGCCACAAAACCATGAAAAATTCAATCAGCCCACATTGTGCACTGAGGGAAACCAGAGCAATCATCAATACTCAAGACAACAGCAACCAGTATCACAGAATGGCATTATGCCATATTTTAGATACACTGAAACGAATTCAAACACAACCGATCAAAGGCTGTCCATTCAATCAACTGATCGCTTTCAACGTATTGATCGTTTTCAAAGTGACAGCGCTTTGGCAGCGATGCCAAAATCTTCGGTGGTTGGTGAATATGCCAACTCAGGAATTCTTGCTCTATCTACTAGTAAACCATTTTCTCCGGAAACTTTTCCCTCACCACCTTCACCTGCACCGACAAATGACCGCTTTGTACCGCCGCCACCGCTTTCTCCAAGTTCCAGTGACAAATATGCTTCTACTCATAGTTTGGTTGGTTATCCTTCTGCTGATCGGATTTTGCCTCCTGGCTCTCCAAATATCAGAAACCGTTACGGAACTGCGCCAGCATCACCAATTCCTAAAAATCGATTCGCATCAACTGAAAAGTTACTGGCGTCTACCAATACTAGTTCCTCGAGTACAACACACGATGCCAAAGATCAACAACAACGATACGCAGTATCAACCGAACGTCTTTTGGCTAATGGATCACCTATATTGGGTGGACTTCAGAGAGACTCTGTCAGTCTTTTTCAAGTATCAGGATCTACCAATGAATTTAATAGATACACTTTGTCATCGGAAAAACTGCTCACATCGTCACCAATTCATGCACCAGTTCCAGAAAGATTTGCCAGTAAGAATGGTGATAGGTTTATAACTGATTCACCTACTCATGATCGTTATCATCGACACGAGTCATCTAGTATTCATCATGATCGATTATCAACAATTACGACATGTGATAAATATCTATCAAATACATCTAATTTAGAAACAACACATCAACCATATAATACTTCTGATAGAATTCTTGGTAGCTCATCTGCTACTGATGCCATAACATCACGACGTTTCTCTACTACTGAACAATGTCAAAAATATTCCGACAGAGGTGACAGATGTTCTAGCTCAAGTTCACCAGCACCTACAGAATATTCATGTAGATATTCTACCTTCCAAGATATATCCGGTCAATCACGATATACTATTGATCGTTTCAATGATCTTACACTTCAACGCCTAAGTCAATCACGAATCAATGACAGATTTAGTGACCGTTATCTCGTTAATTCTTCACCTACTCATGACGGAAGAACCACTTCAGAATCAACTAATCGATTTGTTAATACATGTTCAACTGAACGACTTTTGGTCTCCTCATCGCCTTCATCATCTGAAAATAGCAGATTTCATAGCCTTTTTACAACTTCTGGTCAAACAAATAGTGATCGGTTTATTCAACAATCTCCAACATCTGACAGTAATAATACAAACCACCGGTATCAAAGTCAAACGTCAACTAAAAGTGACAAATTTATTCAAGTTGCAAAATCTGTATCGAGTTATGATCGTTATCAGCTCACTAATCAAGATCAATATGAGCGTACGAATCAAGAAAGAGTATATGGATTTGAACGTTACGGAAACTTGGTAGCAAACAATAGTGATCGGTATCAAGGAAATGAGCAACGCTTCCATGGAAATTCTGAAATTTATTCTCCAGCACGAGGAGTTGAAGACAAGTACTTGTCACTGCCAAAACCAAAGGATTCTTATCCGACAGGCAGAATAGTTTCATCGTGTTCGTCTGTTACCAGTGGTAATGAAGGCAGAAATTATCCCAGTTCTTCAGGAACGAGTAGTTATGTGCCGCCAAATGCACATACACCGGTGGAACGATATGTACCTCAACCACCGCCAGAGGTACTTTATCCAGAAAGATATGTTGACAGATATGTGCCACCTCCAGCTCATACACCCACAGATCGTTACGTTCCAACTGCTGAATCAAGTGATCCGTATATGCGACGAGATCTTGGATTTCATCATCATTATCGGCTACCACCACCTGGATACCCATACCATCAATCACATTTTCGTTTTCGTGGTTTCACATACGCACCACCTAGTCGATTAGGTGGCAGTCCTGGATCAAGTAGCTCCAGCAGTTCAACGTCAATGCAACGAGAATTCACTACATCACCTTTATTACGACCAAAAGTTCGTGCTTCAGCAATCGAATTCACATCCACTGGAATCCCCAATCAATCATGTTGTAGTGATGCTATTGGAGGACAAAGAAATTGCTGTCAAGTTAGGAGATCATTGCCTCCAGGTGCACTATCTTCAATATCGTCTAACCAATCATCACACTCATCGTGGTGAGTATCATATTTAAATACAATATTTATTACGATACTTTAGTTGAAGATTAAATATCCATGAAAAAGTGTTATTTAAATGACATCACATTTTTTTTTAACTCAATATAATAATTAGTTACTTGAAAATCATTGCATTTTCATAGATATATTTTTCTTTCAAATCTCATCTTGTCTTATATGATAAAGTTTGGTGAATTAATATGAAAGAGCTTCTAGGAGTTCTAATTAGAGAATAAAGGTAGTTTATGCATGATACTTTAGTACATGCTTATTATACTATCTACTAATTATCCTTAATGTAATACCATCACCATGACTTTTACACCATGCCTGCGGATTATATTTCATTATAATATTAATCAGATGAAATATGAAAATGAGAAAGAATTAAAATACATACAAAATTAATTAACTGATCAATACATTTCTATTTTCTTCTATTCTATTGAATACAACTTGCTTCAAATAATTAGCTAAATAAATAATGAAATATCATGTATTATTGACATTATGGCATCATGATATTTCTTTGTAATGAATATTTACATGATAATAAATTTAATATAATGGTGTATTGTTAAGTAATAATAATAATAATCGACGTCAGGTAGACTAAAAGCTATGAACCACAGATGAAATTAAGGTGTAACTCTAGATGATGGTTTAAATTAAACTTGTGGGAAGACATAATTACCAAAGTTGAGAAGATAGGTCGTGTTGGGTGTATCCTTGTTATAACTGTTGTTGTATACGTAAAGTAACACCAACTGGTAATTTACATACAACCTTAGATACTTCCTTATTACTTTGGTTATTTCCTTGAAGGAATTTTATTTCGGTAAAACTCATTTTCAACTCTTTGAAATTTTAGAAACATTTTAATTTAGGTAGCAAACGAACAACTATTAAATTTTATATAATTTTAAACCGGAAAAAATATTACTTTGCATTGTGTTAAGTCTTCAAGTTGCTTGTAGACAAGCAGTTTTTAAAGGTTTAAAAGTAATGTCCACTTTACAAAAAAAAAAAAAAAAAGAAAAAGGAAAAGAAAACAATTTCTGATGTACATCTTATCTTTGTGGACTATTTGTATGTAAGCAATATCGATTTTATTTTTTTTTATTGGAAGATTATACAATAGAAAAAAAAAAATTCAACAAAAAATGTATGATAAATTTTTTCCTTAGTTGCTATAAAAATATTAAGAGCCTAATAAAAATAAAACTTTACAAGGTATCGTATTACAAGTATTTATAAAAATTAATGAGACACAGGTTAATCACATTATTTATACTCTTACGAGCAAAGAAATTTTTTCTGAGATATTTCAAATATTTCTTATATATATATATTTTTTAATTTTTTGTTGAAATAAATAAAATGTCTTTATAAAATTAGACTTTATAGACAATTTATGTAATAAAATTCCAGAGAATGTGACATTATTGTTATTATTTGAAAGAATTTACATGAATATATAATATCCTATTATTTCTTTATAAACATTAAAAACATTTTTTAACTCTATTATAAAAGTTTTACAAAAAATAAAAACACCAAAGTGTTCGATTGAATTGACGTTTTTGCAATAATGGAACATTAACAAGGTTTCAAACACAATAAAGAAATTGAACGTCTGATAATAAAAAAAGACAACAAAAAAATTCCCATCAGTTTTGATGTCTATTTTATACTCGTGATATTCAAAGTTAAATAATAGGTAATTTTTAGCGAATTCTCATTCAAAAGTATCATAAAAATAATCGCTAATCATTAAATACTGTATATCTAATACTTTGATCGATGTACAGTTATAAAAAGTTATTTTACTTATCTTTACGTAGATACTTATCACATTAAATCATTTTAACATTTATTTGAGAATAATTCAAATAATCACAAGTGCTTTTATTGATAGATTTAATGAATTTATTCATGTATTAATGAAAACAAATTGCCTATTTAACAATGATAAGATTTGATGGTCATTGTTTATATGGCATATTTCCAATGAATTTATTATAATAATCCCATAAATAAATGTTTCTATTTTAAATACTACTGCCTGAATTACCTTCTTGTAATTCTTGCTCATCGTACCTTTCTGAAATAAAAAAAAGCCAATAAATTAATTGTACAATTAAATATTGATAGTTATTTTATTTGTGCTTTATTGGTAAACAAATTTAATCAACTTTTAGAGTTTGGAGTGAAATTTATGGGTTTGTTTTCACGTTTTATCGACGAAATATACTCGTGAGATCTAATAGGATTGTATCAAATTTAGCAAGCATGTTCAATTTTCATGCACTTGAGAGAAACTTTAGGAATGTAGGAAGAAAATGGGAAAGACGATAAATGACCTGTAAAAAAGTTTCAAGTCGAAAATCGAATGATAGCATGCAATTTTATTTGGCTACACGTGCTATACAATTTTAACAGCCATAGAATCTTATTACATACATTCATGAATAGAGATAATGTAAAACTATGTAAAATAAAAAATACTGCTTTTAATTTTTAAAATCAATTTTGTTAAATTTAAATATGTATAAAATAAGTATATTCAAAACTTACTATAGCTTCAAAACACTATCTGTCCAGTTATTTTTCTGTAACTTTCTCTTTCTACTTCAGATTTCTGTGTTGAACCTAAGCATCATGAATGTGCGGCAACACCGCATTTAAGTAATGTGATAAGGTCTAGAAAATTTACTCCATTACGTGAGATGGTGTTAAAATAAGTGAGATTACTTTGCTTCATGATTAGTTATCAGTCGTTTGTTGACCTCCAATTTGTTACTATTTAGCAAAAATTATGTTAATGTATAAATATGTTGGAAGATGATTGTGATGTAAAAAAGAACATAGCTGAATCATGTTGCTGTCATCAACACGTGGATCTAATATACATACTGTGATAAAATTTAATTGATTGGATTCTAATGTGTTCTCAAGTGTTATCATGAATCAATTAAATATCTCTGATGATTATGTGATAACTGTGATTTTTTTTTATTTACTTTGAAATTGCACTGAAAAGAATTATATAATATTCAAAAATGTGAGTTTTCATATTTGTTTTACATCAATTTAGTACAAAAGTTTGTATACCTTTTTATCAGTAAATCTTTCATGACAATTGTTGGCATATCTAATTTTAGTAAACAACTAGTACAGAGATGATTGGATAAAAATGATTGAAAAAAATTTTTTTTCAAAGAGTAAAGATGAAAGAACATATATGGTAGTTACTCCAAAATAATAATATCATCATTATTGCTATGTGAATTATATTTTATTCTATACTATAGTTCATTTACACTTGCATATAATTTCTCAGTGTTTATTGTTGTAAATGAAATGCAATTTTTTTGCTGAATCAATTGACAGGTCTTTAGTCTTACTTGTGACAAGTAAATTTTTTAATTATGATGAATAACAATTTTACTTGTATGTACTAAATTGGAAACTTGTTACTTCTCTACTTCAATTTAGTACAAAATCGTTCTTAGTATAAGTGAGTGCATGTGAAGCACGTCACGCAACATGCAAACCATTTATTGCGTACATAAAGTATAGAGCATAAACCTCCATAGTCCTGAAAATTTTATTAAAGCGCAAGCGCATAGCTGTTCTTGATAACATATCGCATATTTTTATCCTAAATCTTGTTAGAATTGTTATTAATATCCAGCTAAGTAACCGGGTTCAAAAATTATAATTATTATTCAACTATTTCTTTTTTTATAAGCCTCTTTAAATCATTTATTTACATCATTTATCCATATTTTTAATATTATCAAAATTTTAATTTATTTAAATATAAGTATATATTTACATGAATACATAAACATATACCTACACTAAAGTATTCTTTATTGATTTTAAAGATCTATGAATATTTATACCTGTATGAATTCAATATTTAATTACATATAAAAGTTTTAGATAACAAAAATGATATTTAAGTTGATGTTAGCTAAGAGTATTTTTCGTTTTCTTCTACCTTTACAAACGACCTAGCTAAGTCTCGACCTATTCTACCTTTTTTCCGTTTCCTCAACTTACTTATTTTTTTTTGTTTTTCAGTTTTGTTTACATAAGAGTGATGCGTTTCTCCAAGAGGATGGCTTTTAGTTCCATTTCCATTTGAACCATTATTTTTTCTTATTCGCCGCCCTCATCACGGAACTCTTACTCTTCTTCAACTAACTCTTCAAAACTTAAAAGAATTTCTTACAGTTTCTCAGATTTTTGAATGAATACACTCGATTGTCCCCAAAAAATACAATCTTCCTTATTTTTTTGTATAACTATGAGACCCACTACCCATATTCCTCCATTAGTTTAAAAGAAATCATCTACTTGACACTGTTACTCAGGAAAGCTCTAAAAGCTTCTCATTTTTGTTGTATTTTTCTCATAAGATTCATCAGTTTTTATCTGCTGATGTTTTTATGTACAAGTGGTAGTCTGTTTTATTTATAGTAATCAATAATTTGCTGATTTTATGCCTTTGCTTTGTTATATTTCTATTCTATTAATTGAAATATTGTAAATAATATCTAAAATCAATTTTTAATTTAAATGTATGCATAAAATCATAATTTTAAACAAAGATTTTTATCATAACATAATAGTAAATCATAACATAATAATAGTAAAAAAAATTTTTTGAATTATTGTCATTTTGTTTATGATAATAAACAAATGAATAATAATAAATTTATTAATAATTAATATATATTATGAAATGTTCAGAAATTGATAAAATAGTTGTTATTATTATACTTTTTATGAAAGATATAATCAAGCAATGAAATCCATATTAAAAATACATAACTGAAAATAAAATAAACATTTGTTAACGAAAAAAATGTTATAAATATGCCTTCAAATTAGAAGAATAAAAATAGAACAAGAGTTATTTTCAAGAGTCGTTACTGGGACTGCACTAGTAGAGAATTTCGTTCTTTTCGCACGCCTTACAGTAGTATATGTGTAAGTTAAGTCGGACAAGGAAGAAAAGTGAGTAGGTAGAAGGATAAGTTTTAACAGAACAAAAGATCCCGCGAGACCCAGTTTTCCCGGGTGAACACTCGCGGCAAGTTATGCTTCTGTTATATGCAAGAGAGTCGAAGAATCTTTCAAAAAAAAAAAAAAGAGAAGAAAATTATAAATTTACACTCATGCTTCAAAAGTGTCAAGAAGAATACAAACAATATAATTCTACTTTTAATTATTTAATTTATTATTTGGAATTGAAAATATAATTTAAAAAAAAGATTTATTTTTTTTTATTTGAGTGTATTTGTTGATTAATTTATTCAATGTTATCTCGGTACTTCCAAACATTAGAAATCACAGTCATGCAAGCATTAAATTTCATGTGACAAATAACTATGGTCTTTACGTCAAATATTGTACGTGTTAGGCATATCTTCATGCTCGGTATTCAGTAATTAGTGAATGGAATCACATTAATAATCCTTCCAAAGTTTCTCTCTCTCTCACGTTGTGGATTACTCTATGTATATATGTATATATATATATTTATCTGACTATGGATAAATTAATCAAAATATAATCCATATTGATGAGCCCTTATGAATACATTTTATAAGTGGATGAAAAAAGTGATAAATAATCTTCTGATATTTCTCCACTTCAATATTTTACTATCTAATTACTTCTTTTATTTTCTTATCTAATTATTATTTTCATACAAATATTGAGTATTCTCTTTGAATACTCTGATAAAATAAAGTACTTTATACTATCAAGTCACTTCATCTTTCAATAAGACATGAAAGCTTTATATTTAATGTCATCAAAACTTTTTCCTTTTGTGCCATTTCTTTTAATATACATTTTTTAAAATTATTTTAAACAATTGCACTGATTTATGTATATGTATATATACTAGTTATTAAACAGTTGACTGAAATGAAGCTTAAAGCACACTCATTAGAATATTGACATCAAGTCATCAACATTACAGTTAATTCTCTCAATGCTATTTGCTGTAGTTTACAACTATCAGAAAGGAATTGGTTATAATCGTAGTTAATCTCTTAATAATTATAATCTCAGTTTGAATGTATACCAGTATCATGTTGATGGGCTATAATTTAATTCAATCAATTAATGATATTATGAATTAAAATATTTCAAAATAGAAAAGTATTGATCATAGGAATACAAAAAAAGTTGAATTGTTGAAATCCAGTTGATTAATGCTAAAACCGATAATGTTTCAATGTCTGCGTGCTTTGAAGAGCCTGATCAAAATGTTAGATTCATTTAGTTAACATACGATGGTCAAGTAAAGCTCTTTGCTCAGAGGCTTACTTCCTACTGTAATATCTCACTTGTTCGCGTGATATGTTCTTCTAATTTAAATAGATTATTAGGAGTCGTAATTATACTGTGGAAAAAAATTGAATCATTCTCTTTGTAACATTCTTTTTTAAATCCTATTTTTAAAATGAAATATTAATAACGATATATATAACTTGATAGTTAAATATTATATCAAGGACTAAATTTAATTAGTGAAAATATGGCAAGTTGTAATGTACTTGATAGAAAATTTCATTACCAATGATTCACCTTCACACTATATTACAAATTATCAACATAATTTCAGAATGATATGCGATATCTAGTAAACTCGTCAAACCGGAAATTAAACGTTACTGAACTCAGTCCCATACTCAAGTTCACAAACGTGCTTAGTAGACTTGAATGGAAATATATCTATGCTTGTAATAGATATTATTTGCTATAAAGTCAAAGCAACATTATAATGAGAGAGAAAGGTAGAACATAGTGATTTATGTGACGTAGGTCAGGAAGGAACGTGCTCATCTTGACAGATATTCTCTGAGAATATTTCATTAAAAGTTACGTTGATCCGTCCATTAAATAGATATTTAACTGATGTTAACAGCACGCTAAAATCAATTTTATGTAACTCTAAACTACTTTTTATTTTAATCATCAGTTTCTGAGCCATTTGTTGAAATAGAAAATAATGAATTTGATGGATAAATGAAAATTTATAATCAATCGATAGTAGAGTTATGTATTGAATACGATAATATATCTTGTTCTAGGCAACAATCTCCTAGTTCAGGAACGACTGGAACATCGACAATATCCTCATCCGGTGGTGATGGTGAGAATGCTCCAAGTATTGGTATGTACGCTGTAGGCAATAGTAGTAATGTTGAACATTCGGATATCCCTACATCGATAGTTCCAACAATATCACCATCCGTGCCTTCGGCAACCACCACTTCGACAATCGGTGTATCAGGTTCAGCTATTACACGAAGTGTTTCAGCACCGGCAACATCTAGACCAGGTGTTCAAGTGAATACTTCAATTAGCACTTCTGCATCAACAGGTCAAAGACCGAAACTCAAGAGAAATATCAGTCGTACTGAGACTATTAGAAAGTGCGTAATATTGATATTTTATTTATTATATTATAACACTTTGAGATATAGAAGAATTTAAATAAAAACAGTTTATTTGCTAAGTCATATGTAAGATTAAAAATCAATAGCAACTATCATTTATTTTTTTCTGAAAAATCATTGTCGATTTTAAAGAAATATTTATTTAATAAAAATATATCTTGTGTAGTAACAATGATTGATATCACTAGTAGTATTTTGAATATATAATAAAAAAAACTAAATATTTCATTTTTAGCTATATCAAAAAAGAAACTGCAAAGTTTTTTGGAGTCGATGAAGAAACAGAAGCTGCTGAAAAGCAACGATGGCTGGACCGTCGCAGACGCTTTGCTTCAAGAATGTATGGTGAATTAAATCCAGACCATAAACCACTTGATCCTGATATAACAAAAGATGTTCCTGATGCAAGTGAATCAGCAGAAGTAATTGTTAAAATAAATAAAATAAAAATAATTTATTACATTTTTTATATTATTCATATTATAATGTTAATAAAAATCATATTGTTTACAGAGTGTTACGTTACGAAGATGGCAGCAACCTGTCAGAAGAAAAGATTCTGTCGTGCGAATGACATTGTCAGGACTTCATTATATGGTTGATGTAAGCTAGATTAAAAATTTTATTATTATCAGCTGCTACAACATATTTTAAATTATTTTAATGATGTTGAATTTAGTGAACTCAGTTAAGTCAAAAGAGAAAAACTTTTTATATTAAATACAAATAAAGATTTGATGCATCAACTTTGTAAAAATTTCTATATCAGATCAAAAAAATTCATGTTATCAAGAAACTACACAAAATGACATCACGAACTTCGGTTGAAACGTCAATTGCAAAACGTCAAATATAAATTTGATAGAACATACAAAAAAAAAAATTCTAGCACAAATTCAAATAAATAAATATTCATCAATAAATACTTCTAAGAGAATATTCTAAAATTTATATATCAAAAGTCTTCTAACGATTAAAATGAAAAATAAAATTCGTCTTTATCAATTCTTTATAATCTTCTTCCATATTTTATTTTAGAGGCTGACACGACAACGCTCACGAGAAAGATCTGAGTCGCGACCTGAATCTCGAAGTTTTCCACCTAGCGTGATCTCCATTTCTCAGACAGAAACTAGCGATGTGGAAAATTTTGGCCAGAGCGATAATACTGTTGAGGAAGAGGAAGAAGAGGTATTTTTTCAAAAACCTACACCACTACCATCACCACCCGCGTCATCAGCTACGTCAACGCTTCAACAATCACAAATCTCCTCTGATCAAGTTGCAATAGCCCGAGCCAAAGACGATGAAATTACGTCGTCAAGTGTTGATCCTAACGAAAAATCTGCATCCACTTTAGATCGTGCCAACATTATTGAAGAACTTCCTGGGTAATAGGAATATTTATCATTACTGCCTAATAAATTTTCATTATTCATTTATTGATTTATAACAAACAATAAGCAGTTAAATAATTATTAATTTTTTTTTAATTTATACTAAATTTTTTATGTTAATAAAAATACTTATTTTTTATAAATATTAATACACTGTGTTAATATTATTTAATATAAATTAACTTGAATAAAAGTCATTATGAAAATAATTTTTAATTGCTTTTTTTATATTTGCATTTATTATAGATTTATACCACAAAAAGAAGAAAGACTCGTAACGGATGGAGTACAACAACATATTAGACGACCTAATTCCTCCATAAAAGATCATTATACATCTAGGTACATTATTCAACAAAATTTTCTTATAATTATTTTTCTATTTACATTATAAATATTAGTGAATGGATTTTTTTTTCATTTGTCTTTATTTTAATTGGGGAAGCAAATGTATTTGTATGAAATTATTGATTATAAATTGTGGGCTTGTTGACATGAATTTAATACCTTAATATTCTTACGGAGACGGTAGCTAGTTTTAATAGATCGCATCTAGTTAATGAGAAAAGCATTTACAGAACGAGTTGGCGCAGGTCACGATATGACGTAAGACCGAGCGATGAGGTAACACCGTTTGGTCAGAAACAGGAAGAGAATATTATTCTAAGGAGAGAGATAACAGGACGAACTCGAATATCACCTAACACTATTGATCGGGTCTTTGATAATAGTAATCGACGTCAATATGGTATGGGAATAATTGGTAGATTCTTCGGGTAAGATAATTATGTACTTTTATCAATGTAAATATACAACTTTTTTACCAACCATTTAAGTTGAAATATCATTTTAACTGGATCACAATTTTCTTACAATAGATCATTTCGGAGGAATATTGCTCATAAACCTCACATTAGAAAACAGTTGGATGATATTGAAGACCACAGGCCATTCTTTACCTACTGGATAACCATTGTTCAAATTCTAGTAATGATTATTTCATTAGCGTGCTATGGATTTGGACCTGTTGGTATTGACGTAAATCATCGATCAGGTCTTGTAAGTATATCATGAATAATTGCATTATTATGAAAAATTTTTATTGCTACTTAGTCTTAAACTTATGCTCAGGCTAGAGAACCGAGTAATGAACCCGAGTACTCTAATACTGTTTTCCTCTCAACAAAAACTAATATTCTTAAAAAAAATTACAATGATATATTTTTCAAACATTTATAAGTACGTTAATTGTGCATAGAATATTCTAGAGAGACTTAAATAATAGTAATAGTTATTAAAAATGATAATACTAATATTTTTATTTATGTAAAGTAATCACATTCATTTTAAAGTATATTTTAATTAAAAACCATACCATTAATACAATTTTAAATTATGTTTTATTCTTCATGTTTTTTTAAAAATATTTTTATCCATTTCATTGCATTAACGAATTGCAAATTTCAAATATTTTCTATGTGCCCCATTAGAGAGTATTTTCTTTCAATATTCATTAAAATTTACATTCTCTTTTACATTTTTTAATAAGTTTGAAATGCAAAAACTTTTATATAAAAATTTAAATCAACTTTACATATACATATATATATATATATATTTATTTATTTATTCAATGAGGTTCTCGTGACGAGTCTTTCGTTGCAACAAGTGGATTATCAAGAACCAGCAAACTTTTGGATTGGTCCGAGAGCAGCTGACCTCATTCATTTAGGTGCTAAATTTGCACCTTGCATGCGACGAGACATGAAAATTCTCAAAGAAATCGACGTATGGAGAGAAAGAGAACGAGACACAGCTTGTTGCATTAGAAATGATGACTCAGGTTGCGTACAATCGAGTAAAGCAGATTGTTCAGTAAGTTTATAATTATTATTTATTAGTTGCTTTTATCACTGGTTGAATACTAACTAAATTCTAATATTAATAATCAATATGATTATCAACTATATCATTATAACTGGTGTTGGCAAAGTAAACAAATGTTAACATAAATATGTTCATCAAAAGTAGTTGAATATAATGTGTTATTCAAATAACAATATTAAAAATAAATACATGCTAATTCAACTTCATACTACCTATTTATTATGAAGTAGAATAATAAATTAATTTCTTATGCTTACCAACTGATCCGGGGAGTGAGATCGACAACGGTGACGGTAAATTTGATATTTAAAAAATTATACATGTTTGTGTGTATATATATATATATATATATATATATACATATATATATATATATTATAATAATAATGTTTATAGAATACCATATCAACGTGGAAGAAATGGGGCCCTAGTGATAGCGGACCAGGAGGAAGAATAAGTGGATCAGTATGCGGATTAGACCCAAAATTTTGTGATGCACCGGCAAGTATAGCGCCTTATGAATGGCCGGATGACATCACCAAATGGCCAATTTGTCGAAAAACAAATCCTTTTAGTCAAAGATTTCGGTAATTTAGATTTTGATTACAGAATAAATTTCTATGAATATATAAATTAATTATTAAAATAAAAAATAATTATGCTTTTGATTTTTTAGAAGCAATAATGGTCGTCCGTCAGGCAACAATAACTTCCCTGTAGGAAGGTATAAAGACAAAATGGCAGAACACATGGTATGCGAAGTTATCGGACATCCTTGTTGCATTGGTATCCATGGAATGTGTAGGATTACGACGAAAGAGTATTGTGATTTTGTTCATGGATATTTTCATGAAGAAGCATCTCTTTGTTCTCAAGTTGAATGCCTCCATGATGTTTGTGGAATGATACCTTTTTTACATCCTGAATGGCCAGATCAATTTTACAGATTATTTACTACGACATTCCTTCATGCTGGGTATGTTATTCAGCAAATTACAGATTTAAATACTCTCTCAATAAGTAGATTATAAAAATTGAACTAAAAGTAAAAAATACGTTCATATATTATGAAATTATTTTTAATTGAATGTTTTAATAATATTTCAGAATCTTGCATCTCGCTATCACTCTACTTGTTCAATATTATCTAATGAGGGATCTCGAAAAAATAACAGGGTCTTTAAGGATAGCTTTAATATATTTTACTGGAGCATTAGCTGGAAATCTTGCTAGTGCAATATTTATTCCATACCGAGCTGAAGTATGTATTCAGAAAAATAATGAATATATAATTATAAATATCTTATTTTCGAAATAACATAAAATTAAATTATATTAATTTTATGAATAGGTGGGACCTGCGGGTGCACATTTTGCTCTTCTTGCAACATTAGTTGTAGAAGTTCTGAACTGCTGGCCAATGTTGAAACACCCACGACGAGCGTTAACAAAATTAATTCTCATACTTACGGGATTTCTTATTCTTGGAGTTCTACCATGGGTGGACAATTATGCCCATTTTTTTGGTTTCATCTTTGGTTTTCTAGCATCTTACGCTTTGATGCCGTTCATTTCTTTTGGTCAATATGACCATCGCCGTAAAATTCTTCTTATTTGGATTTGTCTATTTCTTATACTCGGATTGTTTGCACTTCTTTTAACTCTATTTTATAATATTCCAGTGTATGAATGTGAAATATGTAAACTTTTCAATTGTATTCCATTTACTCGAGACTTTTGCGCTTCTCAAAATATAAATTTCAAAAGAGAAGAGCCTGTATGACATTCGGGGCCGCGGTTACCAGTCGAGCGCCAAGTACCGCTTGGCCCCCAAAATTACGCTCGTCAAAACGCACACAATGAAAATATTCTTATAACAAATGCCAACAATCACAATGAAATAGTTGTAGCTTTTTTCGCTACAACTATGTCAGTATATAAATATTTTAATGATTACAAACAATGAAAAAATAAATTCTTTACGTATTTATGATCAATCGTAATAAATACTTGAATTGATGTAATTCAATAATTGTACAGGCATTATAGAGATAAAAAAAATATTATAATAATCGATAAATTATTCTTGACCTTTTCCACTACTGCCATTCAATAACTTAATTAAAATCATGTAAACACACTCGTTGATACACAGTGGGTGTATGACAACAAAATGCCTTAAAATTGACGGTACGAACTGTAAAAGATGACGTGTAGTTTCGACGATTGTGAATAATCTCAATTTTTGTAAATATGATATTAAAAAACGAGTTAATTATATGCACTCAATCTTCAATATTATTTCCCATGATTCTAATACTCATCTTTCGAATGTATTATGTTATTATGATTAATCATAATATCAATAATAATAACTATTAATAATCATCACAATAATAATTATTATTATTATAACTATAACAATAATAATAATAACAAAAATAAGTGTAATATAATTTATTAATATTATTATTGTTATACCTTCTTGTAATACTATGACAAGTAAATTTGTAAATAAATAATTCTTCTTATCTGCTTAGCAGTTGCAATTTTAATTAAACTGCGATATAGATATTAAAGAACTAATTAATGAGTAATTGAAATCATTTTGAACGCAAAAAAAGTCTGTGAAGTGATAAAAAATTTTTTCATCACTCAAAATTAAGTATGACAATGTCAAAAACAAAAAAAAAAAGAAATTAAATATAAAAAAAAGAAACGATCGAAAAATAAAATTATTTAGTTTGTGTATAACAAGAAATGGGAACATTTAAATGAGTGACAGTGATAAAATATTGAATTCTTTTTATAATCAGAAGTGAATGATTCGATGTATTAGACAAAAACTCTTTAATCAATTAAATAAAGTATTTGTAAATAATTATTCAATAAAATATGTTTACATTGAATGAACAAATGATAAGTAATGTAGTTAAAGATGAGAATTGTAAAATTTTCATCTTTGAAAGTGACACTAAACATTTACCTTGAATAATGTAATGTAATGACATGAATGTGTATTTTATTATAAAAACCTATGTGGTGATGATAAACAAGTAAAGTAAAAATGATAAGAGCGAAATCATCGAAAATGTACGTGAGATTTAATGATATAAATCGAAAATACATTTACATTGTTTGGATGGATTTCATTGAATTGAAGAAAACTGTTAATTTATATTATGAAAAATGAATACAAGTTATATAAAAAAATGCATTTATCAATGAAAATATGAATAAACAAGGATCTGAAAAAGTACGAAAAAAAACTAAAAACGAAATGTGCCACGAAATAAGAAAATTCAGAACGATCTTTAGCATTTTTATCATAACTGAGTGTAATTTGTAAATTAATAAATAAAGTTACCGTTACGGCGTAAATGCATCCAATATTATACTTTTTTTTTAGTTTATTTTTTATTAATAATACAAATCTCTGATAACAAAATACGACTGTTTACTTAACAATAGGTTGATTGATTTATTTATAAATAATCTGTAACGATAATAATTATTTCTGTGATTGAGTTTTTTATACAATTGATTTTGAAGAATTTTTTTTTATTATTAAATTTTTACAATTAAGATTCAATTAAGTGATAAATGTTACATATATTCTTCCAACAAGAATTTTTAAGTGTCGACATTAATGTAAAATAATAATGATAATAATAAAAAATAAAAATTTAAGGGTGCTTTGAGCGTATCAATTGTACGGTAACTTTTTTAAAAGACTAAGAAGTATAGAAATATAAATATAAATATTATTTAATATTAACAAATAATGTACAGAAAATATGAAAAAATATAATGTGTCAGAACTATGGCCCTTTAGGATTATTCTTTCGCACAAATATCTTTTGAACAAATACTATTTATTAAGAAGGAATTCTATTCTTTTAGCTTCTAAACCTATACATAAAAGCCCGATATTTTTTTTATTCATTCGAACTTCTAAACCGTACGTATATAAAATATTAGAAGAGCGAATGAATAATTGAAAAGGTGCGAAAGAATTTTTCCTGATCACCTCATTCGCATTCAAACATTAATTTAGACAAATTTATAAATGATTTAATAATATTAGGTTTTCAATGTCACATGTTTCTGACACACTATTTACAATAACTGCATATGAAAAATAAAGAATACATAAATAAATCAACTTGCAACAAAGAATAACAGTCTGTAAGAAAACAAATCCAATGCAACATAATTAAATATTTTTTTTTTATGCAAAAAAATTGAACATTACTATTCATCATTAAAAAAAAAAATTATAACTAAACATTAAAATAATTTAAATTTTATATTCATTCGTTTTTATTGTTATTGCAATAAATTTCATTATTATCTATACGTTGAATATTGACTATTAACATGGTGATTCTGAATAATTACTCTCATTATTTTATATTCATTTAATCGTCCTTTTAAATTTAATAAAGACAACAAAATATGCTAAATATGTATAATATTAATATACAATGCATTCAAAAACTTTGTGATAATGAGAAATAAAATCGTAGTATATATACATTGATGTGTATATATATTCGAATTTATGATCAAGACGAGTGCAAGTGTGGTAATTGTCGAAAAAATGACATTGTTAATTATTGTAAATGTGTCATATACATAGCATGCGTAAAACAAAACAAAAAACATTGACAAAAATAAATCTGAAATACTTCGATATTTATTCACGCTTTCATAACGTGATAGAATGTTTAAAAAAAATTTTGGTCTCATATTTCAAAGCAGATCTTTTTCTAATTTCTATTTCATTCACTTTAATATTAATATACATTCTACCATGTTCGTAAGGTGTTGTTTTTAATGTCCTTTATTGTTAAAAATTTTTTATTCAATTGAATAATATAAAATTATAATTATTTTATTATTATTATCCGTCATAAAATAATACTATTGAACAGATAAAATACTAACATATTCTTTAGATGGAAAAGAATTAATTATACATAATTAATTTAAAAGAAAATTACTAATCAAGCCAGTTTTGTTCACAAAGCAACGTAACATAATTCCTGACTCTGTTAATAAATATTTCATTTTTCGGTGATGATTCAAGTAAACTCTTGACATTATGGGCATTAGGATCACTAGCGTCAACATCGATTGTAATGATTTTCAACATACAAGCACAATGTGTAAATTCTATACACGTATCCTTACGTAACTGTTCGTTGAAAGTATCCCGCGAATATGGCGTTACATCACAATTGAGTAATTGCAATCTTTCTATGAGTACTTGATAGTAATAATCTACAAGGTCATTATAATGAGTTTTGAATACGTCTGACTCCAGACCAACACCCAAAAAAAATGCAAGTTCTCGTAATGGACTGAGAAATAAATAATTCTGAAAATCTACAAATTTAATATCATCAGGAATCCCTGTTTCTGCTGATTTGTGAAACATAAAATTATTAGTCCAAAAATCAGCATGAATAATTGAAGACCATGGTTCATCAGGTATTGCTCTCCAAGATTCAGCAGTTCCAGCAGAAAAAGCTTTTTCACATGAAGGAAAATATTGTTTTATTTTTTCATCGTGCTCAATAGTTGTTGAGAGACTTTTCATAATGCTTTCCCACGATTCAGGATTTTTAAATTCTAAACATTTAGATTTAATTTTCAGTACTTCAAAAAAACTAGGATTTTTATGTTTCATAGCAATTCCTAGAGAATGAAATCGTGCCAAAGTTTGTATTGCTATTTTTGAATGATTTAAATCACATCCAATTTTTCGATCAACCATGTAATATCCTTGAACTTTTAAATTCTCCAATACAATAGCTGCATCGTCATCAAACTCAACATTTGAATTTAATGATAGTCTTGAACCATAATAAGTAGCATGATTATTGAAAACTTTATTTTCATTGATACCATTATCAATTTCTAATTTTTTATAAGCTGGAAATATTTCTGAATACATAAATATTTCTTTTTTAAATGTAAACGGAGTATCAAACATATCACGTTGAAATTGAGTTGGCGGAGGCAATTTAGCAATCATATAAAGATTTTCAATTTTATTTGATTTCGTCTTACGAATTTTCGCATCAACACTCACTATTTTACTCCCATAATTTTCACCAGGTGGAAGAAAATCTTTTGTTTCATAACTTTCAACAATTATTTCTTTTCCAAATGTTTGTTGAATAATTGATTGCAAATCTTTTACAGCTATTTGGTTCATGATTTTATTGTATTTTAACTACCTATCAGAATAATTTTAGCTCAACGTTATCAAAGTTTACTAAGCGTGTTCACATTAATACTGCAAACATGACAAGTCGATTCGAGCGTTAAAATGTCCAGACTCAAGTACTCTATAATCTTCTGATCATTACAACCTTGAAAAATCAACTACTATGTAATAATGTTAGTATACTACAACTATTATATAATAATATCCGTTAATTCAACAACCAAAAGATTCAATTCTACTGAATGCCAATTAAATACTAAATCATAAAGTACTTTAGGTAATATTTTATCAAATGAAATATAAGTGCATATAAATGTTATATAACATTCTTGACAAGAAAAGATAGCATATCCACTGATACAGTTTTTTTCGCCACGCCAAATGAACTGAATACTTCTCTGCTATGAGATATTACTTAGATATTATTCTCTTAATAAAAAATTCTGGTATACGTTTAGAAATTAGTTGTGAATTATGTTGTTTCAAATCAAGCATGGAAATGATGAAAAATTGATTCCAGCAAACATTAAAAACATTCTATCATATCTATACAAAAAAATCTTTATCTTGAAGTCTTATTGAACTTTTTCCACAGTTATCATAGAAAACAATTCAAACCAGCGGAAGACAATTAAGTTTTCAACTCAGGTAATTTTACTCGTGATTTGAGTCAACTTACTTTTCCTTCCTTAGCATGAAATGTATTATTATTATTATACATACATATGTTTGGAAGCTACTAAGCCGAATTTCTTTCTAATGCATTATTTATGAAAATAATAGTTTGATATATGTATATATTTATAAGATATTTTTAAATTCAAGATGGAATAATAGAAGATTTATAAAATGATAGTTTCATTCTTTTATTTGGATTACTCATACTATCAGAAAATCATTCATGCCATTTTACGCATATACATACATTTTAAAATAGAATATATATTATCACATCAAAAGATCATTTATATAATATTTTCTTTGAAATCCGACATTATTTGACTTTTCGGTGGGTTTGTTTATTCGCAGATAGTTATCACGACAAATATAGAATATTACATGTTTTACTAAGTACATGGATTTATAAAAAAAAAAATAAGTTGAATGTATTTAGAGATTTATAATCTAATTGTGATTTAAAACACATGATATATATCTAAGAAAATATACTTTTAGTATGTATAGTAATAATTATTTAAACAAATATGTAGATAATGCAACAATATTGCTATTTTTATGAACGATTAGTATTTTTTCATTATTTTTTATGTTGGTGAATTGATTTTTGATTTATATTAACAATTTTTAATTGATAAATTTATATTACATTGTAATTAGAAAACAATCAAGTTTATACATTCGTGTTAATTTTTTGAAGATTAAGTTAATTATGATTTAAATGTGCAATTATCGAATTATCATAAATAAAGTAGTAAATGAATAATACTTATTTTAATTGGGCACATAATGTGTGTTTTACATCGTTAATATTATCATTTAGTTGATGAATAGTTGATAACGATTATCTAACTCATCTAAATTAGCATAAATACGAGTTAAATTTGCTCTTAAATTGCAATCAATTTTTTACAGTAATATTTACATGCATGACTTAATATTTAATGATAACACTCTCAATGTGTACTTTTAGTTTAAGATTACTTCTAATTATGAAAGTTTCAATTGCAGTTTATTCGTTGTCATTGTATTTCATTATTCAGATTTAAGAATTATATGAAATTATTCAAAACTGATGTTAATTAACTATGAAAACTTGAAGTAAACGTAGGATCATAAGGTTATTATTATTGATATTAATTCAGAATAAATTTATTTATGCAATTACTTTATTTGAGCGAGATTAGCAACTAAAATGATACCATAAAATGCAATTAATTACACAAAATATGATTGCTTCAATCAAATAAATTGTAAATGTTTCATTTTATACTTGACTAAAATTGATTTAATTGATAGTCAAATCGATATTATTTATAGTAGTATGTTGAGCAATCGATCAAACATTGATATCATCAAGTCGAAGAGCAAATAATATGCTCAAAAACTTACAATTAATTATCATTTAGTGCGTACAATTCATTCACTAATCAAATAAATTCAATATTATATAGACTAGAGTGAAATAATTATTTATAAAAATCTAATTGATTTAATCAATAAACGATCTAATGATCGTAATAATTAATATATTGTGGACGATATTGTTTCGTTAAAATTGTAATTGTATGTTCGTTATATCAATTCAGACATATAATTGATGTAATATTTTAAAATCAATTTTTCAATAAATATGTACAAATTTCAATTGGTATCTAGATAGCAGTATATATTCTTGTAAAAATATATATTTATATATTTCGTTTGAATTTAAGGCAAAAAATACCTAACGAGTATTTGAAAAGTAATTAAAATAAATATATTCATATCTTAATAGAATGATCAAGTTGCTGAAATATTAATTCAAATGAATTTTTCGATGCTTATAATTAATTATTTAAAAGTACACATTATTTTGATGGTATCAACATAGTAAAAGATTATGAACAAGTGTTGAATACTCACATATAAACTTGAGAGTAAATAGTTGCTGTTTCAATTAAAAGAATATTTTTCTAAACATTATTATAATAAATATACGCAAAAATATGTTATAAAATTTTGTACATATAAATCAATAAAAAATACGTAGCAATAAAATTATATATAGTATTAAAATAATAAAAATACTCGCTCAAAAAATAAATAATTATAATTACAACTTACTTTGGTATTGGAAATAATGATATAAATGAATTATTTTCCAGACATTTTCATCAATAATTGAAATTGAATTAACACATTGTCTCGGAAGCTGGAGCCGGCCCATTCGTCATATTTTTATCATTATTATCAGAAATATTTGAATCTCGCATAGCTGATGGCCTTGATAATGTTTGTTCAATTTCTCTAGTAACGCTTATAGTAGGTGGAGGTCTTCGAGTATCTTCATCAATAGCCGATGATCGTCGTAGAATTCGATGTTCATTAGTTAAGTAAAGTTTAGTCTTAGGAGCATCTTCATTTTCAGAATCTTCATCACTACTTTCCATATATCGTCGATGAATAAGATCTTCCATTTGTTGATAATCACATTCTTCCGCATCACGTAAATGCTCATTTTCAATTTGCAAGGCCATTTCAGGATTCATTTCTGAAAAATTTTTGGATCTATTTGGAGGTGGAGAAACTGGAGGAGTTCGAGGAGGACTTAAAAGTCCACAATAACTTTCTAATTCATCAGTAATGCTTGTGTATTCAGCTCTCATAGCTAATAAAAGTGATCGTTGATTAGAACCAGTAGAATTTGGATGAATCATAGCTACTTTGGGTTCTGCCCATTTAACTCCTCGTTGTCCAGAAGATGCTAAAAGTACGGCATCTTCAGACTCTGAACGAGTTCGGCTACTTTGTCGCGTTGGACGTTCAGACGAATCCTGTCGCATTTCTGACATAGGTATGTCACTACTTGTATCTCTTTCAACTTCGGGTTTTGGTTTTAAAACTCCAGGTTCAGGTTCAGGGATGTCTTTACTTTCACCACTCTCTTCTTGACTAGTTGTCACATTTTTTTTCTCATCTGGTCCAGTTGTTGGAATATCTCCACTAGATGAAGATTCATTTCTACTAAGGTTCTCTCGTGATGTTTCCGATTGTTTTAAAGTATCATCATCTACAAATGGACTATGAAGTACAGTTGCATCTGTTAAAGATCGTATTAATTTTTTTTGACGTAATAAATTTGGTATGTGTGTATGAGACTCAGCATCGGATACTACTTCGGATCTTTCTGATACCCTTCTTGATCGTACTTCAAGATCTAAATTAGAAAAATTTTCTCCAGGCATATGGGTTGCCATAAATCGATGGATTACACCTAAATGTGCTAATGTTTGTTCATTTAACTCTTCTAATTTACGAATACGAAATTCTACAGATTGTAAAGATGCATGTTGATTATGTTCTTTTTTATCAATATCCTCTATCTTTTGGTACATATTTTCCACTCTTTCTGTTGTTAGTTTTACACGCTCTTCAGTTGACATTTGTAACTTTAATTCTTGCTCTCTAAAATATCCCTCAACACAATCTTCTTCAAAATCATACAGGCGTTCCATATCATCAGCTTCGAGAAAAAGCTTTAAACCATTATCGTATGTTTCTACTGAACGCATTTCATGTTGAGTTATGTATCTCATTATGTACTTTACTAATAAATATATATGATTTATGACAATTAATGGTGGAGGTAAAACAGGTTTTTGTTCATACTCCATAACAACCGTAAACCTTTGAAACATCCAAACTTGATGTGCTACTGCATTTACTTCAATAAAGATATTATTAAATACAGCAATTAGAAGATTAATGAGCAAAATATTAGCTACTAACAAATACATTGACATCACTGCTGGAGTTATCCATCGACCTGGTAAACATGGAATCATTCCAGGTTCATCTCCACAATCTGGATCAATATTATCAGCATACACTTCACCGTAAAGCATAAAATATGGTTCCATGAATATCTAAAAAAAAATATTCTTTATTGTTTCAAATTGAACTTGGAATTGAATTTATAAAAATAAGATTTTCTTACATCTCGAAGGATACGCCATTTTGGTTTGGCGTTTGGATTTAAAATAGCTTGTCGTGCTACTCCAAAACTCATCAGCACCACCAGTAAAAGAACAACAAAGTAGATCATATTCTTTACCATTTTTCCCATCATCGTGACTAAAGGACCTATAGATACACAACAATAAATAATAATACTCATTGTAATTTGAATATAATTGTTTATAAAATTCAAATGAATAAATTACCAAAATATTTATTAACTCCCAGTATATTCAAAATTCGAAGATACCAATAAATACTATCAACGCAATAGATCACTCGACCAACATCCAGGGTCGATTGACGTAATCTAAGTATTAGTCCAATATGGAAAAAAATAATTGCAGCGGCATCACATGGATTCCACATATTCCAAGACCATACACTAAATTTATGTGCTAATGTTGCTGGTTCAGATGTGACAATTTCTCGTACTTTTTCACATCCTAAAGTACATATGTATGCAATTGCATAAATTTCGGGCCAAGTAGGACGATCTCCCATTCGAATGAGAATTGAGTATGAAAAAAAAATTAAAAATAGGATATACGCTATCTAAAAAATAAATACAAATTTATTAATCAATTTATCAATGAAATAAGTAAATTATTAATAATAAAAAAAAACTCACAGCATTTGCCCAGAATTTAGTTATCGGTGCTGTATAAAATTCCCACAATTTTTTCTTAAAACGTAAAGGTCTACTTGTTTTGTTATCATAATATTCTGGTAAAATTTCGTAAGGTCGATGAAAATTATCATCATTGTCTGCAAGTACTTTGCCATTTTCTTGAACAATTGTTTCTTTGGCTGTAGTTGTATTTTCATTACTTATTAAAGCCTGGAGAAAAGCAGGATAATAATGGTGTGAAAAGTAACAAGACAAATAACATTTGTTAAATTTAGAGTAGGGCAAGTATTTTTTACAATGACTTAAAAACAAATAGATTGTAAACAGTTATTTTTGATATAAGAAATTATCATTAAATAATTTTCTAATATATTATGATAGATATTATGTAATAATATGTGTATACATAAACGGGTAATAAATGAATGAAAGCATTTTGTCGATTCAATTAATATTCGACTATTAATTCAGCAATAATAAAAATAATCTGATGTGATAAATTGAGAATCAATAGAATGATAAAAATGGAAATTGTGTAAAAATTGCATAACAATATACAGAATTTGAGATAAAAAAGAATTAAAGCGAAGACGTGTTTCTTATAGTTTGCATTTATCGGTTGGAAAAATGGAGATTGAAAGAAAAATATATTTAACAATACTAATAAGAGTAATAATGTATATTACATAATTATTTATGTGGTCGCAAACAAAAACGGTGATCAAAGTATTCATGTAGAGTAACAAATAACGATAATAAATAAATATACATAAATAAAGCTGGAAATAGTGCATACATATAGGGTCTTTGCATTTGAAAACCTAGCCCATTTAAAGTATACCTTAATGCCTTGCAGGCTTCCGGGTTTGTTGGAAATACTGATACTCCTGCGTGGACGTTTCTAAAAAAATAATCGATATGCGTAGCTAAAACTAATTATGACCGCTAATACTATCTCATTCATTAAGAATTCTACATGTTTGTTGTTAACTGTTATAACATGATTTGTTTTATATGATCTATTGTACTATGGGATTTTAAATAGGCGAAATTGCAGCAATAATTGTTAAATTGTTTTTTTTATTATTACCTCAACATCTGGACCAGTAGGTGCACCTTGTTCTGGCTCGCTCTCTTCATTTTCATCTTCTAGAGCTATCAAGTGTTCTTCTTGAGTTTGAGGCATTAGCTGTAGCTCTTCACGGGTTTTGAATTCTAATCGTATTATGTATAGAGGACATACTAAACCAAGAATTACCTATTAAAAAAATTATTATAATATTTACACATACCTATAATGTTTACATATTTACAAAAAATCTTTAAAAGAATAAATGCTTCACTTCATTTAAGTGAAATTTTATTTTGATACCTTTAAATTGGTATTTTTTCGAGTTCGAAGGCCACCCATCCACAAGTCAGCTAATATTATTTGACTACAGGGATGTGCAAGTAATGGTCGATGATTAGCTGTCACTGCAAGAGAAAGGCAAGTTTGACCTGACCAATTTTGAAGTTCAGAAGTTAATAATTGTTGAGTTTGATCGTCATCCTGACGATAGCAGTAGTCCAAAAGTTCTAAAGCTGATTAATTACATATACATTGAAAACATTATTTATTATTATTATAACAAAATGAGAATTTTTACTAATGATTATACTTACCAATATTTTCGAATTCTTTTCCATAACCACGAAGTTCATCATAAACTTCTGTTTCAAGATCATCTTCAGCAGCTTCATGTGCCATAGCTTTATAAAGCTTCAAAGCTACCAGAGCTTTTGCTAACGCTTCTTCACCATGCTGCCACATAAGAAGTGCCATTTGTTGTCGTTTTGTAAGCACAGCCCATATAAGTAATTCATTAAAAGGATAATCAAAAAGTGGAGTATCTCGATCGGCAGGTAGAGTTTCGGCTAATAAACTCATTGTTAAACCATGTGATTTTTCACCTAATCCTGAATAATATCGAGGAACTCCAATGGCAGTACTGTTACGATGAGTTGATGGATGACCAGAACGTTTCATTACTTTAACATAAATCATTCGAAACTTTCTGCGAGTGTATTGAGATCGATAAGCGCCGCCCATTAACTTGTTAATGACTAAACCAATGTCATGAAGAGTATACATATACCCTTGTGGAATATGTGGCCTTACGTCTCGAAGAATATACCCAAGAGTATTTGATGGCCCGTCTTTTGTATTGTAAAGCTCTTCAAGACGTGGTATAGATAAAAATTTTCTCATTGATACACCATTTTCAAGCAATAGCTTGACAAAATCAATCCTGTCATGTTGTAAAGCTTGCATCATTGCTTGATCTAAAGCACCTGGTGGCCATTTTTGACCATAAACAAATATTTCACTTCGAGCAATGTCAACTCGATTCCATATTAAAGCCAATGATAATTGTTCTGTTGGAGATAATTGTTGAGATTTAAATAATGCTGTTAAAATAGTTTGATCTAGTTCTTGAGGAAGATCTTGTGTTATCCTAAATACAGTTATCTGAAACAAAATGAATAATGAATACGAATACATAAACGTCATTAATTTATCTTCATATTTTCATTCGTATAAACTTACTAAATGTTTTTTACGAGTACATTGAAGTAATTCTGAATATAATTGAACAGCTTGCTCAGGTGAAACTTTAAAGGTATGTTTAATTGTTTCTAACAAATGCTCTTTCATACTTTCCAAGTGACTATCACTACCACTTTCTGAATCATATTCAACAGCATACCTATTGAAAATTTTTCCAATAATTCAATGATATAAAACAATAAGAGAAATAAAATACGAACTTATGCATGAAAGCAATAAGATCAGCTGCACGACCCGATCCATCACACACTACCACTGGAACCGGTGGATTATCAGTTACATATTCGAGTACTGATCGGATAGTATTGGTTCCACCCTCAATCACTAATGCTACTACTGGAATACTGCTGTGAGTATCTATAAGAAATATAATAATAATTCGTTTTATTCGAATTCTAAAAGAAGAATCTTTTTAAAAGTTTATTCTTGAATCATTAAAAAAACTATTCTAAGCTACTTACATGGTTGCAGTTTTAAATTTGATATATATTTTTCAAGTTTTCGGCGCAAAACTATTTCAGCTCCATAACGACCTCCCGTGCCGTTATCAACGAGTAAAAAATAAGCATGACGATTATTCAATACTGCATATTTTGACCTATTTAACATAGAAATAATTAGTTTGATTTTTGATGCAAATAACTTAATTTTTTTAGGAGTATACTCCAGGTTTTAATAATTGTAAGATTTTGATAACACAAACGATTATAGATCATTACCATGGCGAAGAAATTGAATCGTAAGAAATTTCCTTTCCACGTCCTATTAATTCATGACTTTTCTCTAGTATTCCCCACGGTGCAATTCCTATGCTAACAACGCGACCTTGCCTTTGTGACCGCTCCAATAATAGAGCATCCCCAACTTGTCGTGTTACACCTGTCACAGTATTTAATATATGCCCATAATTATTAGTAGATACTCTATATATGTATGTATTTTATAGTCTGAATACATGAGATCATTAAAATAGTAAAATATTATTCATGTATCAAATATTATTCTTATAAATTAGCAGAATAATATTTAAACTACTTAAGAACTATAATAAAATAAAAATGTTTATAATATACCAGTATTAGTTCCCCCTGTAAATATCCATGCTCCAGTTGTCTTAGCAGCCTTTAAGAGTCCTTTACGTAAAACCTTTTTTAAAGCTGGTTGAAGCTCAAAATTAGATCGTCCACCATGAACTGTTATTAGAAGTCTAGGCAAACCTAAATTCCATTCCCGGCGTAAAAGTTGAACTATCGGTTCTGGTCGAGTATCATGGGCCAATCTAATATACTGAAAATTAGAATTTCACTTTTTATTTTATATATTTTTAGCTATAAAATTAATTTTATTTAAAAATAAACATAAATCACCACTATTGGTGTCACATTTTATCAATATAAAGTAAAAAAGAAAATGTATCATAAAAAGTATTGAAGTTTTATATATTATTTTTATACTTGAGCTTTCATAGGATGTGGACCACCTTGGAATTCTAATGTACCATATGCATCAGTAGGTAAAGGACGTGTATTTTTTCCAGGTGTCCATTGGTCCCGTTCAATTTCTGCTGCATTTCCGGTCACATAATTTTGCACATCCGCTCCGGTACCGCAATGATGTGTATACGAATGCCCACAACAACATCTGAAATAATGAACAATTAAATTGTAATTACGTATTTGAAATAATTAAATATCAAATTTATATTGAATTAGTACTTTGTTTAGTTTATTTTATATAATAGATTCGGTTTCAACAGATAATATTATAATTACTATTCCAGGTATTTAATGTTGGTGAATGAATAAAGCTTTCAAAGCATCTGAAGAATGAAATACAATTAAATGATTAGAATGTTATTATGGTTTAGGAGTTTTAAACAATTAAAATGAATTAAAACAAGTAAAGGGATGACCTATTGTATCCATTACAAACAGATTTCATTAAAATATAAATATTTGTTATTTTGATGATAATTTTGTCTATGGTTCCCATTCATACACGTATCAAATCTCACCTGGAAGAAGTTATTACGTCGTATTCAGCGCGTTTATCTCCCTGTACTTCTTCGAACCTATAAAATGAATTTTAAAGAAAAATAAATGAAAAAAAAGTAAATAAATAAATAAATGAACCTTTCAAATTAATTGTATAAAAATAATGTATAGAAGATAAATAATTTTACTAGTAATAAAGACAACATAATACAAAAAATTATTATTATATAACAAAATAAAAGTTAAAACTTTTTTTTTAAATAAAGATATAGTTTTAAATAATAAATTTAACATGAAAAATTAAAAAAAAGTATAAAATATAATGAACCTTCAATATTCATATATAACTAATATTTATTTATTTATTCAAACAATTTGATGAAAATGTTTTTATTAGTATATTTAAGAAAATATTAACAACTTTTTTTTATTAAAGTTTTTAATGTTTCTGTATAGTTATGAACATAAATATGTTATGTGAATATGAAAATGATCAATGAAACATTAAACATTATCATGAAATTCTATTCTGCTGCGAAATCCATGTGGATAAGATTAAAACTCAATAATAACATTACCTGTGTTCATCTTTTGCGCTAGGTATAAATTTCATACATTCTCGCTTCTGAAATGTTCCTTCAATCCAGCTTCGTTCTTGAGACTAAAACAATTTAGAAAAACAAATATCAATAAAACTGTTAACGTCAGAAATTCCAAAATATTAATTAAGTTTTCACTTTAAACGATGAATTAATAATCAATTACAAACATTTAATTCAAATGTATTTTCAATTTTTGTTACAGGTCAGGAAATTATAAATTCATATTAGAATATTTTAATGTTGTTAAATTATAAATAAATTATTATTCTATAGCCTGTATATGTTATGAATAATTAATAAGCTATAAATTAAATAATGAATTAATAATAATATTAGAGAAATGATAATAATAATAATAAAAAGGTACTAGTGATGTTTAATGAGCTAATTAAAGTTGAAAAATTCAAATAAAAAAAAGAGAATGATACCTTTATTTTTTTTCTTTTTGTTTTTGGAGTGTTAGCTCCACAAATTACACTTCCAATGGCCATGATGGTGTATGGTTTTTTTTTTATTTACTTTATTAAGAAATTTTTAAAAAACTAAAAGAAACAAATAAAATTAACTAAAAATAATGTACAATCGTGCAAAAATTGTATATTCATAAAAATAAATAGCATTGTTATTACACATTGCCAATGTAAAATAAAAAATATACATTTTAAAATACATCTTTGTGCATATGACTATGCATGAAGTCTTAAAATAAATTACTTTATTTATAGAATTCTAAGATGACAGAACAAGTAGTTTACTTACCACTCTGATAATTTTTGGCTTTTCAGTCATTCCTAATTTCTCAGGATACTCCAAATACAATAATTATTGGCTTTTTTAAAATATATAATAATAAGAATTACAATAGTAAAAATACGAAAAATAATTTCTCTAGAAAGCAAATTATCAATCACAGACTAAAAAAGTCCCCCTTCCAAATATATGGCGTAGTACAAGAGTTTGCTGTAAAATAAAAGAATATATCTATTTATTAATGAAATTAATAATATTGCAATGAATATTTCAACAGAGATCATTGTGTTAATGTGTTTGCTAATTTTTATATATATTGTTGTACTGAAATAATGATTGATCTTATTAGTTGTTCTATAAAAGTAATTGTTATTAAAATCCACATAACCTTTCAATATAATTATGTTGATAAATAAATAATTAAGAAAATTTCCATGAAATTTACTTAATTAGAATACTAGAATAATATTCTAATGTTAGGATAAGATTTTAAGTTTATTTCATCAGAATTATATAATAAAAACAAATCATTTTGATCCTTAAGTACTTTGCTGCCAAAATAGATGATTGGATTATAATACTGTTAACATGAATGTTACATTCACTTGTTCACTTAAAACATTTATATATTTATTATCTTACTATTTTTAATTTTGAACAAAAGTAAAAAATAAGTGAAAAATGATAAAAATGATAACAATCAATTATGATCCTTTAAAAATATTTTATTTATAAAATTATTTGTATATATATATTTTTTTATAATTTAAATATAGTAATATATATTTATTCTGTGACATATAATTTTATAATATTCATTAATAAAAAAGAATTACATATGTAATAATGTACATACTCCAACTTAACCTTTTTTTTTTTGCTATACCCTATGAATATTTATTGTGTTCAATGTATCGAATGTAGACTAGTTATTAATTCATAAAAAATACCTATCACAATAAAATTTAAAAAACTAAAACAATATATATATATAATATAAAATTTACCTGAATTGATAAATATATAATTACTCTAAATAAAATGTTATGCAGCATACTCTCGTAACAGTTCAGTCTCGTGACAGCCACGACACGTTGGCCTACACGATATCTAACGCTATCTTGGTTTTTTCCAATTGCAAACGTCTTGGAAACTGAGTACCAAGACGCACTTCTCATACTCATGAGTTTATTTTATCGTTGAACAGTAATTAACACCAATCATCACCAAGCTTTGAACATTACATATAATACACAAAAACATGTGTATTAAACTTAACCTAATCTTCCTTTTAGAATATCACATTAACATTACAATCAATTTTTTACTATCCGTTTTTGCAACATAGACGTACGATTATGAATTAATCCAATTTTTATTATTTATCTTGATATCAATGCACCGATTTTTGCACATGAACACCTTTTAAGACAGACTTAACAGTAAATGTCTCACCAAGTTCTAGGCTCTCACGCCACTGACCATAAATTGGGTCAGCGTGGTTCAGTCAGTGTTGATTTGCATACTATACATATATTCTATCCTTCAGACCTAGCTTGTTACAGTTTTGAACTTTGTTAAACTATACTTTACTATTTTATTTATTTTTACTTTATATAAATAAGTTAATAATTAAATAATCATAATTTTATAAGTAGTTATATTGGATGAGTTAGCGTTATATTATATATTCCACATCGTAGGATGAACAAAAAATAGAAAATACACTTTTTATAAGAAATGCAATGTTTACATGATAAAATGTTGATATAAGTATAGAAATTATCGCATTAAAAATGGTTAAAAAATTCAACATTATTATATTAGCCTTGTTGACTCCAAAATAAGTCATATCTTAATTTGTTGACAGTTATTATGGATAATAGTTTGTGATGAAATAAATTAATTCTTCTTAATTGTAATACTACAGATAATACCGAAGAAAATCTATTAGTCATTATAAATTAATTCAAGAATTTGGCTAATGGTCAATTGATCAGTTAATTGGCGTTGCTATTTAATGATTAATTATCAATTATAAATGGCAAAATTATCCATACGTATTGTTTTAGAAATTTTATTTTTATCGAATGAATCAACTTATTATTCGTGTAGTGGCATAACATTATGATTCGGTTTAATTTCGTTGTTATCTAATTAAAGACTGAAAGACTCATGTTTAGCTATGCATATGTAGATTCTAAAAATCAAGGTGAAAATTAATAAATTTAAATTTCCTAGTTCAGTTTCATTGAATATTAAAAAAAAAAACCGAAACTTGAAAAAATATTCATTGATTGACTTGCAAATGATGAATTTACCTAACAGTTAATGCGACGAAGTATATTGTTAATAACAAAATACTACATTATTTGAATGAAAATGCGCATTTATAGATGGGACAAAAATAAGCGGATAATATGTTTGACCAGATCTGTCGTCAATTAATGACGTATAGCTACGCCCTTCCGACTTGCCGAATCCACTTAAATCGAGTTGGCGATAAATACATATATATAGACCTACGGAAGCTTGATCAGTTGTCAGTTTACAAACAACATTCAAAGTAATAAGATCTTTAGAGTGTTAAGATAAACATTAGTCAAATTTATTAAGTGAATTATTTTTTGAGCAATAAGTCAAAATGGCACTAGTACCATCAAACTACTGGCGTGACTGGTGGGATGATTTTGAAAGGCCACATCGTCTTTTGGATCGATATTTTGGAGTTGACCTTCACAGAGAGGATATCATCCAAACAGTTTCTTCACCATCCTATCGGGATTATTTTCGACCATGGCGAAGATTACTAGATCAAACAAAATCTGATCTTGGAGTAATTGAATCAAACTCTGACAAGTTTCGAATTGAAGTTGATGTTCATTACTTCTCACCTAGTGAAATTCTTGTGAAAACAGTTGGAAATTCAGTTATCATCCAGGCAGAACATGAAGACAAGAGGGACAGAAATAATTATACATCTCGTAAATTTATGAGACGATATGACTTACCAAAAGGTGTTGATGTCACTCGAGTAATGTCAACTCTCTCAACAGATGGAATATTGACTGTTACTGCACCCAAGATACCTATTCCTCCACCAGGAGAACGAATTATTCCTGTTAATCGTTCGTACTTTCCGGCTCTGAAATAATTCAATTAATGTCAAATGAAAACGATAGACGAAACGATCGAAAGATGTTACTTATCACACTTCGATATTTTTTCTTATCAATTTATATTCACTAACTGAATAAATAAATCAATCAATGTCTACTAAATGTAGATCGTTTTTTAATGATGTATGTAATAATGTTATTGGTTAATTGAATTATATTTTATTAATATTTATTTAGTGTATTAATAATTAAAAGTTACTTACTGAAAAACTTCACTGTTGTTGAAAAGAAAACTCTCGTTCATTAATAAAAAATGTTTTATTTTTTATGATAAATCATGGTTTTGATGTTATTGATATTTTCAATCCTATTCACTTGAACCATCGTTTTTCCTGAAATCATTTTCATATATTAATGTAATATCATTGCCAATTAGTTTATTTTTAACAAATTAATCATCAAATGTTAACTTAAGTAAGTTAACAAATTTGTCACTAAAACTATCATATCATCTTTTCTAGCTGATATTTCCCGTTTTATAAATATGATGCAATATTTGATGAGGGCTATTTCTACATATAAATTTATAGTTTAAATTTTTTTGAGTAGTCGATAATTTATTCATTCAGTTTATAACTAAAAAAAATGTCAGCTACATTAAAAAACTGGTCTATAGGTTAAATGATCGTTAAGTTGTGAAAATTTTTGGGTATAAAAGAAGCTAAAATTTCTACATGGTATCAGTTGCAGATTCAAGCTGACTTAATAACATTTTTAACATCTAGAAATATGTCGAAACAAGTTATCGTAAGTATGGTCAATTTTATTAACTGCTTCAATTGAATAAAAAAATATACATCATTAAACTCAATAAGAGCTTTCCGGAAATAATCGATCAAGGTCTCAAATACCCGATCGGTGTTTGAGTATGTTTTTATGCAACTGTCATTGATTCACCCACGTATTACTATAATAATGAGCTTATATAATCAAAATTAAATTGTTTTCTTTTTAGTTGTTTGCTATATGTATAGCTATTGCACAATGTGCCAAGTTACCAAGATTTGGTCCAGTACAAGTTCCTGTGTATCATGGTCATGTTACTGCATATCAAGGACAATCTTCAGTTGTCCAAGGTCATGCTCCAGTTCAACAATCACACTATGATGTTAATCAAGGTGTTACCCACAGGCCTGTTGGAATTGTACATCAAGATTCTCAAGTTAATCCTGATGGATCATATCATAATGTCTGGGAATCAGAAAATGGCATTAAAGTCCAAGAAGAAGCTTCTGTGAAGGTGCTTGCAAAAAATAAAGTTGCACATACTGTAACTGGTACAGTCTCTTATACTGATAATGATGGAACTCCATTCGTGCTTTCTTACACTGCCGATGAAAATGGATTCCATGCTTACGGTGATCATTTACCAGTTGGACCACCAGTTCCACCAGCTATTGCCAGAGCTCTTGAATATATTAAGAAACATCCATATGTTGAGAAAGAAGTTGTTGGTCATCACCATCATCATTTTGGGGTAGCTCCAACCGTCGAAGTTAATTAAACAAACGATTTGCCTACATATTGTACACTTTTATGAAAATAAAATTATCATACTCATAATTATTGTTACGTTATTCATCATTTTAACAGTAATAATCAAATTATTTTCCTTAATATTCCATTTTTCAATTTTTCCAATGTAGTTATTCACATTTAAAACTTTCTTCAGAAATGTCATTCAATTACTTGCAGTTGGTAATTGTAAATATATTTTTGGCCGATATTGAAATTGTTAGAGGGCGCTAAAGTGATATTTCGAAAACATGATCACTTGTCAAGTCATCAAAAGTGATTAAAAAAGTTTATTATTAAAATTAGAAAGAAATAAAAAATAGTTTACATGTTATTTAATTATTGTTATATCTTGAGTATAAGAAATCGTTAAATTAGATTTTTTGGATAAATTTTCAAATTTTAATTAAAAAAGTGAAATTACAATTAACCATTTACTTTCTTTATTTGTTACAATTTATTATGCACTATGGCGTGGTTATCTGATCTTGCTGGAAAAGCTGAAAATATTTTAAATAAAATTGATCAAAATACTGCTGCAGTTTTAAGTAAAGATAAAAATGACACAGGATTACATGGTCAATTGACAGCTGTTCCATGGACTTCATCTCATGATAAGTAAGTAACTATACATTAATTAAATATAATCGAAATTAATAAATAAAAATTAAAAATAACTTTTTATTACAGTTCATTATTAAGTACCAATTATAGCACCTTAAATACATCTAAAAACTCCCAACTTCAATCTCCTCAAAAGGCAAAATCTAATTTAGAACAATCGATGCATAAGGAAGAAGGATTAGTAATGCTCCTCAATACTCCTGCTACTACTCCTATAAAAAAATTTATTAACGATTCTGTGATAAATAAACCAACAATACAATCAACAACCTCTAGGGACCATTTTCATGATAAAGATGCAACATCTGAATATTCTACGCATACTAATGGATCATCTTTATTATTATCATCATCACTATCTTCATCATCATCGTCAATATCATCATCTCCATCAGCGAAACTTCAACATACATTAGTGAATGTACCAGATACTGTAAACCAATATTTTACCAGTGAAGATGATCCATTAAATACGTATTCAGAATCATCAAACTTTAAAAAAGAAATCGATGAGAAGGAAAATGAAATACTACTTATTGAAAATAACGTGGATAAATTTAGTGAAGATGAGGAAAAAGAAAAAAACCAAAAACACGAATATGAAACAAATCCACAAAATTTTGAAGTTGATCATTTATTAAATAGTAAAAAGTTAAATAATTCGAAATCTTTAAAAACATCTCATGGAAAATTAGAAGAACAAAATAAAAAACTTTATCGGCAATATACCGATAATCAAAAAGAAATAGAAAAATTGAAAGAGCAATTACGAATGCATGAAGTAGAATCAATTCAATATATCAAACAAATTACTGATCTTCAGTCAGTATTAGAAAAAACCAGGTTAGATTTACAATCAACAAGACAAGAATTAGAGCAACATAGAGCAAGAGCATTAAAAACATTACAAGAAAAAGAAAAATTGATTTCTGAATTAAAAGATAATAATTTAAATACTGGAATTGATAATTCTACAACAATCATGGAAATGAATCAACTAAAACAAGAATGTAGTATTTTACGACAAGAAAATCAACAACTTTGTGAACAGTTAAAAATAGCTCGAGAAGAATTAGTTAATGCTGATGTAAAAATGGAAGAATGTAATAGAAAAATTGTTTTAGCAAATAGAGAAGCCTATGAAATCATTTCTAATGAAAAAAAAAGAAGAGTTGAAGCTGAAGAGGATGCAAGAATACATTTAGAGGTTTTATATTAAAATAATTTAATGATACTCATTATCGTTAGTACTCATTAGTTAAAATTTTTAAATAATAATTTTTTTTAAAGGAAACCCGTAAATTAAAAGATGAATTATCATCACAACTTAATAACTGGTCAGTTAAATTACGAAAACAAGAATCTGAAATATCACGCTTGAAGTCACGTCTATCAGCTGTGTCAACACCTTCAAGTGCAGTAGAAACTAGATTGGCTACGTTGACACAAACTCTTGTAACTAAACAGAATGAACTTGCAAGTTTAACAACAGAAAAAAATGCATTAAAATTACAATTAGAAAGAGTTGAAGTAAGTATGTTAATGATATTTTATATAGTTTTATCAGAATAATGTTCAAATAAATAATTTTTTTAAAGCATGAATATCGAAGAAATTTATCAAATATGAGAAAGGGATACAACGTAAACGATACTGATGATGCCAAAGCACAAGTGCCAGAATTTTTAATGGAAACACCATTCGATACAGGTGTTACTCGAAGGGTAAAAAGAGCTTATTCAACATTAGACGCAATTAGTGTTAGAATTGGACTATTTTTACGACGTTATCCTTTGGCTAGGATATTTGTGATTATCTATATTGTAAGTAAAGTAATTGATGACATAGAATAATATTTTATAATGACAGATGTGTATTATTATTACAGGCATTTCTTCAATTGTGGGTATTGATTGTACTATTTTTTCAATCGCCAGATGTTCATTGATGTAAAAGTAAGCAAAGTCAGATATGGTGCATACATCTCAAATATTATTGTAGGTTTACTAATATAATAAGAAAAAAAGCAATAACACATCGAATGTTTGTAATGAAAATTGAAATTTATTTTACTATTATAGTTAACTTAAATCGCTTATAATAATATTGATAATAAAAATGATTATAATCACAATAGCCGTAATAATACTACTATCAAGATACTGATAATGATTATATTATTTAATATTTGTTTTTTTTATGAATGTAAAATAAATATAAATTTTTCTGTAGATCATCACATTAAAATGTATATTTTGATCATCAAATAAACAAATTGAGTTATTTTTGTATATTGATAAAATTCTTGATTATTTAAACAATTAAAATTATTGTGCAATGTATTATAGTAAATAAATTGATAAATTATTTACGTTCAATTGTTCTTCACATTTATTTACTTCATAAAAAAATAATTCTACATATGTATACATATGTGGGTGTTTTTTTTTTTTCTTTACATATCATGATATTTGATTGATTGTTAATCAAATTTCAATTATTGCATAGAGAATTTGATAAAATACGCATTTAATTTGTCAAAAAAATATGGATTAACATTAAATTAAGTAATTTACGTATATTGAAGTTTAAGGTTTGGTATAAAATAGTTTCAATTACATATAGTTTAGAAATATAATTTTTTTTTTTAATCTAATATTTACTAATGATCATATGTGTTTTCATTGAATTAATAAATATTTTAAAGTTTTATTTTTAAGCATGCAATTATTTTTATTGCTGATATTTCGAAAAAAATACTAGGCACATGCTTTCAAAGTCAATTTACTAATACTTGAATTTCTATGACTATTATTATTAAATTATAACTATTATTAAGAAATATATTTTCGTATTATAACTACTTGAAATTGCTTTCAAATACGATAACGACAACAATAGTTGTTTTCAAATTTAAACACATATTTATGATTAGTTACGTTTTATTAAATAATTAACACTGGTGACTGAAGTAAATTATTTCCTATTGAAATGCTCAAGTCTTCAGTTAAAAACGATTAACGAATGAAAATTGTACTATATTTGTGAATAAACTAGAAAAACATCTTAATCAATCTGTTATTTAAATTCGGCGAGATTCGCTGTAGTTATCGATTCACTAAAAATTGTATACCTATTACGTATTTACCTGATAACTTACGGGCTATATATTTATGAGAAATAAATCTCTTAGTCTATTAATGACTTTTGTACTTGAACATATGATAATGTCTTTATTGAATTATTGCAAAAGTTGTTATGCAAAAATTTCATTAAATGTTTCCAATTATTATTTATCTTGTGAATTCATGATAAGAATTTTTTTCTTATTTAACACTGTATTATAATCAGTAGTGCCTTTTGCAATAATTTAATACTTATAACAATGATTCACATTCAGTAATGTATTTTATAAAGCTCACATTTGAACGTATTTCAATGATAGGTATGTTTTAAAATGCTACACATATAGTACTTATAATTAAAAAATTTCTATGCTGCATATAAAATATTAAAAACCTATTTATAAATATAATGTATTCCTGAGTATAAGTTATATTAAGTTATTAAGAAAATAGCGATATTTATTTATGCAATGTCATTAATAATATTATCTTAAAATTATTAGATATAGAATACTACTCTAGACTAAACTTATTATAATGTTGAAATGAATTAGTCTCTATTTTTTTTTTTGTCAACATAAAAATCAAATACACTAGAACAATGATTAGATTATTAAAATGATTAACATTTCTGTAAATATAACAGTTAATGCAGTGTCAAACATAAATATAAAATCTAACTTATTTTGACTACATAAAAGTCAATGTTGAGTTTGAGTTTTGAGATCTTGAAATTGAATAGAATTGATTAAAGTATTACGTCTAAATGTCAGTAAATAGTTATATGTTTGAAAATGAATATAAATGGAAATGATTTAATTTGTCGACGACTCAGTTCTATTGCTATCAAAGCAAGGTACTTTTTCTTTTATGCCTCCCACATGATCAATGGAAGTTGTGATTATATCAAACTTTTGAGTTGTTAATTCTTTCAAATGCTGAACGTTCTTATTTTTATTTTTAGGGCTATTATTAAAACTTGATTGAGGTAAATTTCGAACACTACGTTGCATACTACTTAACATTATTTCAAGAATATAGTTTCTCAATACAAGGCTTTTTGTTCGGGCCACAAGGTCACACAGTTCTGAAAAATAAAAGTCAATTTTTGAATATCATCATCATTGAATATCATGGAAAAAAAAATAACTGAATTTTATATCAAACATACTTTGCAAGTCTTTATAAACCATTTTCCGTTTTTGATCATTTGGCAGCGTTGCTTCAGAAATATGTGAATGAATTGGATTATCAGCTAGAGAATGGGATGAACATCGATTTGGAGGTGAATAAATACTGGTAGCAATACAAGGTAGTTGATTAACTTCCATTTTTCTGCGTCGAGTAATATTGACCCTGTTGGGCTTGAGTTTGGATCGTGAACAAGACGTGTCAGCTACGGTTGTGCCATTGTAATCCGTTAAACAAATAGTAGGTGCCATTTTCTGTAATATGTTATTATCGTATTAAGCTTATGAAGTAATATAATAATCTTTTTTCCAATAAAAATATAGTTGAAAAGAAAAATACATCGTGAAAAGAATCCACGTCGCTATTCCTTGTTAAAGATATTATCGTATCAAGGAAAATTGAAATTAATGATTGCTGTTGAATAAACAAACATAGCATGTACATTTTCAATTAATATATGACATCAAGTAGTCTATATCTTTTATTTGATGAAAAATATTTATCTAAGTGATTGTTAATGATCTTCAAGTTGACTAAATTGAAAAACATCGTTTTTCGTCATAGATATTAAAATGGGCTCTATTTTTAAAAGAAATAGTATCTAACTATGGACTATGGAAATAGCCAATAAATAATTCGCTCTAATAGTTTCCTTCTAATTAAATTCTTGCAACAACGGCACGTGCATAACTAAAATTACTTAATTTATGCGTATACTATGTATATGAGTTACGGGATGTGTTACTAATATTCACGTGAAATGCCATGATCGATTCCTTTCACTGATTTAAGTTTTTAAAAAAAATAAATATTTACTAGATTAATTTTTCTTTTATGAGAGTTTATTTTAGGATGAAAACTGTTGACATTTATTTCTAAATAAATGACGAAATTACGGTCGTTTACCTCAGTTAAAATTAAAGCCTCGAAGCGGTAAATCAATTAAGGTAACAATGAAATAAAAATTACATATTATGAGATTTTAACGAATATTTTATAATCTTATGATTTATTAAATTAAAAATCTAGTTAATTAATCGATCGTCATTTATTTAAAAAAAAAATTTTCTTTACATTTCAAACATACATTTAGGAAGAAAAAAAAAACTTACCTTCACAAAGAAAATTTTTTTTTCGCAATTTTTATTTTTGAAAAATATATTTGTAAAACCACTTATTGTTGATAACAGTTATCGATTAAAAATGAAAGTCACGATGATTGAATATGATAAAATAAATGGTATTTAACAGAATACTTTTACACGTGTATTCGTTTAGTCGATATAAAATGAGTTAATGGTTTATCTACAGTTAACCGAACTTGAACTTATAGACTAGACTGATACTTTACTCCAGTGTCGAGAAACGTGTAACGTAGTGACTGATTCAACCGCGCATGAACAACCGATGGTAGATTCTGACTTTTGTTAAGGGAGAATTGATGGAGGATAGTGGGAGAAGGAAAAAAGAGGTGAAAGAGAACGTGAACAGAGTGATCAGGATAGACGCGTTGTATTGCAACTTACAATCATAATAATTATGTACAAACGTGCGGCACGTGTATCCCCACTGAGACTCATTTCAAGATTTTGCTGGTTCGGATCGGAGTAAAGATGAGATAAACGTAGGGGGAGGGGGGGAGAAAGAAAATGACGCATGCGCTTTTAAAAAAATCAACAAATATATGTACACTATTCTTTTATATATGCCGTCACCTACACGTGGATTTAATATGAAAAAAAATATACTCATACATTTATCTATATTTGTAAGAATTTGTGAATGATTCGGTGAATTGATGTTCAAATCGTATTTGAGATGACTCATTTATTTTTCATCAAGTTATAGACCATAAGATTACGCATAACGATTAGAAAAAATATATATGTATTTATATATTATATCATTTGATATTTTTACTTTTTTTTAAAAACATACAATATTAATTTGATACTAGATTTTAATTTTTTTTTCTAAAGTTGCAAAGATTTAAATAATATCCTCGAAAAATCATGATACAATAATTACTTCATTTCATTTAATGATAATTTATTATAATGAGGTACGAAAATTGATTAATTTCATTTTTTACAAATAAATTAATAAAGGAAAATAAGCTTTTGTAATGATTGCATCAGTTCAATGATGAACGGGAGTAAAATTGAGCAATTTTTTTGTTCTCCTTTAGTGACGTAATTGGAAAAGCTGAATAATTCAGTAATATAATTGCTGTACATATAAATGAAAGTAGAATAAAAAAATGATGATGAAAAAAAATGTCCACGTGGAAACCGGAAGGATAATAAAGTATAAGCGAGGAAATAGAGTGATGTAAAAATAATCCAAGAGAAGTAAATAAGAAGTGGTGGACATGGAAGTTGGTGGGGCGACATCAAGTACGTATACACACATTTACAAGTCTTTATATAATAGTATAGTAGTGGCCTGGTAGAGGTGCACGTGTCACACCGATATTTCCAACTACATTAATCACAAGGAACCTTCACCGAGTGCTTGGCTAGTATCCTATCCACAGCATTCGACCTTCTGTCGACCGTCCGTAACCCTCCCCACTACTTACTAAATATTAGCATTTAAAGTTTATTCTACCGTACGAGTGCTGTTTTGCACGTAACACGAGCATACATTCCATTTCTAACAGGAATTGATATGATCGGATTTAGTCCTACGTGACCCAATTAAGTTTGGAAATATCAATTAGGATCTCATTTGTTGATTATTAATATTAAACCAATGTATATGACACACACCAGAACTTCCGCTCAACTAGAAGTCAATAAATGTATATTTGTGTCAAATTTATCAAATGTTTTTTAATTTTTATTAGTATTCTTTAATCATGTTATTATTAGTATAACGCACATTAACATCATTTAATTTTCTGTAATCTTTTGAATGATTGTATTGTTGTGGAAAAATTGATAAATAAGTTCAATTTGAAATTAGTCATGTCATGACATCTGACGTCATTGCCGCAACTACGTAGATTTATTAATTGTTGGTAAAATTGAATTGTAAGGGATCTTCTTTATTTGCAGTTCGTATATAGTTGCTTGTGTATGATCTACTTTATCTACTTAACATGTGGTATTTAAATTATAAAAAACAAATACTAATTTTATAAAAAATACATCTTTGAATATTGTAAAGTATTAGATTCATTAATAGTAAGTAGAAAAACAGAGTAAGGTGGAGATTCTTAAGTTGCAAAATAATTTTGTAAAATTTGTAATCTTCTGGTGATTGATTATATTGGAATCGAAGTAGGGTCTGTTCTAAGAGGGTTTTAACAGTAAATAGCCATTTACTTTTAGTTACGTAATGAATAATATTTTTAGCTTGATTATGGATTTGAGAATAAATAATTTTTAATTTTCAATAATTATTTTTTATCATTATTATTGTTATTGGAAGGAATATTAAATATAAATACGATTATTTTCATATAAAGTTAAAAATATGTGTATTTATTTATAATAAATTAATGAATTATAAATGTATTGAGCTTAAAACTATTAAAGACGAAGATAATGAGTATACTATTTGTGACACAAATTCTTTATATAAGAAATATAAAATGCAATAAAAACCTTGAAGACGAAGCATAAGATGAATCATAATTGATTATGTTTGATGCACAACTAATTTTTGCATTTCTTAGTTTTAATGTATGCTCTTGCATCATATTAAGTATATGGAAAAGTTATTACAAGCAAATTTAAGTTGAGTCAAGTGATTATATGCTAATATATATGCCATAATAATTACATTAAATCATAAGACTAGTTATTTAATGATGAATTACAGCTGTTAATTATATTTTCCATTGATTTTTATCATAATAAGATTTCGTAGTTTACATATACTATTATTGATTAAAATAAATTTCTTTTCATTAAAAATGATGTACGTCTATAATTAATTATAAAATCATTTCTTATTAAAATAATGCAAAATCTATGCAATCATCACAGACGAAAGCCAAAAGTTTACATAATTTTTTTACCTTTGTACTCCTGATACTTAAAAAAATATAATTACAGTGCTGTTAATCTAAATTTAAAGTATCATCACTTGAGACGAAAAATTAATTTTTATTATGCAATTAAACATCATAATACTGAAATTTTTTTATCACTTACATTTACTTTTACCATCTAATAATTTTTTCCAAAGATCAAATTGTTCGCAATATTTCACCATATGTATACTTATTCCTCTTTGCACATTACAAGGACTATATGTAATTTTTTTATTAAGAAATTCACTAACATGGACACGTTTGATTCCTAGTTTATGAGCAATGATACCAGTTATGAATACATCTTCAAGTTTCAAATAAGTTTCATCCAATGCTGCTCCATAGAGTTTTGCTGTAACATCTTTGGATAATAGATAAGCAGGTCCAGTTGTAAAATCAGGAAAAGTCTTCTGTTCAAATTGTTCTTGTGACACATAATATTTACTTTTCTTATTTCTAATAGGTCTCCATTTTCTTGCTAATCTACCAAATATTACATTAGTATCCTTTTCATGTTTTTTAATAAAAGACAACAGACGTGGAACATTTATAAACATATCGTCATCAGTTTTTAAAATGAACTTTGCATGTGAGCAATATGTATTAATCCATTCCAAAGCAGAAACAGTTTTGAGAGTTAAATTAGAATACGAATCAATAAATTGTCCTCGTATTATATCAGCATAGAGCTTCTGCTCATATTGTAGTAATTTATTTAATTTCATATCAGTCGTAGCACCAAGCATAAACACTATACTAACATCAGTCCTCTGTCCAAAATGTCCCCAAGTTTGTCTAATAGCTGTTCTTGCTTCTATGTGAGTTGGTGCAGACATGACTATTATGACTAGATTCATGTCTTTACCAGATGATGGGCATTTTTCAGGTATGGCTACATCATATCCACCTTGGTATATGGCACGTGTAGTGTCATTATGGATATTTAATGAGACGGTTGAATTATCAGAGATTAATTTTGACTCATGCTGCACGATTGTGCTATTATTTATTGATAGGTTATTTGATGTACTTGAAATGGAAGACTGTAATTGAAATCCTGAAGTTGAAGGAGATCCTGCTTCGATTGATGAGTTATTCGAATTATTGAAAAAACTTGAATTTGTTCCTATTTCAAAAGTTTTATTTTTAGTTAACGTTGATAATAATTTGCCATTTCCATTTTCAATAGAACGCCTCTGGCTAATTAGCAAATTACCTAAAAAGTAAAATACAAAAGAATGATTATTTTTTATCATATTTATAGATTAATGGAAATATAATTATTTTATATTAAAATTTTTACTCAGTAAATTAATCAATTCTTTTAATAAAAAGCAATTATATTTCATTTTACTTTAACAGAAAATTCAATCAATTGAACTTTTCCATTACAAATCTTTTTCATGTTAAATATTGAAGCTTATTACTCATTTCTGCATTATAATGTAATTTTATCTGAAGAAATATGTTTAATAACTAACATATTCAATGGAAAAGTTGGACTTGATAAAAAAAAAAATATAACTAGGAAAATGAAAGATTTTAATATTAAAAAAAAATGTTAGTCACATGTTTTAAATATTAAAAATGAATATTATGTGATATAATATATTTAAATATTTAGTTTAATCGATTGTCTATGATAAAGAAAAGAAATAATAGATAAACTTACTAGTAGCATTTGTAAATTCTGTGAATGGATGGTAGTCTTCAATAGTAGTACGATAATAAAAGTAAATAGTTATTATCATAAAACCAAATAAAAGGATTTGCAGGCTTCGTCTACCTCGAAAATACGTAAACATTTTTATAAATAATGATAATATCAATAACGAATATCCGGAGATCGAATACCGGTTTTGAAAACGGATAGGAACTCCGGTCTAAAAATATAATAATTTATTCCATGATTAATCTTTTTGAAAGGCACTTCAAAATTCATTCACTTTATAACTTGAATAAGAATAAAATGATTCAACCAAGGTTGCCTAGTTTTTTCCATAATTTCACAAAAAATTATTCCAATTTCTCTTGTCCTTGATCAACTGCTCAAGCTGAATCAATGGTTCAAACTTGTTTATTGTATCCATGGTCATTTAAGAGAATCCCTTTACCAATATCACTTATTTATCTCTTTTCATTACATTTAATACTGTTGAATACTTTATCCTTGGAGTTATTTTGTCAATATAACGTTTGTTTCAAACATTTCATTCACCACAATATAATATTTTAAACTTTATTAATAACTTTTAATGCAATAGCACATTTCTTTTTGCTCAATCAAGTAAATATCTATTTTCTAAACTATCTAGTACTTTGATTATATTTAAAACAAGTTCTGTAAGATACTGAAGAAATTTAGTGTCTCGTTGCCAGAGAAACGATGAAGTGGTCTGTGGTGGACTGGGATTTTTCACTAGTATATTGAGAAGAATGTCCGCGAGATGGTGCCGTGATATATTCAAGTGACCATCATTCATTTAATATAAACAAATATGTATTTTATTCTTTTTTAAGGAATCAATAATTATACTTTTATTTAATATTTATAAATAAAATTTAATCAATTTTTTAAACATTAAATTATTAATTTTTCTTTATCATCAACTCTGATAAAAAATAAGTTTCTAGACCATGAAAAAAAAAAACAGGACACACCAACGAAAATGTGACTGATAAATAAATAATTATACAGTGAAGAAGAAGGCTACATAGATGCTACATATTATCACTAACGGTCAGGAAATGAATATATAATTTTCCTGCGTTTGGTATCATATCTTAATTATTCTATTTCATGATTTTGATTAAAATAATAAATACAAATACGATATATTTTTTTTTATTATATATTTATTTATTATCCATCGTGTTCATTCATTTCGAATTGATTAAACAGAAAATGGAAGATCAAAAAGTTATTAATAAATAATTCAATCATTTTTATATCAATATCTGTTATAAATTAGTGCTCATTTATAGATCAGTTTACCATTATTAATCCAAGATAGGAATATAGATTATTTTGGTCTTTTTCAAAGTAAAACCATTTGAAAATAAGACGTTATCAAGTTCCGGATGTCCTCGGGAGATCTCGGAATGATCGATAACCCATTTTCTGAGCCTAGCTTACAGTTTATTTATAATATTTGTCCAAAAATTTTTCAAGATTTAGACTTTTTTAAGACTCATTATAAGTGTCATATAAAACATACTTTTTCATTAATTATATACAACAATAAATTGTTACTAATATTTATATCATAGATCATACATAATATTAGACAACTATTGGATACTACAACATTTTTCAAGACACAAATTAATAACAATAAATCATAATTAGTAAACGTCTAAATGACTATCATTCATTTTTTTCAAATAAAAAGAAAGATATTAATAAATATATTTATCAATCTCAATTCTAAAGTAATTATTAACTAATTCTAGAGCGATCATAAATAAAATTAAATATTATTAATAATTAATTTGTTGCAATTAAAAATTATTAATATTACAATAGTCATTCTTTTCACAAGCATTCATATCTAATCACACATGACTCTTTCAATAAAACAGCTATAATTACTGATACTCATTCAAACATTAATAATAAAATAAAACTAAAAATTGATATTTTTTTGAATAAAATTGCAATCAATGATACTAAAATTGTAATAACATCTAAAATAAATATACCAATATTAAATTGGATATTGAATAACTAAATTAATAGCATTGAATTTTAATTAATAAATAATTATTTATTACCATAGATAATAAATAAAATAGTTTACCCACAATATCGAAAAATAAATTCAATCAATATTAGACCTTTACGTTTAAAAGTGTCAATGATTATTTTTTATACCATAATTAAAACATTCCAAATCCATATTTATTATTATAAGATTCTTCTAATCTACTTTATGACGTTATTTGGATAAATCTTCATTGTTAAAGTGTATATAATTGAATATTTTATCAGTAAACTTTAATTAATGTACTTTTAGGTCGCTATAAATTTGAAAAAATTGCTAAGGATCTACAATATCTACATGTATAAAACAGTCAGCTGCTGTTATAGCAGTCGCGCAGTGGATCGATGGCCCAGTGGCACTTTAATATAGAGGTAGAGAAGAAACTCTCCCTCTCTCCATAGCTTTCAGTACCTTCAGCGAAGGGAAAGCTCCTTTCCTATTCGTGCTTGGAAACCCTACTCTAACACATTATATCCCCCTCAGTTTTAGTTGTCCTATACATATTCTTATTCTACTAGCTAACACTGGTGTCGATTTACTTTCCACTATCACTCCAACTACTCTCTCACCAGTTGTCTTGACCAACCAGTCACATTAAATACAAAACGTCTGTCACAGTCAGTAAATCATTGACCAATAACTCTTTGTTTTTTATTTCTTTTTTTTTCTTCACATTTTAATTCGTCTATGAATTTAAATTTTAAATTATTTTTTTCATATTATTACTGTATATATTATTTATAAATCAAGTTATTTTTTTTTTTATCTTCAACCCTTATCGTTCTTGGTCTCTTTCCCTCTCTTCCAGCTACACACACACTCACTCGATAAAGCTTTACTCTTCCTTGTGCCCCCTACAATAATTCACCATACCCGTGTCAAGCTTTTGCACTCCCTCTACTACAACACCAGTATTCAGTTCTTTGCTGAGTGTAGATTGGAGGAAATAATTCCTCTATCGAATATCACTGTTACGGTAAGAAACACTGGCTTTTATCGACGTCTTTAGTGCATTTTTCATCAGTTAATATGTTATTGTAATAATTAATATTGTTTTTAATACATCATTTCATATTTTAATATTTAAATTTATAGTGATATTACGTTATAAAGAATTTTTAAGAACGTAAGTAAAATGTCTTTTTATGTTGAATGACAGTTTGAATTTTTTTTTCTGACTTTGTTGGTAATTTTTGTTTAGGTATTTCAATAATAGTGATTAAATATTTTTGAAATTTGTTTGTTTTTAATTTATAAAATGAATTTAATGTTTAAATATGACACACCCAGCCCGCATCCCTTCGTACGACACATGTGCCACTATGACTAGAGCAATGGCGAAGTTTAGAATTCGTGGCTAGATCAATAACTTAGCGCGAAGAATTTCATGACACGATAGTCGTGTTGTATACAATCTCATTTTCAGTGGTTTTTTTCTTTTTCTTTTTTATTTATAAAATGAAGGAAAATTTTTTATCAGTATTGTAGAGGATAAGTCATGCAAGTTTTCTATTAGTTACTTGATATTTAACTGATTGTCTTGCTTTTTTTTTATACTTTTGTGTGAAGTTGATTCTTTTCCTCATTGCAATTTGAAATTCGAGAGGTAATTGAAATAATGATGGTACTTTTACATACTTGATATACTTCCTGACCGACTTAACGGTTTGGGATAATAATAGTGAGAAGTGATGAAGGATAAAAAATTTTTTCTGTGACATAAAATTATTAAATACTCTCAGTTCTTTTTTTTTGTAAATTTATTTAAAATATTAACTTTTCATTTATTTTCTATGTATTTGATGGAGAAATAGAATTTTTATTAAATCTCCAATCGTACGTTAACAATGTTATCTTGAAAAGTATAAAATAAAATCATTGACCTGTGAATTTCAATTAATAGTTCAATCACAAAAGTTAGTTTTTTATGAGTATTGTTATAAAAGCTGACATTAAACTTATAAAATCAATAGGAATGATGTTAAAAATATATTTTAGTGTTAATTCTTATAATTTTATTCTTAATTTTTTTTAGACTATAATCTTTGCAATTGTAGTCATTTGTTTTATTTATATATTTTATGTAATTTTGAATATTTAAATTCCTTTTACTGTAGAACAACATTTTTACCTGAGCTAAATTTAAATATCTCTGCAAAATCATTAAATGTAAGCTTTTTATATCATTTTAATTAATAATTATTTTTTCTTATTTTGGAGTATTATTAAAATTTTTTCAGATATGTGTATTATTAAGGAATTGAAATAATTAATTTACTCCAAAAATTATTGAAACATTTTTTTATAAGAATGCTTGCTAATAATTTTTCAATAAACAAATGTATGACATTAGTAAATCGAATTCAAGTTTAACCAGTATGTTTTGTATTCTTATCAATTTGCATTTAAATTTCTAGGTTATATAGTCAACAATACCCGTATATCTTTTATTGAAAGAGTGATAAGTCAATCCTCATAAGATTTATTGAAATGTGAAGTTGAGATTTCATTTAAAAAAAATTTAAATGTACACTAGTTTACTTTTTTTTATCATGCTGAGATTGAAGTGATAAAATTTTAAAATAATGCGACACATATTTTATTAATCAATTTTTTGTTTATGCTTACACAAAATTATGTTTCTTTTTGTATAATAAATTTACGAAATATGTGCCTTTGTTTAATTAAATATCAAAATGCATGATAACATTAATAATCAATTCGTTAAAATTTTTAATGTAAATTATAATTATTTATTTCGTTGTGATCACACAATGTGATTACATTTGATAATAAATTCACGTATCTGAAGGTACAATTAATGTTTCTATGGTTGCAGTAAAATCGATAAGTCATGGCTAACTATCATACATTCAGTCAAGATTGATGAACTCGTTTGAATGAAAAAAAAAATGCTACATTACTGAAATAACTTTTTACTATAATATTTCATAATGAAATTAACATAAATAATTCAAAACATTAAAATTAATTTATTGTCATTTCAATATATTAAATAATGCAAGAAAAGAATATTCTTTAAAAATATTGATTATACAAATTTAGAATACTTCAAATAAAAATATAGATATAAGAATGAACAAATCGATGTGTTGGTGGAGAATGGAAAGTCTGATCGATTTTATTGTCAGCTGAGATTTAATTTAGTAAATTAAATAAATATAAAAATAATTTAAGAATATTGATGATGATCCAATAAGCATAATTATCCCATAAACAACAAAGAACGTAAATGATTAGTAGAAGAAATAAACGATAGAAAAAATTTATTTCCTTACTGCCACTATTACTGATATTCCAACCGAATAAAAAACAGGAAAGAAAAGGAAATGAAAGTCTGAAAACCGTAAAAATCGATAGTTATACTACAGAGACATAGCAACAGTCATATTATTATGTAAGAGCACAAGAGAATTATTCTTTGATGTATAAATAAAAGTAAAACTGTTACATTTCGTTATACCAATGTTAATAGAATTTTAATTAACAACTAGGAACTTACTAGAGCCATACAAAAATTGATATTCAAGTGTAAAAGCTCAAATAATTTGTTGATTGGTACTTATTCCATTTTTGAATGATTTAATGATTACAGAGCCGAATGTGGATTCGAATAAAATAACGGAAACGATAGTAGATGTTTAAATTTTGTTAAAAATAATAGACAAAAGTGAGAAAGTAGTAAAAATAAACAAAAACTGTAGCAGAGACGATGATTGATCCAAGTTCTTCAGAAGAAGAAAGTGATGAAGATCAAAGTACTCAGCATCCAGGAGCTGGAGGTAGAGGACCAGCTGCTAATAGCCATGGCCCTCGACGACATCCAGGTGCTTCTGGAGGTGGTGTAGGTGGAGGCAATTTGTCCTCTTCAGGACTTACTGCATCGCCTGGAGGTCACAGTCAAGCAAGTAGTGGATCACCAAGTTTACACAGTGGACGTGCACTTAGTGGCCAAGCACATCATACAGCTCAACAAGATGCAGGTGCTGGATTAGATGTGCCAAACTTATCTAGTGCACGTAATTCCTTATCACCATCTGCAAGTGCTTCACAAGATGCAGCTAATTATAACAAATCATCTCAGAGACCTATTAGTCCTTCACCATCAGTTGCTAGTGAAAAAACGAGTGAAGTTGATACACAGGTAAGATAAAAATCATTTTTATTTCTTTTAAATCAAAATTTAGTTGTTTTGATGATTGTCATAAAGTGAGCTATTGAATTAATATTATTAAAATTTGTAGGACAAACAAGAGCGTGAAGAAGAAGAAAGAAAAATTCGTATACAACTTTATGTATTTGTATCAAGATGTATTGCTTATCCATTTAATGCTAAACAACCCACAGACATGACCAAAAGACAAATGAAAATTACTAAGCAACAACTGGAGACTCTGTGTTCTCGCTTTCAAGTAAGTTTTGTTCATTTTTAGAATTTTATTATCTACAAGAGACTAGAAACCTCTCAATAAATTGATAATTTTTCGGAAACCTTAAAATGTCATCTTACAAGTGACCTTACAATAGTTGTGATTGTAAAGAAAAACAATTTAGTGAACATCATTAGATAATGTACATCATGTTTATGCATGATAGAATTTTTTTCATTCTTATTTCTTGCTATTTTATTATTATTTTAAATATTTACTGGATAATTATAAATAATTATTTCTGAACTATTAGATGTAAATGAGAAAAAAACCATCAAATAAAATTTTAAAACAAACTTTAAATAAACAACAAAATATAAAAATAAATTATGTATTATTTTACATAAAAAAATATTGTAAAATTTACATAAAAACATTATAAAAATTTTTCACTTCTGTAGATATATATATATTTATAATGTGATTGAATAAAGTTTTATATGGCTTCTTTTTTATTTTCAGGCATTTCTAAAAGGCGAAACACAAATTATAGCAGATGAAGCATTCCATAATGCCATTCAAAATTACTATGATGTATTTTTAAAATCAGAACGAGTTGTCCGAATGGTGCAAAGCGGAGCTTGTTCCCAATACGACTTCCGCGAGGTGTTCAGGAACAATATAGAAAAGCGTGTTCGCAGCCTCCCGGAAATCGATGGGTTAAGCAAAGAGACTGTTCTTACGTCCTGGCTGGCTAAATTTGATTGTATATTTAAAGGAACTGGCGATGAAGACAGTAAAAGGCCAGGTAGGATGCAACAGCAGACTCTAAATTCGGAGTTAATATTGTCGAAAGAACAACTATACGACATGTTTCAACAAATACTCGGCATTAAAAAATTTGAGCACCAACTTCTATTCAACGCCCTCCTGTTGGATTCAGCTGATGAACAAGCTGCCGCCATCAGGAGGGAGCTGGATGGTCGCATTCAAAAAGTCAACGAAATGGAAAAGGTAATGAACGTATTGAAAAATTAATAGAGCATGTTAAAATGATTGTTTATTAAATAATTAATAAATTGTAACGATTATTTTAAATTATTCTAGAACCGCAAGCTCATGCCGAGATTTCTCCTTAAGGAGATGGAGTCGCTCTACATCGAGGAGCTCAAGTCGTCTATCAACCTACTGATGACTAATTTAGAGTCATTACCAGTTTCAAAAGGTTCGACAGACAGCAAATATGGGTTGCAGAAGCTGAAGCGCCGTAGTGACCGCTCCCGCTACCGCACTCAGAGCTCCCTCGCTAAATTGGAGGGCGATTCCGCTGACTCCGATCCGCAACTTACCAAAATGGATGTGGGTTTGACCTTTTCACTTGAAGTCATTGTTATGGAAGTGAAGGGTCTTAAAAGTCTTGCACCCAATCGCATTGTTTATTGTACTATGGAGGTTGAAGGTGGTGAAAAACTTCAAACTGATCAAGCTGAAGCCTCCAAGCCCATGTAATTTTATATTTTTCTTAACGTTATTCAAGTTTCTTATTTTAATTCTCAAATATAAATTGATGATTTTGATGAAATCATTTTTAAGGTGGGATACCCAAGGGGACTTTACAACGATGCATCCTTTGCCTGTTGTAAAAGTTCGATTGTACACTGAAAATATTGCAATGTTAGCACTTGAAGATAAAGAATTAGGTAAAGTAATAATCCGGCCAACTCCTTTGTCCTGTAAAGTACCAGAATGGCATCAAATGACCGTCCCAAAGAATAATCCTGATCAAGATTTACGTATAAAAATTGCTTGTCGAATGGATAAGCCGTTGAATATGAAACATTGCGGTTACCTTTATGCGATGGGTAAATCTGTGTGGAAAAAGTGGAAGAAACGGTATTATGTTTTAGTCCAAGTCTCCCAATACACATTTGCGATGTGCTCATACAAAGAAAAAAAAAGTGAGCCGTCGGAAATGATGCAGTTGGATGGGTACACAGTTGACTATATTGAAGCCGTTTCTGCTAATCTTATGGTGGGCACAGATTTAGAGGGTGGAAGGTAGATTTTTTTTTTATAGTTATGTATATTATTGTAATTAGATTATTAAAAATTGTATTTGATTATAGATTCTTTTTTAACGCCGTCCGTGAAGGGGACAATATAGTTTTTGCTTCAGATGATGAAAATGAATGTCATTTGTGGGTGATGGCAATGTATAGAGCAACTGGTCAATCACACAAGCCTACACCACCTGTTTCTGTAGCTGATAAAAATTCAACTATCAGTAAAATCCAAGGCGATGCTGACAGAGCACGAAAACATGGAATGGAGGATTTTATAAGTGCTGATCCTTGTAAATTCGATCATGCAAGTCTCTTCAAATTTCTTCAAAATCTGACACTCGATTATAGACTTAATGATCCGTATTGTTCTCTGGGATGGTTTTCTCCGGGCCAAATATTCATTTTAGACGAATATTGCGCAAGGTATGAAATATATATAAGTAAAATAATTCTATATAATAATAACAATCTACTACTCATTCTTGGAATGAAATAAGTATAATGTTTTTTTTTTTATTATATAGATATGGAGTTCGAGGTTGCTTCCGACATCTTTGTTATTTAAATGACCTGCTTGATCGTGCTGATCGTGGTTGTATGATAGATCCAACACTAATTCATTTTAGTTTTGCCTTTTGTGCGAGTCACGTTGCGGGGAATCGTCCTGATGGAGTTGGATCAATTACTCATGAAGAAAAAGATAAATATCAGGAGATCAAGGAACGTTTAAGACAATTGTTGGAAAAACAAATTACAGGTTTTAGGTAATTTTTTGCAAGCATGCTACCAACACTGACCATGAAAATATCATCTAAAATGGAATGTCTTAAAATTCTTTCTCTAACATTGACCAAGTTTTTTTAAGTTATTATTTGAAAACACAATACTAATTGATCTTTTGCAGACATAGTTTTCCATTTGGTCGACCAGAAGGTGCCTTGAAGGGAACACTTTCTCTTTTAGAACGTGTTTTGATGAGTGACGCAGCGACAGCAGTGCCTTCGGATGAAGTTCGAACAATGATTAAATCTTGTTTAGAAACAGCAGCGTTAGTTAATTATGAAATGTTGTCAGCAGCAGCCAAGATTGAAGAAGATTATGACGGTGAGGTGGGCAATGCTCCAGGGAAAAAACTAGATGATCTCATACGTCTTGCAGAGCTATGTGTGGATTTGCTTCAACAAAATGAAGAGCATTATTCGGAGGTATTAGTTAGGTTTTTAGAACTGAGTGTTAATTACCAAGGACTTTCGAGGTATTGAGATGATAAGTGTGTCATATCAAACAGATTTTGGTAAGGAAATCTGAACCTCCTCAGAAAACAATTTAGAGAACAATTAGGTAATCATCTAGATAGTTTTTAATGTAGTGCTTTTAATACAATTAGTTTTGCTACTTTTTAGATCATTATTTAGTATAAAAATAGTTTTCTTTCATTTTAATAGTATGCAATGATTCGGAAATAAATTAGAAGCTTAGTAGTGTTTTCTGAGTCCTCGAAGGTTCTGCGTCCGTGATCGGCGATCCCACCGTGTCACGGGCGATAAAATAGATGCCCACCGTATATGTGTGTCGTCCAATATTTTCACGTTTCGCTCCTACTACACTGCACCGCAGGCGCTGGCCTGGTTCAGCGACCTCCTGGTGGAGCACGCCGAGATCTTCTGGTCTCTCTTTGCTGTTGATATGGACAAAGTATTATCTGAACAACCACCTGATACGTGGGACAGTTTCCCTCTATTTCAAATTTTGAATGATTATTTACGGATGGACGGTAACTATTTTTACAAAAATAATTTGTCTTATTAATTTAGTGAATAAATCCTCTAATTTGTGGTAATTAATAGATAATTTGAAGAATGGACGATTTCATCAACATCTGAGAGACACATTCGCACCGTTGGTAGTTCGTTATGTGGATCTTATGGAAACATCTATAGCTCAATCGATTCATAAAGGTTTTGAGAAGGAACGATGGGAGATAAAAGGAAATGGATGTGCAACATCAGAGGATCTTTTTTGGAAGCTCGATGCTCTACAGTCATTTATTTCTGGTCTACATTGGCCTGATCAGGAATTCAGACAACATCTAGAACAACGTCTAAAGCTCATGGCATGTGATATGATTGAATCATGTATTCAGAAGACTGATACAGCTTTTCAACAATGGCTGAAAAAAGGTGTAACATTCAGCTCAACTGACTATATTATACCATCAGAAATGTGTGCAATGTTGAATGTTATTTTGGATGCAAAAAATCAAAGCTTTAAGCTATGTGCAGTCGATGGAGTAGATGTGGTAAGCTTTTTATTTTATATTTTTCAACGAAACTAAAAGAGTAAAGTAAATTATTTACTGTAGTTCTTTTTTTTTCTTTCTTTAAATATTATATTATTATATATTAATATTCTATTTTAGCATCAGTATCATGCCAAAATAGATGATCTATTGGAGAAAACGTCAGCTAGTATGACTCAAGGGTTGATCACTAAACTTGTGGCAGTTTTGGAAGCAACTCTGTCTAAACTATCACGTTATGATGAAGGCTCATTTATTGGGTCAATTCTGAGTTTTACGGTATTTTCTAATTATTTTTAATTTATAATAAAATTATCAGATAATAATTCTGATTTATTCAATTACTATGCAATAAATTCTCAATATTGAAAATTTACTTTAAAATGTTAAATATCTTTTACAGAAAGTTTCAGGGAGTGGGAAAGAAATGGGTCAAGCTTATGTTAACTTTACGAGAAACTGCATGGATCAAATACGAAGTAAAGTGATCGATGAATTATGGATTTTAAATTTCTTTGAGGTAAAGAAAATATTGAGATACATAATAAATTGTTTATCATATTTAATAAAAAGTATTGATTATTGATATTATAATTTCAGCAATGGTATATCACACAAATTCAAATGCTTTGTACTTGGTTATCAGACAGACTTGATCACAGTCTTCATCTTTATCAATGTACATGCCTTGCCCATATTGTCAAAAAAGTTTATTCAGATTTCGAACTACAGGGAGTAATGGAAGACAAATTAAATTCAAAAACATATCAGACGATATCACAAAGAATGCAGACAGAAGAAGCAACTTGTGCCTTAACAATGAGTTCACAAAACGATGAGTAAGTATCAATTTCCTCTATTCATAGCACATTAGAAATCATTTATCTCACAATACTAACATTGTTTTTCTACTAAAAGACTTTCGGAAAATGGTAATGATGATGATGTTGAGAGACCAAAAACAAAAGTAACGATTGTCGAGTCCGCAAGTGCCGATGATGCTAATTATGTTGCAAATCTTACTAATGTGACAACGAATGTCGTTGGAAAAGTTGGAAGTATGTTTGGAAAGGGAATTGGTGGTCTTTCCACTAAATTTGGCGGCGCCAGTTGGTTTTAAAGATTAAATCAATTGCATAATAAAATAGAGTGGCCTGAGTATAGAAAACGGATTTATTAAAGTTAGAAAATAAATGAAATAGACTGGACAAAGAGTTATGAGATTAGAGAACAAACATTAATATAATTGATTGATGGTTAATTCAAAAACTCAGGGTATAGAATCGGAAGAAATATAAAATAAATTTGTATTAACAACCTGGATACAATGTGAATTTGGTCATCAAGTTTACTGATTGGTAGCATAATGAATGGAATATGCTAAATAATATATGTATCCTTGTCGTTCAATCATACTTGAAAGTAATAAAATGCAGAGCCATAGTTTTATTTTTATTTGTTTAAAAATAAATAAAGAGTTTGAATGTAACTGGTAATAGAGCGAAAAAATAAATCAATTGTTATGAAATTAATCATAAAGACTATGTAATGGAGAAAGAAGTAAAGCAAAGCTCGTAATATTATTTAAACAAGAAAGAACATATAAATATCAGTTTGCCAAATAAATATAAATAATAAAATGATACACATCGAAATACATATAACGTTTACCAAGAAAACGTCTATGAAGAATAGCAACAATGTAATATATGAATGCATCAATATATTTCGATAAATGTGTATATGAATATTAGTAAGAATAGAGATGATTAAATATCTATTACACCGTGATGTAATGGAACGAAATTATATATCATTTAAAATTAAAAGTTAGTTTATGAAAATCGAGAAAAAAACCTTTAATTAATATTTAAAAAAAAAAATAGTTATAAATTATTACAAAATTTTTAATTAAAAATAAATAAAAATATTATTTGAGCGCTCTAATAATGAAATATAATTACTGATATAATTATAGAAACGTTAATATATTGTATGATCTGCATGAAGATTTGAATAGTAAAAACGATGATATTATTTTCAATGTTTAAATAATATTTCACATGTGATTCTACATTAGATTTCGGAATATTGAAGTCTATATAATGAAAAGATGTTGAATTCGTTTGTATATACATATTTCCGCGGCATTGTATAAGAGAGTAAGTAAACGAGTAAAGTAAATAATATAACTATTTATATATTCTCTATAGACATATATGAAATAGTTGTGTGTACTTTTTGAAATATGTTAATGTGTGACAGAGTTAGTTAATTTATCATAACTTTTACGTTTTAGGCCAGTATCATATAATTAATAAAACAAAAAGAAAACAATATTCAAATAATTCACTTTCAATGAAATCATCCAAACTAAGTAAACAGATTTATAGTAAAATATTTATCTGCACATTTGTACGCATAGCGATATATGCATTGCACCAAATTAAACTTAATTTAAATTTGACATATTCATTATTTATGTTAGTAATATGGCAAAATTAATTATAAAAATTTTACATTGCAATCATTATTCAATTGTTCAAGAAAAAAAATTAGATTTTGTTAAAGTTAAATTGTTATAATTTTTTGTAATGAAAACGACAGATTTTTGATATGATTGATAGTATTAATTGATGGCTTAAACGTAAAACAGTCATAGATAATCGAATATGATTTCGGCCTCAATGAAATGGAAAATAATAATGATAATAATATTAATAAATATTTAATAAGACGATTGTTAGAATACTTGTAAAACATTAAAGTAAAATATTTTCAATTTGGCCTTTATGCAACACATCAATAAGTTGCTACTACTTTCGTATGATGAATGTATAAATAATGATGGCAGAATAAATTCTGAATTTTATGTAAATTCATAATTCATTTGCCATCAATATACATACAAAATAGATTTCATTTGAATTGATGTTTAATAGAAGAAATAAAGGTACTTAAATTATTCTATCAAAGATTTCAGTACAACAATCTTTCAAATAAAAATTTCAAAAACTAAACAATCGCTATATAATTATATTTTATTATAAATATTGACACAATCACTTTCTTCGTTATTATAATAATTACTGTTAATTTCACTGATATGAAGATAATAGTTACTAGGTTAATGGAGAAAAAATTAAGCCTAGAGTCGATAGATTTAGATTTACTCAAACTTTGTCCAATTCTTGCATCTTCAATGAATACAAATCTTTAAACTTATTCTATTTCTCTGTATGAGTATTTATTGTTGCGTTTGTTGTGAAATTATTATTGGTAATAAAACGTTAAGAGAATTCTTACATTCCTACCAATGTTTCAGAACATTAAACTTTTATCCAAATGTTCTTTCGTTAATAAAAATCTGCATAAAAATGCATAAAAAATATACGTACTTTGTAAATAAAAATTCCTTCTCCTTCAACTTTTCCCTCTAACTTATGATATCTTCATTGTTGTTTTTGGTTATTCAATAAAAATTATTTTTATTTATCAATCAGTCTTTGTTAACAAAAGTTTAAATCTTTCCATATCATATCTACTTCTGTATATTATTTTTTTAAATTCTTTTAATACACTTAACACCAATGACATTATGAAAATTCGAATTTGTTTAATCAATTTGAGTGATCAATATTCTGTAACGCTTCATACACTCACAAGCTGTGATAATAACATTACAAAAAATGCAATGAAAGATATATGTTGCTAGTGCATTTTAATGATTTCATTTCCATTATAATTTTGTCAACTAATAAATACTAAGAATCCTTAGAATGATAGTCATTTCATTGATCAAATGATTTATCCAAAGAAAATATCACCTCACGAAGAAGTCTGAACTCCAAAGCTTTATGTACACAAACTGCGTAGTACGTTAACCTATTATTTGCAGCGCTACTCCATTTTTAAATATTGAATGTTGAAGAAAAATTTTATTATATTACGATGTTGTATAATATTCTGAATACAATTAAATCCTTGATAACTTTTGTATGCTTTTATTAAATTATTTTTTTCTTACAATTGACTTATAATTTTATTATTAAACCCGCAACCTTGATGAAATAGATTGTAGCGCCACGTATAATCGGTTTACTTACTACACACTCGAAGTACATACGAAATATCACAATTGAGACGTCTATAAAAATCATATTCTTTGATTTACTACTAAAAATTTACAACCGTAATAAAATGTGAATTTGGCATTGTTGAAAAAAATTAAGAATGTTAAATTGATTGAAAGTGCTAAAAATTTCATTTCTAACAGAATTAATTTATAATTATTATTATTTTTACATTAGGTAAAAAAATAAATAAAAAAAAAACCTTTTCAATTTTCATTGCTTTTGTCATTCTTATCTACTGTAAGTGCATTTAAACTACTGATCGGCTAAAGTTTCTGATACATATAGGCAAAAAGAAGACATCGAAGAGTCGATTTTGTAATTTTAACAAAAAAAATTATTGTTAGTAATTTCATTTGAACATACGTCGAGCCAGACCATGCTCACGGTAATAATTACTTACTATTGAATAAGAATAACTGTGTAACACAAAAAATTATTAGTTAAATAATGTGCATTACCTTCAAAATATACCTAATTATCATAGTTTACTTATGCAAAAATTAAAGCACGATAGTGAAAATTTTCTTATTATTCATTTTTAGTCTGCTGTAAGGGGAATTGTTCGTCGCTCATTTTCTACATCAAAATGGGTTGCTACACAACAGGTGAAAATACTTATTATTTATTTTTAATATTTAAAAAAAAATTATAAATTATTAACCTGTACCATTCTCTTAAAATAGTTATCAACATAAAGCTAGAAAAAACTAGCCCTTGAATAGTCTAATTCCAAGCTTTTGATGTCATTTGAATAATAGGAAAACATGGAAAACAGTTTATCTAGTGTTATTCAATTTATTATCATTTACTCTTGAATTTGCTAGAAAATGATTAGCTAACAATCTTAGAACTGAAGGACAAGAAAGGTCACCCTAATGAATATGCATGCAAATCCTCAAATATAATTAACTAATTTGATTTCAAATATTTGATGATTTATTTTATTAATAAAAAAGAATTTCAAATCAATAATTTTTTCTCAGATGACCGTAAGAGATGCATTAAATACGGCGTTGGATGACGAAATGGAACGCGATGAACGAGTCTTTTTAATGGGTGAAGAAGTAGCTCTTTACGATGGAGCCTATAAAGTATCACGAGGTCTTTGGAAAAAATATGGCGATAAACGAGTTATTGATACCCCAATTACTGAAGCAGGATTTGGTGGTCTTGCTGTTGGAGCTGCTATGGTAACATTCTGATAATATTTTACTTTTTGTCTTTAAAATAATAAATAATATACAATGAATTACTGTACCCATTTCTAGGCTGGACTACGACCAGTTTGTGAATTTATGACATTCAATTTCGCGATGCAAGCAATTGATCAAATAATTAATTCAGCAGCCAAAACATTTTACATGTCAGCAGGAAGAGTAAATGTACCAATTGTGTTCCGAGGTCCTAATGGAGCTGCTGCTGGAGTTGGAGCCCAACATTCACAGTGTTTCGGTGCTTGGTATGCACATTGTCCAGGATTAAAAGTTATTTCTCCTTACAGTAGTGAAGATTGTAGAGGTCTGCTCAAAGCTGCTATTCGTGATCCTGATCCTGTTGTATTTTTGGAAAACGAAATTCTTTATGGTGTTCAATTTCCAATGGCTGATGAAGCTCTTTCAAAAGACTTCGTTATACCAATTGGAAAAGCAAAAATAGAACGTGCTGGAAATCATGTTACTCTTGTGGCACATTCCAAAGCCGTTGAACTTGCCTTAGAGGCTGCTATTCAGCTTGCTGGTAAAGGAATAGAAGCAGAAGTTATTAATCTACGATCTTTAAGGCCTTTAGACACTGAAACTATTCTTAAATCTGCTGCTAAGACTCATCATGTTATTACAGTAGAACAAGGATGGCCGTCATGCGGTATAGGAGCTGAAATTTGTGCTAGAATTATGGAAAGTAAGTTTCAAATATAGTATTGTCTTTTTTTTATTATTAAAATATTTATTATTTATATATTTTAGGTGAAACTTTCTATCATCTCGATTCACCTGTAATTCGAGTAACTGGTGCTGATGTTCCCATGCCATATACCAAATCGTTAGAAGCGTTGGCTTTACCACAGCCACAGGATATTATTCTTGCAGTAAATAAAGTTCTAGGAGTATCACAGTAGCAAAATTATAAAATGATTAAAGTATAAATAAATTTCTTCATATCAATTTAGTGCTTTTTGAAGAAAGTTACTTACCAACACTGAAGTTAAGAAAAACAATAGTTGATTAAAATTTATTTTCAGTTATTTTCGTTCAATATCCGGTATTTATCTTTCTTTGAAAGTATTACCAATGGTTGATATTATACCAAATAAAAACAGTTAAATTATTTTAAAAAAATATAAATAATGTAATGTGAATATGTGAATACAATTTGTGGCGTTTTTACATGATGAAATTATGTTACTTGTTATTAATTATTTATAACGAAAAGTGAAAATAATAAACAATGAATTGTAATATATGATTTATTAATTTTCATTTTCTTGATTACAAATAATAATTAACGATCACGTATGATACATTCGTAATAGACAACTCGTAACAACTTTCATATAACGATCAAATGCATCTCTAAGAGTGGCCTCTCTGTAAATTACAAGTATAATTATAATTGTTATATTATGTAATATCATTTTATCATTATTTACCTTAGTACATCCATATCAAGAGCACATTGAGTGTAAGCGTTTAAGAAATTTTTCAAATCTGTGTGTGACCAGTTTACTTGACGCCAAGGTTCTACACATCGTTCTACTAATTCCAAAAAAAAGAAACGAAGTTCTCTAGAACGATGCAAATTACAACCAATTCCTAACAGAGCTCTAGAGTAGGAACGAAAATTTAAATCCAACTCTTGATACATTCTATCTAATAGTGCTGGCTTTAATTTCATGCACACCAAACTAAAAATTGAATCAAAAAGATTTATAATTATACATATGATGATTAATTATATAAATAATTTAAAAATTTTTTTAGTTACTGCTTATGATGTTTGTCATTTTCTAATAATACTCGACATTCTGATAATTCAACGAGGAACTCTCTATCTAGATCTGTATCAAAATACTCTGATCCAACATAACGATAGGTCCATAAAGACATAATAGAATTAGCACAGTGATACAGATCTGGAAAAGTTAGAAATTGTAATTTTCTTTTGTTCATTTCGAATCTTAGACATGCTATAAAAACTACTGCGGCGTATCTTCTGTAAATATATAAATATTTTTAGTAATCTTTTAAAATTAATAGAAACAGATAAATTCGTACTTGGCCAATTCTTCGGGCAATAAAAAATGTTGTTTAATGTTGGTTACTAAAGAACCTGGTAAATCCTCTACAATTTTGAATACTCGTTTAACATTATCATATTGTCTTCGACAACTTTTCAATGTGATTCCGGTTTTCTCAGCAACCTCATCCATATCTTTTCTGCTTTTAGAAGTTAATTTTTTTCCTAACAATTCACGTATAACACAGTCATCGAATTCGTAATACCTTGAATTTAAAAATAAACATTTTTTGAAATAATCGTAAAATTAACTTCAAGTGACTTAAATAGATTTTGTCTTCTCATAATACAAACATTTCTATTAGCATTTGACTAGTTTGTGGTTCTATTTGAAATGCCAATTGTTCACTGGCTAATTTGGTTGGAGTATGTAAAAGTCGCTCCAATAATGAATAAGTACGATAATGATCCAATACATCAGATGCTATTAATTCAATTGGAGCATTCGTATGATGACATACACCTCGTTGATGTAAAAGAGCAACTGCATCACTAGCTACAAATAAAAAATATGCAAGTTTAAACATCTTAACACTATAAATTTGTACTATTAATTATTTATGAGATCGTTAATTTTAGATTCTTACAGGAATATCCATCCACCCATAGTTGATAAATTTCAGGATCAACAAGAGTATAATTACTTATAAATACATCGACTTCTGACAACATTTTTAGTTAACTTTATCGATAAATGACACTGCTTAAATAATAACTTATTACAATATTCACAGTTAATAAATCAAGATATCAAGATATACATGACCAACATTTTTATTAGAAAAATATCATGAGAGAGTTTATAAATATACAACATTATACCACGTATGAGATTTAGAGAATTGATGTTTAAATAATACTTTAAGTTTTATCATGTGAAGCAGAGAGAGCAGAGGACAAACTTGGAGTCCATGTCATGAGGAAAATTACCCAGGAAGTGGCGCCAAATGACTTGAATGTTTTATTTATGAACTAAAATGACGACTCCATACAGGTGTTGGTATTACAGGGAAATATCTGAGGAAATGAAAGTAAAAACGGAAAAGCTCACTATGATATCGGCATCGTTTCAAATGCAGTTCATTGACCGTTAAAAAAAACATTTTTTGTAATTGTAGAGGACAATGTAGTTAACATATTAATTATAAAGAATTAAAAAATTTGTACAAGAATTATTGCCAATAGATATATGTTTTAGAATATTATCTTTCGATTTAACATTATTCTAGTCTTGAGTTTACAATGATTAATAACCTCAAGTTTTATAAGTTTGTGAAAGACATAATTTTTATATTAATGGAGATTTATTATTACAATTTGACAATCATAAATTTTTTTCTATTTTATATCGGTAAGTTTATACAATGTACGTTCAGGGTAATATTTATCTACAGTCTACTGTCATTGAATGTCACGTAAATCATAACTTGCTCATTTTTATTTTTTATGTTTATTATTAAATATTTAATGTCAAAATAAATAGTTACATAACGTAGAGCTAATAAAGATATATATTATCTAAAGTATGATCCACTTATGTTACGAGGCTAGTTTAATTACTATTAGGTTAAAGTGATTAACAAATAAATTTTTCTTGAAGAAATCAGTTTAATGTCGAATGAATATGAATACTCAGACATATTCAATGAATAATGAATTTTAATGATGGAAAAACATTTGAACGTTGATGTAAAAAAAGACGGATGGGAGATTGAAAATTATTTGTTATTCACTTATACATAAACAATACTGTCTATTTTTTATTATGCAACACCTTCCGTTTGGGAGATTTTCGTAGCATTGTCAAGAAAATTTTTTTTATTGTTACAGACGAAGATGCAACGTAGTTTCTTTATGTAATACAATAACACGACCACCGAGAGTAAAAAAAAACTCGAAAACACCATTCTCTGCTCCACACGAGAAGATTTTCGCGAGTGGTCGCTCCACAGCACGTTTCACTATTTTTACTTTAATCTTCTTTTCCTTTCCATCGTAAAATCCTTCCTCTTGAACGTCCTATGTGTCTATTTTCTTTATTTCTCTCTTGTTTTATGACTTTTTTTTTTTCATTTCAGCTCTGATTCGACATCATAGTGAGAGAAATTGAGCATCACACTGTGAACAAAATTCTTTGTTGATACGAATTTTATGTGGATCACAGTCATTGTGGCAGCTTTCACGCTGAGGAAAAAGGGGCGTTGGTTGTTCATTGCTACTGGGGGCTAGATCTCACATGCAACCGCAAGCTTCTACAACCATGTTTGGAAGTGTTTTCTGGGTTATCGTGTTGTTAGAGTCCACGTAGAGAAGTTGAATTGGTGAAAGCTGAGTCGGCGAGCAGCAAGGAACTATCTCACTTTGTCCTCCATTCTTCATCAACCATTTCTGTCAAAAAAAAAAAAAATGCAGATTTATTGTTTTTCATTTATGCACCTGAGGGTAGATAACAAGGTACGTGATCTTTGAAATGTCCTTAGGGTATTCAGAATTTAATAAAAAGGAAACATGCACAAAAAATAATTTATCATATCGCTTAAAACAAATTAAAACTTTCATTATGAGACTAGACATTCTACGAATATCTATAGAATTGTTTTTTGGTATTATTCAGAAATTATCTTACTCTTAAAACATTGTTATAGGGTGAGCCACTCATAATTAAAGAAGCAGCAGACGAACAAGACCCACGACAAAAATAAGCATGATAACCGCTCGGATGAAGAATCCAGTCACTCCATCCAATTTCCTGAAAACTTATGTACAGCTGGTCTCGACAGCATTCTTTCATTTCTGGTAGGCAATTAGAGTTTCTCTTTAAACGATTTTTTTGCACTAATGGTGATGTGTGAATTACCAAAAATGGTTTTAATGTTAGCTGAGTGGATACAGGAGCTGTTTCACGATCAATCGAGCACGTACTACATGCTATTTGAATTGCGTGATTCAAAGTACTTCGTTCTACCCATTTCCTGACGGTGAATGCGACATCGGTTTTTACCCAACCCTCTGCAAGTTTATAGAAAGATTTTTTTTAGACTCGTGTTTAATTGATTTACAAATAATATCCGGATATTTTAATATTATTTATTATTATATTGATGTATACCATCAATTGAAGTTTCAAAGATAGCCATAATAGTATTTTTTTCAAAACTTCCACCTTGATCCCAGTGATCTAATTCTGATAGAACAAATGTTTGACCGTAAATATCATTTTCGTCATTTTCTTTATAAAACCAAAAATCAGCTGATGTCACATCGACGAATTGCATTTCTTGTGGAAGATTAAAAGTAAAGCAGGCTGCAGGGCTGAAACCTGTTAAATGGTTTGAACTTTGTCGACAATTTTTCATATCCGCCACGCCTACAAACATAAATGATAAATTTTTGATGAAAAATAATTTTTTATACCAATATAGAATATTTCATTTTAATTTTCTTATATATCATGTTTATATAGAGATATATATCTATTAACAAGGATATCTAAAATCACTTTTAGTTGATTAAAAAAAAATACCACGGCAAATTAGGAAAAATAGTTATTTAAATTGGAAAATATGTTAATCAGATTTGTTATATTACATTTACTTTATACTTTCTGGTAGGTTTTTCTCTTTTACCTATCCCCTACCCCGATAATTGTCACGATTCACGTAACTTTGGGTTTTTGCGCTTCGCCAACCATAACGAAAATTGCCGGTGAATCCAATTTTCAAGCCAATATCGTTTTAGAAGAGAGATAGAGGGAATCAACCACTTGACATTTTCACCAAGTTGTATTTGACTCGTTGTCATCAATGAATACTTCCAACTAGTTGGCATGTGCCGCGTAGAGATTTTGTTTTGAATGCATCTCAAGCCAATAATACGACAGTTAAGTGAAGTAAAGTGGAATTCTAGACATTTCTGCTTCTATTATACGAATTATATATATTTTAGAAATAATTAAAGGAAATCTGTCATCAGATTTTATTTTTAAAGATTTTTAAAAAATTTTCAATACAACTCAGCTTCACATTAATCATCATTAAAGATATTTATATATTGTTATGAAATTTTATAATATTTATTCGCAAAAATTTTTTTATCTTTATTAATACAAAAACACTACTTTCACCAGCAAAAATAAAAGGGATGATAATTCAAATAACAAGTCTCAACGTTATACATCGTCAAGTTTTTTTGTCATCACTTTTTTATGACCTTCCCAGAAAAGTGAAATGAATGGAAGTGGTTATATGAATCACAAGTCTATTTATCAAGTGCATATTTTTTTCATTACCAACTCACATATTTTCTCATACCACAGAAAAAGGCTATAAAGGTCAAAAATGACTTTTTTGCTTTATAAATATTCATCATCATTTTACAGATGATTTATATGATGATCAAACAGTATAAAATTGATGCTCCGATTGGATAAAATCACAGAGAATATGACAAATAGAGCATGAATAGATATAGTTGTGATTTAACATTTTCCGAGTTAAATAGTCCAATTATTTTGACATTCTAATAAACAATTACTCTACAAAAGTGATAATTACAACATATTATTTAATTAGTAAAAAGTAAAAATGAAAAAGAAAATTTTAGCATATCAGTAAACATTTTATCTAAAAATAAGTTTGTTTTTTACTTAATAATTTTTGAAATAATGAATTAAATGTAATTTACGTGATTATTAATTTGTATTTTAAACAAGTTATCGCTGTAAATATATATTGAAAACTTTGCTCTAACTTGTGATGCAACATGAAGACTATGTGACATTTTATTTATTAATCTCATCATGGACTATTTTGAGAAATGTCAAATAAAGTTTTTGAAGTTTCTGATGATTGAGCTTCATCTTAGCTTATGAATTACATCAAAAACGACCAATCTCCTAATTGTAATCTACAATCTATCTGGATAATAGCTTGCAAATGTAATTAGAGTAGTCGGTGCTCAATTAAGGAGCCGTCAATCCATCACCATCTCAGAACGTAATTAATGTTGGACGAGTAGGTAATCTTGAAGATGTCCAGAGAAAATCTACCATAAAGTTTGCTTTTTTAACCTGGCAAATTACTCACCTGTTGGAACACCTAATTATTTTTTGTCTATTAACCATAACTACTTACTTTGAATATTACACACATTTTAATTTAGCTATGAAACATTGTGTAACATGATTCACTCGAGTGTAAATGAAATTTTTAGTTAAAATTTACCTTCATTAGGAAAAACAACTATCTGATCTGTCTTCCCATAGAAGCTTTCGGCTTGCTTCTCAGATTCTAATACATCTCCAGGTCGTAGTTCAAGTACATAACCATTTATTAGGGGCTTTGGTAATGTTGAAAGTGAAATGGAGACGTCTGGTGGCTTTGATAAACGCAGTTTCTTTAAAATTTGCTGTTTAACGTATTCAACACGGATTTCATTAAGTACTTGTTCTATTTCTTCATTCTTGGTCACTTTATTTTTTATACATGCCGAGCATTTATGTTGATGAGGTTCTTCAGCTACCATTATGTTTGTAATTGGTGATTCTGTATTATCACTTGCACTGTTTATTTTATTAGTATAAAAGGAAGACCATACACTTTTCAAAGGATCAATTAAAGTGAACGCATTAACATTTATCTTGCAAAAAATTATAACACTAAAAATAATTAATAACCAATTCATTTTTTATTTTTATTATTATAAATTAACTAAAAAAATTTAACAATATATTATTGAGTTTGTATTCTTCAAGCATAACAATATAAAAAATTTAAATTAAATTTAAAGTACACTTATATGCTGTTTAAAGTTTCTAGAATGGAGAAAATTCAGTTGTGTATGGAGGTTTAAGGAAAATGAATTCTGATTATTGCTTATGCGGAATATGATGACGACTGGAGGTGATTTGTCGTGACGTTGGACCAGTCATGTAACAAACTCGGCATTGATGACCTTTGTCCTTCGGTTAGAACCGACTGTTACGGATTGGATAGCGTATGTTGTGCTATCAGTTTCAGTAACACGCACTGTAGACATGTTGCTGGTTCTAAGTGTTTTCATAAGTGAACTTTTGAGCTTTTGAACTCATTCAATGATTTTTAACTGGAATAAACTGGCTAATAATGATAAGATCAATCAATTACATATTGACTATGGAAAAAATTTTAGACTATTCAAATTGAACTATTTGTCTGTGAAACTTGTCTAATAAATCCATAGAGTAATGACTTCAGTTGTTGTCTTTCCAATAAGAGGAACATTCATTTTTTGCTTTTCTAAAGTAAATTTAACATTTTTAGCACATATCAGTTTAGCATTATAATTATTGTGGTGAATCATTATCATTAAATCATGCGGAGAATTTAAATATATATTTATACAATTTAAATGACATTATTATTTAAATTATTGTTATAGACAAATAATAGATGTTTTAAGGTGCTAAGACAGTTAGACCATATTACCATTTTTTAAATTACTTCAAGGATTTTTTTATCAATTTTTTCTTTCTAGGATATTCATTATGGTCTTGTAAGCTATTGACAACATAGGTTTATTTTTAAAGAAAATAAGCAATCTTTGTCAGACAATTGAATAATTTAAGATTTTTTTTCTTCAATGAAATCCAATAATTATCTCTATTTTTGCTTTATTCACTATGTGTTTATTATTGAAGATATCAATATTCCTAATTCATGAAATCTTGCTCAAGTTTAGAGTTAGTATTCGATTCTGGCGACAACGTTACTAGGTTAACGACGTAAGATTGTATTCGATGCACTCAACGATTATTGCTTCCTTGGCCCCTTATCCTCGATTTACAGAAGGCCATAGACTGTCATGCAAAAAGTCACAATTTGTCGTTAAATTTTAATTTATATCAGGCATTAGTTTTCCTGTGTTGTCGGGTATTGAATTTGCTGCTTGTTAACTTTCAAATTTACTGTTTTATTTCATCTTGGCATTTTTTCCATCTTGATAATTCTATCTTTTCTTTAACATGAATAATAAATGATCAATATTTTTCAATTGTTTATCAAGGAATTTTTGAAGTTACAAACTGCATTTATAACATTCATTTACTTATCATTTGATATTTGAATAAATAAATATAGAAAGTTTTAAATAAATTTATTTATTTTATAATTATGAAATACTGAGTGTTATTTCTATTGGAATTTCAGAATCAGTAATTAATTATTAAAACTTGTCGCATTTATCTTAAATATATTGATAAACGATTTCATAAATATAAAATATTTTACTTTTAAATAAAATATTTAAAAATAGATAATAATATCTATGATAATATTGTGGTTCATTGAAACATAGTGAGTAAGTAAGTGAAGGTGTGTGTCAGTATGTATGTATGTGTAGGGGAGGGAGAGTCTGCAGGAGGAAGTAGATAAATCAGAGTTTTCATCTAATCCGATTATGAGCCTGGATTCCAACATGATAATAGATTATATCTCTTTATTAAGGTTTCATCCAAAATGAACTATGGATCGTTGTGTAATTTACTCTGAATGCATTTGATCAATTTTCATCTACTGATTGATACACCTTTATATGTAATATAATTTTGACTTAGCTTTGTATACTTTTCAACCAAATAATATTTGCATAGTCGTCAGATAATAAATTAAAAAAAATTGTTAACAAGTATGTAAAATATGATTCTACAGTGTACTATACTAACTCTTAGCTAGAAGTCTTTTTTATGAAAAATGAAATGTGTAAATTATTTGATATTAATATTCAGTACACTGTCAAGAAGAAAAGAAGAAGGAGAAGAAGAAACGAATGTAATATGGCTTAACAATGTAGATGCATGATGAGAATTGAGAGCTTCATTGGAAATTACGATGCGTGAAATAGTCTGATGACACTTTTGCTACAAAACAATTCAATATTATGTCAAGTTATGTCATAACAAATGATGTTGCGTCATGTCATAACTTTGCTTACGCGAGCGTTTAGTTGAATTGTCGAGACGAGCGTCGGGCGCCTTGATGTGGTGAGTTAACCGCAAATTCGCCACCTGCTCTAGACGTGTTGAAGCCATGACAATGTAGTTTATCATCGAAGCATGTTGACTAAAGGTTAATTAGGTAAAGTAAAAAGTTGATTTTACTTCAATAAAAATTTGACATATTTACCGAAATAATGATTTCATATGCGAGCATAAGCAGCATAATTAGCAATTCCACAAAGATTTTTATTTCTCCTTATCCGCATGTAACCACCTTCACCCCAATTTTCACCCCACCAGTTTTTTAATATCCATTCCTGTGGTGTGTAACCAACTAACAGCATAGCATGATTTACTGTGTCTGAACTGCATAGCGGGTCATCGTAAATTCCCTGGCTGAAAAAAACATCATATAGGCTCATTAAAATAATTTGACAATTTTCGAAATGATAAAGTTTATTTTAATAGCAATTGAATGTTGAGAAATTCACTAAATGTGAAATGATTTCTGTGGTTGTGATCTTTAAAGTGGTATAAATCAAGAAAACATTGAAGGAAAGAGAGTAGAAACGCATGGATAATTTATGCCAAAGGGTGAGAAGAACGTCCGAGTCGATTATTCTTTAAAACGAGTCTTTCGCCCATGGAGGCGACGATGCGAGAGAAAAATCATCGGCTTGGAATCGCTCCGATAAAAATGTGTTTGAAATGAAATTTAAATCCGGATCCAGATAACTGCATTAATCATGCTGAATCACTCTGAGTTATGCGTCTGTGAATATTGATAATGGCTCACTGAAATCACTTTACTTTCGTTTGCGATTTACTTTTATTCACATGGATTTGACGTGACAAATTATTCGTTTAATGTTGTCTAACTAAAGATCCAATGAATTAATAATAATATTTGTTGACTTTACTTTATTATATTAGAATATATGAGTTATTAATAAGTCATTAAAATTAAATAAATAAAATCATAAAAATTTCAATGTTTACTGATATAATTGAAATGTCCGTGGACTGGCATTGATAGAAACTGCTATTGGTCCAATGGTCGCCACAGCAGCTTGCAAAGCTCGTTCATCTCTCGCTGGCAAAATAGCCCATGATGTAATGTTGATGATACTGAGGATTCTTTGGAATTTGCACCGACCTTCCTATTTCAAAATATTCTTTTATTAATTATTATTGCGAAATCATTTTATTGTTATTCCCACAAATTTTAATCATGTATGATTAAAGTATGTCAGTTAAATGTAATTAAATATTTGATTTCACTCTCCTAAACAAGGAAAATGTAATTTTGAGAATTCTTGAGTAATTTTTATACAAATACCTCAGCTACATATGGATAATTTCTTTCTTCCATTAATCCACCAGCTTTTTCAATATATTTTAGAGTATTTCTGAGTGATCCTCCACTACATCCTAAGTTTCCAGTTACTGTACTACAATCAATGAGCTGTTGAGCACTTAAAGGAATCATTCTACCAGTTTTTTGGAATATTTGACCCATTAAACTTTCCACTATTGAATAAGCATAACAGCTACCACATGCACGTTGATCTATTGCAATAGTGTTGAAACCCCTTTTTCGCCAATCGAGATTGGTAGGAATTCTTGTGGGATCGTGGAGAACGGCACCAACTATTTCATTGTCATTTATTTTCCGTCGACGACTTGGCTTTAATTTTACCTTGAAATAAAAAAAAAAAATTATTTAGGGCAAATAAATTTAAAAAATTTCATTTTGTTAAAATCTACTAAATATAAAAGAATTTATTTATCAATAAAAAATGTAAATGATTGATAAATAAAAATAAGTATGCAATTTTTTATGATTGGTTTAATTATTAATAGATTGAACAGATAATATTTTATGGAGTTTAGCTTAAGTAAAGTTTTTAGAATCATAATTTAAACGTTAAACCAAGGGAGAATAGTTGGAAAGATATTTTGAAATATTCAAGTAATAACGAAAAATAATTACCATATTTTTCATGTATTGGTATGTACATAAATCAGCAATATGGTTGTCTTTTAATGTATAGGTATGATGGCCTGCTTCAGCCATCAAGTTGTGCTCGTAAATTTTCAGCAGGTTCTTCTCCCAAGCTGCTCGTCTTTCAAGCTCCTCCTTCGTCGTGTACGTTTTGTTCAATCTAGTCTAAGATATGAACGTTTAATTAATCCCTAGTAGTTATCGCTTAGCAAAAAATTCACGTTTTTGTCCTACCTTGTAAGTATACCAACATTCATCCATACGTTCTGACATTTCTTGTGGTAGCTTTTTGATATTACCGAAAATAGTTATGTCACTATCTTTACTAGTACTAGCAATCCTACTAAATACTGAAAATAAAAAAACTGATAGGATTACTTTATCACTAGATCTCATGATCGTTTCAATTCGGTGTTTTAATACATACTAATTACAATCATTGTATGAAATAAAATACAGAACAAATATGACACTGACAATGTCAGCAAAAAATGTATAACTAAACAAATAAATAAAATATTTCATTTTATTTGAAGATAAATTAAATATAATTTTACCTCGAAATTATTTGAGGTCAATATTGAGTCGTAAATAACAACATGTTCAAAAATGAAGTAATAAAGACAAAAAGTTTGCCTTTAGTGTTTATTATTTATATCAATAAGAAGCATTTTGATTGAACAAGTTTGATTTAAAAAAAACTTTTCAGTTAAAACGAACAATACATCGCTAAATGTAATCCTATCATAATTAGGAACACTTTATCATCTCTGAGAAATTCAATTTACCACAGAGTTGGGGTGGATGCATCTACCTTGCCTAACTCAATTTACTTGGCACTGATATCAGGTGGCTTATGCAGACCAACCAAAGGTAGGCCTTTCAGTTTGTTGCATTAGGTCATTAGACTGATGGAGCGACTAAATTACAGATCGAGTTTGTTCTATAGATTGTCTCACTGTACTCCACTATTGCATTAAATAACATTGTATTTATTCATCACCCCTCATCTGTCTGTATTTCTACCAAACATATGTGTGGATATATAAACACTGTTAACTCTTGTACCAATTATCATGAGCAAAAATACAAAAACATCCTTACATTTCTTTTCAATACAATATTGAAAATATTTAAAAAAAAAAATGATGCAGAGAAAGTAGCTGATGTAGTCAGGTTAAATTGAGCTGATTATTGTTGATATTAAATCCATTTTCGTAATTTTAAGCAACAGCAAGATATCTACTGATCTCCAAAATTAAATACACTTAGTCATCATTTATATTCTAATAAAAGATTCTATTTGAAGATGTCAGAGCAGCAGAAATCTACAGAATCAATTGAAATATCGAGTTTGCAATTTGGCAAATCCCTCATTGCATATACACATGAAGCGAAATTGATAGTAAGCTCGACAGATGGCACTAAGTCGGTGATCTACAGCGATCCATGTCGACGTGGTCGAAGTTAAAGTAAGAGCAGGTCACGCGGATTTTCTTGATTGGGATACTACAATCATCTACCAGCTGCACGCACTTAAGTAGTCTATCCTATACAAATCGTGTACAATGATACTACCAATAGAGTGCGATGTACAAAAGTTATTTTATATATCATTTAATTGTTTTTATTATGAGTATTTCTTTGTTAGTTAATATCAGTAGATTGTCAATTGTAATTGTTTAACAGACATGTAATTGTGCTCAGTAACTATTTATCGCAACAAAAGCCGATATCTTTACTATATGAATATTATTTGAAAGAAAATATAAAATGAGTTAGCAGAGATAAGTATTTAATTGTGAACTTTATTCTGTGTTAAATTTTTTATCTCATATATTGATGTATATTTACATGTAAATATACTTGTTGTTTTAATTATATTTTTTTAATTGTTTATTAATTGTATTTAATGTGACAAGTGATTTTTTTTCAAATGTTATTAAAAAAAATAAAAGACTAGAACAAAGTTATAAAAGTGAAAGTGATAAATTAAGAAAAAAATAATTGAAATGGAAGAATCAGGAATCGACATGGGTTTTGATCTTGCCGCACTTACAAATGGAGAGGATTTGAATAATGAATATAGTGACTTTGATCAAGCTTTATCAATGCTATGTGATTCTCAAGATTTTATGTATTATGAATTAAAAAGTCGCGCTCCAAATACATGCAGGTATGGAAAATTTTTAATCTCATGTTATTCATTGATATCAATAATATATTTCTACTTATTCATTTTTGTTCTAATAATGATTACTGTCATCTATTCATTTTAGGTAAAAATTAACAATTGGAGTGAAAAATTGAACAAAAAGAAATTGTTCGTTAGATAAAACTTATGCATACATTTATTTATTGATTATGTATTACTTCGTATAATATTGGGCTATTGTTATTGGTTACAATGCCTATCGTCATTTTGTTTTTTCAATTGGTGAAGAAAAACAGACAAGTAGAACATTAGCATTCTACATAACATGACATACTTGCACTTGTTTAGTTTTTGAGAGTGAGAGTGGTGCAGCTCAAAAGTGAAAGTAAAGTGCATCATAGTTGCGCATCTTATGCTATCATTATGACTAGACATTTTCTGCTGTCTTTTTTAAGATTAAATTTACATAATACTGAATAATGTAATATTATTATTAATTATTTTATAAATATAATTGAAAATATTCTGTTTATTCTTTTCAAAAATTGTAATTTATAAATCATTTCATATTAGTGGGATCAATCCATTAATACTCTTTTGATGATATTTAATTAATATAATAATTAGTTAATTCAAATTAAAAATTGACATTTATTACAAATAATTATTTTTTGATATTTAAAATAGTTCAATTATATTGAATAATATTGGTGTTAAAAAAGAAGAGTAAACAGAAGATTTTAATTAATTTATTTAGACACGATATGATAGACATAGGGAAACAGTGCAACATATGGCTTATACCTTGACTATATATCATCCACTTTCACGCATGAATAATGTTTCAATCTCTTAGGATTAAGCCAGTGCAATCCAGATTTTAGGAATAGGGGTATTAAACTTCATCACTATATTCAAACATTATGTAATAATTTCTCTTGGCAAGAGAATTTTTTTTCAAATTACTCTAAAGTACTACACATCTAAATTTCTGCTTTTAATTAGAAGTAATATTGTTTGTTTTCATTCCATGAAAATAAATTACTAATTTTCTATTTAAAAAAAAAAAGATATTGAAAAACTTTTCAACAGTGTATGCTAATTGTTCAAACATGAGGTATGCACGATACTCTTGAGTGTTTTGTGGATGCAATTGTTTTTGAACAAATAGAGTGATTACATCAAGGACAGCCACGTGTACTGTGTGATTTGCACGTTTAACAGTAGCACAAACGAATTTGACTAACAACCTTGTGTAGAAAAAAAAATGTAAAAAAAGCTAGAGCATGAAAAACAGATTAACAATGTAGGTAAATCTTGCTTAGGTAGATTTTTATTCATATAAGAATATATTAACTTTTCAGTGAAATAAAATTGACACTTTCAAACTATCTTCTATCTATACGAAAGTTAAGGTATACATTTGCCTTTTTCACATCTTTTCCCTATTTTATTCTTTCATTTCTTTGTAGAATAAGAAAAATTCACTTTCAAACTTAAATGTGACGCTTGACTTATTTTAGAAGTTTATCTTATCAACCTTCCTTACTTTCTAAGTAATTTTAATTTTTAAGACAAGTCACTCGACCTATCATTAATTACAAATTATAACAAAAGCTTTGTAAAAACTGAATTAATCAAACTTTAGTTATGAAGTTAATTTATGAAAAATTTTAGTATTATCAATGTTTACTAAAATAAATCAAAAAATTATTTTTCAATAATGTTATATGTTTTTATTTTAAGCTTAAACTAACGTACAATGCCTGTTAAATAACATTTTACATGCTTCAAAAATATTCCATGACCGGTCATCCGAAAAAGTTTGTGTTGACTGAACTTTTGATAACGAGGAAAAAAAAAGGATACAGTCGAGTACATGAGAAGGAAAAAGTTTTTCAAAAAGTTTCTTTGGAATATTTATCATACCAATAGCAGTTGTAGAAATTAAAAATAATAATAATAATTTCCAAATGTTAAATGAAGCATTGAAAACGGAAATTTTCAAATGGTTATTGCTTTAGTCAATATGTTTACTTTTGCTGTCTGCTATTTTTTTTCAGTTAAGCTTTATTGTAGGGAAATATAATGTAAGACGATGCTGGTACAGCTCTTAGTGTCGTCGAGTACGTACTTATCTTATATACAAGCCCTTTTACTCTCTTTCTCTACCTTATTCGCTAGTCTAGTTACTATAGTAGAGCAAATAACAGCTGTTGAAAATGCTCTTCTTCTGGTATAATAGTTACAGTTATGTGCAAAGTAGAAGGAGGCTGAAACGTTCACTAGATTTTCTATCTCTCTTTATCCTCCTCTCTCTTTGACTCCGAATCTCATGTTTAGTTACGAGTCTCTAATACTGTACTCCCTCGAAACTTGTTATCTATGCTTCTATGAATATGCTTTATCCTATGTATAACAATATTACATTATAATGTCCTTCTAAACAAGAGTAGACGACAAACTATTTTGTCATTGTCATTTCAACCTTTTTAACTGTTTAAAAATTTTTTTATTCAAAATCAAACACTGTTAAATGCTTATAAATTTTCATTGTGTTTCACTGTGTTGCTATATTGTTTTTATGATAATAAGTCAGATGGTTTGTCAATAAAACTGAACCATTTGATTATTCAGATGGTTTTGTTGCATATTTACAAATGACACTTTCTTGTAAAAACAAAAAATTCCTCGAACCATTCACAGGGAAATTTTGTTATTTATGTCCGACATGATGTTAAGTTGGAGATGAATTTTTATATTTACAATCTCTTAGAATTTAAATTATTTCTCAGTGTAAACATTAATTTAAAATACTTTGATATAATTATATTAACTCATTTGAATCAACTAATGAAAAATAAAGAAATAGCTTGGATATTAAATTCAAATTGTTATTTTTAATTACAGTTAAGTATGAAATATAAACGAATGTTGGTTTTCTATAATTACATCTATTTATTCATAGTTTAGCTTTTAACATTGTGAGTGCTTATACATTTTCTTTAATAATTTAAAATGTTTTTTAGTAAAACGTTCACTATTATATATTTTACAAATTTATGCTGAATTACTCACATACGTACATTTATGAGTATTAAGTATTTTCTGTGAATGGTTTATTATTTTTATGTAAACGAAAGTTATAAAGTTTTAGACGAGAAAAAATCTATTTAAAACAAAAAAAAGCTGTAAAAAATATTTCATTTTTTTCTTGCTTTTGTAATAAAGTGTAATTATTTATAAAACTACTTGAAGTTTTAAACAACTCTTGAGATTATAAAAAATATTATAGAAAAAAACTTTTTTATTATCAAACTGACAATGTAGTAAGTTTTGATTCATGTTTAAAACATTTTTTTGAAATTAAATATTTCAAAAAAAAAAAAAATATTAAATAATTGGATTATTATGAATTATATCTATGAATCAAGCTTATAGAAAATTTCATTAATCACGTATGCATATTTTATTAGTATTTTTTTATGTCCCTTACAAATAACTCATGTGTTTAAAATGATGACAATTATTGAACATGTCACGTGTAGGGAGAGATGTATGATTCTTTTTTTTTTTTTTATTTCATTCTTTTCTACTTTAAAAAAAATATATCTATGCATTTATGCATATTATTCTTCACTCTTTAGATTTTTCTTTTTGTATCAGACGTGAACGATTTATTGGTTCCACTGGATGCACCACGAGTATTTCGTTCGCCTGTATGGCAATATTATAAGAAAATTTAAAAATGATCGTCGCTTATACATTCTTAAGATTTTTGTCTTCTATGCAATATTACAAATTTCATGAATTTATATTAAAAATATAATCATCTTTATCACGTATAATACTGTAAAACTGATAATTAAACAATCACAAACAGTAGGCTTACATAATAATCAAACATCAAAGATTCTATAACATCCAAAAAATTTTTCCAAGTAAATAAAAATTTTTTTCCACATGACTGATATCTTAAAATGCATATTTGGAGTTGAAGAAGTTCAATGAAAAAATATCTAGAATTTTATTAAATCATTTGTGTGTGTATGTATGTCTTTAAAATTAAAGTAGATAATTGAAAAAGTAATAATGAGATGTTGTATGGATATATATTGGCTAACATTACGTTACTTTTTTGGCATTTAGACATTTGTTTATGTAGGAAGATTGGCAATATGCTGATGGTTAGTAGCGTCGCGACGCTTCAAGTTGTGTGGTCGCGTTGAGACTACATCTTGATTATAGTTAGGTTATTGGTCATGCGGTCTTCATTGGAAGCTTCGCGCCAAATTTTCGAGTTTGAAGAGCTGGTATCTCATTTAGATCACATTAACGATTTTCATAATAGTGGTGAAAACAATTTAGTTAGCTCGTGTCAACGTTCCATAAATCAACAACTTGTGTCTTCCTCTCCAGTGAAAACATCAACATATGCTCATCCAGACAGTTCATTTTCTTTCCCACGTAACCATAGAGAAGATTCTAAACGTATTCACATCAACATTGGTATTGATGAGGACTTGCGAATGATTCTTGAAATGGATCCTTCAATAGTTGATCGACATCTGCCACCTTCTGCATCATCGATTACCACTACACTCACAACAGATCAATCAATAAACACAAGGATATCAAATACTTGGACTTCACCTTCTCAATCAACACATCATGCTCGACTTCAAGGCTGGTACTGCGTTCGAATCAATTTTTGTGATTAACCATTCTTCTTTTTTGCTTTTTTATTTATTCTGTGTTATCCTAACATCTGCGTCAATATTATATTGTATTCCATTAGTATGTAACCTTCTCTTAAGTGCAAATCATGCTTAACATTCAATAATAATTAGGTTAATCATCAATTCACCAACGGAGGAATCTTATTAATTTAAATAACTGTGTTGGTTTAGGCTTTCTGTTGCTATTGATTGGTATAACATTTTATTAATGCACAGTTCGATATGCTCAGTCAAACGTTGTGTGGCTATATGCCATGAAATATTTTATGCTGTTATATAGCGTTACCTTACAAATATTCATGTTAATTCTTGGATTACGTCCATCTTCATTGAACATTAACTACTATTAAAGTGGTTGTTTGAACTATTTGAAGACTCTAAAGTCTTTTGTTTTATTTTTTTCTTATTAAGAAATATAATTTGAAAAAATGTTACTTTTAGATTGGAATTTTTTCTTTTCTTTATTATTAAATATTATAATTGAATTATTTCAGTTAATGTGATTGTTATTTAAATTTTGTGGATATTTAAAAATTCGTTCGTTAGACTTAATTGATTTATCTTATCTTTGGTAATCTCAGTTAATACATGTACTTTATCATAAATCTATGATTATTAAATGATAATGAGTATTTAACGTTATAATATCATCTTTTTAAATGAAAGAAAAAAAAATAATTAATGGGTATTTATGATATTTCTTATCATTTGAACATTCTTATGTTGAAATTCATTGCTCTGAACTTTTCTAAACGAAGTTTACGTCATTTTATGATTTGTCATTGTTACGTTTAATGACTCTATTTGTCAGAAAATATTTTTTTCTTTTTTATCTGTTTAAAAAATTGATTAAGAATTTTACGAAATTTTTTGTTTATTATTTGTTCTACCTATTTTCTATGAAAGTATTTTTTAAACCGATCTAATAATTTAGTGAATAACGAATTGATGTAAAATGGGATGATATTAAAGAAAAAAAAAACAAAAAGTAATAAATCAAGTAATAAATTGAATTGAACTTATGGATTATTATAAAAATTCATAGCAAGAGAAAAAAAAAATCATATTAAGAATAGTTTTCGCTTCAAATATTTTAGTAATGAGAAAAAATTTTTATAAGTCTATAGAGTTAATTTGATGAAAAAAAAAGTTACGATAAAAAAGCAGGAAATGACAAAAAAGAATGAAAAAAAAATTTTTTTAACTTTCAAATTTATTTGACGAATTCTTTTTTATTTCATCTTGCGCGTTGAGGAATAAGTACTACAACTATTAGTAAGCGCGTACATGCATTTGCTGAAAGAACAGGTCAAGTGAGCGCAAAATTAAAAAAAAAAAAAAAAATTCTTACCCTTTTATATTTTCTTTGCATATATGCTGAAACATTTTATAATTTAATGAAGGTGCTTAAATCGGTCTGCCTACGTAATTAAAATAAAACTGGTTGAATTAACTTAGCGTTTATAGTTTTTGAAAAGACCGTTGGTTTTCTACGTGTTATAATCATTGCCAAGAACGAAAATAAAATAAAATTATAAAACAGAAGTCTAAAATCTATAACATGAAGTTGCATAAATAAAAAGAATTAAATATAAAGCATTTATTTGGTGATGTTGAGTTTTGTTTTAAAGTGATGCTTTAGTGTATACCAAAGAGCAAGAAACCAGGACGAGGCAATTACTGATGTAGTCAACTTGATTAAGCTACTATGAAGTAGCACGCATGGAAGAGTTAACGACATCATCTCGCATAGGATAGTCATATAATAGCTTAATCAATAGTTGAAATAATCACAAGCATCACTGGATACTGAAATATGTTAGTGTTTTTTAATTATTCAACCGTATAACATGTTTAATTAATATTAATAAATTTACACAAATAATTATTGACATGTATTCAATGTTTTGAAACATTTAAATAAACATTTACTATCATCATTTAATTTATCAATAGAGCAGCTGTAAATTCACTGGCTATTTATTCCGAATCAAAGTATTTTATTATATTAAAAATAAATATTTACAATATCATTGATTTATAATAATAAAATATTTCAAGTCATTGAATATATGTCAAAGTAAATTTTATGCAGAGCTTTTTTTTTTGGTGAAGTCGTCTTGTTTTATTTTTTTTTCATGTTTTATCTTGATATTAAATTTGTTATTGAAAGATAAAATTAATTTTAACAACAACAAAATAATTATATAAATAAACTAGATTAAAATTTAATAATATCCACGATAAGTAGCCAGTACGAACCAGTACAACTTTTTATTTCTTTATGTCTGAAGGATGTTAGCCTTCTTATAAAGTTTTGTGCAAGTTTTCTATTGCTGTAGAAAAGAAAACCACTTTCCATTGCTTGCTCATTGCAATAATGATTATTAGTCTCTTTGTATTATGAAAAAAAAGACAATGACGATTATTATTGCTTTTGTTGCTATTATTTATCTTGTTCAAAAGAAATTTTTCGTTTATCATTGATTTTTATAAAGATTTTTTACTTAATATCTTCTATTGAAAGTAAACTTTACAAGAGTCATGGATATTTTATTTGAAAGTTTTATAGATTCTTGATAGTAAAATATAAAGTCGAGTAAACTTTCATGATTATATTTGAGTTTATTGGAAAAAAAATTTTTTTATAATCTAACTATCGTTTATTTATTCTTTTTTAATAATATTGATTAAAATTCCATAAATTAATACATATTTATTTCTCATTATTACTTTCAACACATAATTTGTTTTTTTTTTCTCTTACAATTTATCTTTCAAAGAATAGAAAAGTTTGCATTACTAGTAAAAATATTTGAAAAATTTTTATTCCTTCATTAGGTTTCATCATTTACAACTTTGACATTCGATATTTCGATATTCTCATATTTTTTGCCATACGAAAAGTTGTAGGTTGTCGTTTCTACTAGCATTCTGGATGAGCCAACAAGAAAATTGGATTTGGCTAAATTTATTCGTAGATTGCCAACTTTCTACGCAAAATTTTGCGATGTGAGATAAAACTGACATATTCCAATATTAGAAGTCAGACTGATGTAGTAGTAACGAAAAGACACTTTTGGTTATCGTGTGTATACATATATATATAAATCTTCAAATTATATTACCATTCGATTCGATAGGTACTTTTGTAGTAAAATAAACAATAATTACGATAGCAAGATAAATTGAAAAAAAAACAAATTTTTCAACTTGATGATGCATAATAACTTGAGTGTTATAGCACTTAATAATATCGGTACATAACAATGTTAAACGTGTACCCGGTAATAGAGTTATTAAACACAATAGAGAGTAAAATAAATGATAAAATAGTGCACTTGAAAAATTCAAATCCAGATGTATTTAGTAGTTTTAACGGATATTCATCCTTTCCCTTACCCTTCTCGTAAATTTAGCTGAGTATGAAAATTGCTGCCGGGGTTAAGATTATACTAAGAGCGACGAAGAGTAGATAAGAGGGGTAGACACAGTATAGCATCTCTTGAAAGTTTTAACACTTTTATTATGCCGAGTCTCAGTTTCCGACTTTCCAACTTCCTGCGGAAGGAAGGAATTTTTAATTTCTAACGATGTTTAATTGTACGGAAGAGAAATCTTGCTCTCTTCCCTTGAGAAAAGGAGGGTAGTAATAGGGAAAAGAGGATTCTAGCCCTACGACCTCGTTATGAAAATATTCTATCGGCTTTCCACCCGAGTATTAAAACTTCTGTCGTCAGGTTACTGTTTTCTCTCTTTTTTTTCTCTCTATTGGATATTTTAGTTTCCCCAATAGGGCTATGAATAGCTATTTTTTTTTTTATTTCATTAAATGGCAAGAATAGATATTTTTTCAGATGATAATTTTTCGTTGATAAAGAGTGTTTAATATTTTGTGGAGTTAGGGAATATAATTTTCTTTGAAGCATAATAAAAGAAGTTAATTCGATAAAATGTGAGTTAATAAAAAACAATAATGAGTATATTATTTTCTCTTGAAGGACATAGAAGGTTCTAAAATTCCTGTGAGCAACTAAAATTGCATAATACCTCTATTTCAGGCTTGCGGGTAGTACGAGTTGGCTTTGTTCCCAAATTGAGAGGTGTCTCTCCAACGGGCTGTATCCTATATGCAATATGCAAGTGAAATGCTACATGGATAAAAGGAAATGAGAAAGAGAAAGATATCAACATTTTAATGGGAGAGTTATAAATCGCCTGATAGAACGCACTCTTGATTCACTTGCTTTAAAAACTGTAGTTGACTTGGATGACATAGTCGTAGAATTCAGTACAATGCTCGTAGCCAATTGACTGTCGGAAATTTGTAGTTAGCTGAGTTATATCTCTAGGGGACTTGAAATGTCAATGTTGCCAATAAAAGTATAAATTGTGCTGGTAGTGCATGAAACATAAATGCAACAAAAATACATATCAATGCACTAGTGAAAGTAGATGATGTACTAGTGTTACCTCTACTGTTATTTATAATATCAATATCAATGATATATCAAATAGTGTGTCATGTTTGTAACTTTCGTTTCCTTGGTGGAACTTCAATGATATGAAATTCTATTACTCATTGACCCCTTTGACTTACTGAAAATCATGCAACACTTTATTTCTTTTTCATATACGCATCAACTCTTTATCTATCTCATTCTCTCTCATTCCACTCACTAGATTAATTCTAAGAAGATGCTGTTGATCAATGCTATTCGTTTATTATGACCGACCAAAACTGGTTAGCAGTGTTTCTCTGCTTCAACTATTTCATCAAAATTTCTTTCCATTTGATTTCTTTTTATACTTCTCTCAATAATCTTATTTTTATGGAATTATTTTTTTTTATATTTCATATTACATAATTGATATGATATTCTATATCTATATATTTACGTTAGAGTCAGGGTCAAGCTCAAGCTCAAGCTCACATCTATATTTATTGTTGTACCGTGGTAAATTTATCTCAAATTTACTTGCCTATATTTTTATCTTTAATGCATTCAAAATGTGTATATGTCAGAGGATAAAAAAAATTTTTTTTTATTCTTTTTATGTTTAAATATTGAAGTTAAATGGTTAATAATGAAAAATATTGGAAGAAAAGCTAAAATATTTGTATAAAAATTCGAATGATTACGAGATTACGAGAGCTATCTTGCAGTCATTAAATGAACTATGAAAACATGTGTATGAATTCTCTTATACCGATTACATTACATAAATTCATAGGATACAGAAGATATATTTGTTTAAAGCATTGGACATGTGATAATTATCATCCCACTAGATATGCTAACATTTGCATATTAAATTATACTCTATGTACACAATGAATCGAGCTTGTCTTTACATTCGATACATACGTAACTCTATTAAAATGACCTATAATTTTTCATTTTCAATACAATTAATATTTATTTGGCTTTACTGGTTTTTGTGAAATATGTCGACATGAATACTATTGTGATACTAAATCAATAAAAGTGTAAGAATATACAATTTGTAAATTTATTGAATTTATTTCATCAATAGTAAATAGAGAATTTAATTTACTGCGAAAAATAAATGAGCTTGGCTTCTATTCAATTTAATTGTATATTTTTCTTTGAATAAATCAATAAGTATTGTACGTTATTTTGAATATTATATAATTGCAAATTTTTTAACAATCCCCTTTGATAAAAAAAAATGACATAAAACAAAGTTAGATTTGCATCAAAGCTTTTATATACATCAATGTTTTTTAAGTAATAATAATTTCAATACTCAAAGAGTAAAAGTAGAAGAGTAATTTAATGTTATTGAATATTTTCAAAATTTATAAAAATGAAATAGAAAGGAAGAAAAAAAATGTCTTATAAAAGATACAATAAAATATTGCATGACATGATCTTTCAAAGTCATTCTCATAAAATGTCAAGTTATATTAGAGAAACACAATTTGACAATAAAAATTCAAACAACATCTGTAAACTATACCATTTTTATTAGTGTTAAAATACTCGGTTTGATTTACAGTCCTCCAACATTTAAAACTGCAACACCAACATCACGAACGCAATTAAAACTTCAATTGATGCGAGAGCAGCTTCAAGAACAAGAAAGGAGAGAAGCAGAATTTCGTCAAAGTTTACAGCAGCAAAGACCAGTAACAGCAGCCCCAAAACCTGTCCCTATTACCCAACTCACAACGATTGGAGTTGATGTTCCACCTCAAGTGCTTCAAGTATGTTATGTTTATATTCTACACACTATACACATGGAATAGTAACATTCATGTTTAACTAAAAAATTCCATTTCAACTTTATCATATTCTGAATTGATATCATCACTAGAATGTGGTTTATTTATTCAGGTCATTTCATATTGTCATAATATTCATTAAATATATTCAGGCAAATATAGATAAATGAAAAATGGTTAGATAAATTGATGGATAAGAAAGAACAGTATATCATAAGTAAAGAAAATTTTTCAGATGAACTCCGTAAGACTTGAACTTAATCACATATAAAACTTGTTTAATGAACTTTTTTTTTTTATCTTTTGTAGTTTATCATAACTTTTATTATAATTATACATTACTGCATGGTGTAAGGTAAATTCTTAGCCCACTGAGTATTAGATAAGATACGATAGTTTGCTTTAGTTTACCTGGTGTGTCTGAAATCTAGGGTTTAGTACCCTACATAGACAGAGAAAGAATACAGCATCATAAGTGAGCTAGTCACTAGCTCCTAGTGTACTCTGTGGAAAGGCAAGAAGTAATAGCTTTTTTCAGATTACCTTGCTAAGCGTGTCATGTGCTCCGCGGAAAGTGAACTTTGTAATGGTCTTCTTTAGATTACCGTGACCATCTACAAGCAGTCTTCATCCCCCTCACTTTATCGCAAACTGCCCTTGCTTCATCCTACAGTACAGAGCCACACAGTAGCGTAACCACCACCTTCTCAGTTTTCTTACTTTTTTCTTTTTTTATTCTTAATCGTGATGGGGTTTTTTTTCTTTAAGAGATAGTGTGGTTAATGATCACTTATCTTTAGAGAAAAAAACAATTTTTAAGTAAAAATAGAGTTACTAAACGGTGAAAAACATTCCATATTTTTCAACTAGTGCTTTTATTAAAACGATGACATTTAGATTTAATGTAATTTTATGATATTGGATGTTTTCATTCTAAAAAGTTTTTCTAGAGCAACGTAAAAATATTATTTGCCTCAACAAATTGACATTAAATAATATTACAATAAAAAGTTTATAAATGAGATAATAAATTTTTTTTAATGTTTGATTGATAATGAAAGATTTATAATTATTAATTTTTTATTACCATTCAATATGTACCATGATAACAAAGACTTCTTATAACAAAGACTTTAAGTTGGGTTCTTTAAAGATATTCAAGTGATGACACGATGATAGATCAATTCAAGCAAATTGTTCCCGTAAAATGCGATTCAAGATTAAGCAATTTTCTAGATAGTCCACGTTGGCAACACAGTCGAGGACGAATTGCGTCATTGGCGAGTCTAGGTCGACTCATAAAGAGATAAGGGCATAGTCTTTGCGTTGTCTTCTTTCCCGTTTATAGAGCCTGGAATTTCGTTCAATTCCGTTCCATCTGGCTCGAGACGCACTGCGATACTCGGAGAAAAATCATGACCGCTGGGGTTTGTTTTATCCCTCTCATTCATTTTATCTCGATGGTGCTTTGCTATATTTCTTTACCCTATGGGGCCACCAATAAAAATATTTTTTCTTTCTTTCTATAATTATACTGTCATATCTTCATGTTTGATCACAACTATCAATTGTTTCATAAATCGTCAAATGATGCTTAATGTTTTTTGATAAACTCATTAGAATAATTCAGAACTGGACAATTGTTGGATTGATCCAATCAACTTCTTTTTTATGAACCTAGATAATGAAAGTTATTGGAAACCTGTTTAAACCACTCTTCTTACCAGGTCTAGGTTCTTGTCCAGGTCTGAAAAACAATTAGAATTCATTTTCTCTTTCTTTGTGTGTGTATTTTTTTTTAAATACCTAAAATATGAATAATAAAAAAGATGATTAAATTATTACAGGTGAAAACAAGACTAGAAAATCCAACTCGATATCATGTAGTGCAGAAGCAGAAGAATCAAGTGAGACAGTATCTTCATGAATCTTTTCGGTCAGTTGACGATCAAGTTTCACAGAGAATTACGAGTTCTAGTTATGGCAGTGATGGTGGAGACGGTAGTAGTGGCTTTACACCGATTGACACAGGATCATTGCAGGGACCTATGGTAGTGCAAAGTGCTCCTCCGGGACCAATGGTTCATCAACCAGAACCACAACAACCCCATCTTGCCTCTTACCCACACACATCTTCACTACTATCTCAGGTATCTGGTGTTTCTGTCAGCCCTGATCCAACTAACGGAGCTATGTCTCCAGGACTTTCCAGTGTAGCTACTAGCAATTCAGAGGTGAGTTATATAATTATGTTACTTATACCAACTAACCAATGAAAATTGAAACATGTTTTTTGTTTTCACACTGCATACGTCTTTAATTATCAAGTTTATTTCATGCTCTTTTACTGTTATTTTTTTATCACTTTACAAATCAAACAGTTCTGAATATGCAAACGTTAAATCTAAAATAAATATCATTGTAGAACACTTGACGATTAGATAATATCTTTATTTTTAAACCATCGAATTTTCATTTTTACTAATATGCTATAATGAATCTGTTGATTTTGGTATTTAACATTTTATACTTAAAAAAAAAAAACAAAGTAAATGATTATTTTTTTCTTCAATTACTGTTTATTTTTCTTAACGTATATTAGTGCGGTCATTCATAAAATATTTGATTGTATGACGAGTGAAGATTAATTAAAAAATCATTCTCTAAAAAATACAAAGAAAGAGTAATTAAACATTATATGATCACTAATAAAGTACAATTATTGACCTCATGCTATAATCATCACCCTAATCAATTAAAAAAAATTAAAGATATAACAAATACAAGTTTTTTTAATTAAAAAGTTCAACGTACTGCCCTATTACATTTTCTCAGAAAAATATCTTCAATGTTTGTGAGAAAAAATATAGATGAACATCATTTTTAAAGTTAATCAAAAATACTTGGTAATTAAATTATTTTTATTTATTTCAATGAAATAGAATTATTCAATTAGATGTTCTTTTTCTTTTCTTTTAAATTAGTGATGTTTATATAAATATTGTTAAACATTAATTTAATAATTTTAAAGTTTAAAAAAAGATCAGTTTAAATGTCTTCATCTATTATGTTTTTGGTTCAACATGAATATTCTTTCTTTGTCTTTTCTATTATCTGTCCTTTGAAAATGAGACTCAACATAAATGATGTCGTCGCTAAAGCGTTAATCCCAGTTTCAACAGCAGTCTAATCGGATCGTTAAACATTCGGTATATGCATACCATGGACGACGAAAGTTTTCGAGACAAAATTTGATATAAAAATATCGTATGTAAAATAGTATTAGCTGCTAAATGACTTTGAATGGGATTATTCAATTTTCAGATCTTAAATTATTGTTAATAGGATTCATGGAAAATTTTTTCTCGTTACATTATTTTTTATTTAAAAAATAAAAAAGGACTATTTGAATTTAAATTTTTTTTTAAAAAGAAATTATTATATTATAATATTTTATTATATTATAAATGACATATCTGTCGTGAATTAAAAGTATTTAAAAATATTATTTATGGTTAAAGAACAAATTTGAGTGTAAACAGGGAAAAAATTTATTTTAGCCGCTTAACTAAAAGTCATGAATACACATTTAATGTTTGCGTCAGTTCAGCGAAACTACAATTTCCGTAATTCACGGTCTCTTGACATTCGCGTGACACCTCGTATTTCATGATCACCATAGTACAGTGTCTTACTATACGGAGAGAGGCACATTCATAAGAGAGTGCAGGAAACTTGTTCACACAGGAGTTTACGTACGTGCTTTGTTGACTTTAAAGTGTTTCTAGCGTTAGATGTTTAATAGTAAAGTAGAGTCCATCGGAAATATGGTTGCTCATAGATAGAAAATAGTTTTCCCAATAACTAAATAATATATGGAGTATTTCATTATAATGTATATCTGAATTTATTTTTAGTGAGTAAAATAATTCTAAACATAACAACCCATTTTATGACTAAGTAGTCTATCATTTGCTATAAAATATACTTTACATCTATCATTTATTTTATCATTAAAAAATATGGTTAAAATTGTATGAATAATTTTGTTAAAAAATACTAGTATGTGACATAATATTTTTTCGTTATTATACTTAGTTTTCTTATGATATGTTGTATGTGTAGTTGTTTTTCATATTGTAAAAAATATTAATATTTAACTTGGTAAAAAAAATATTTTGTTTTTGAGAGCATGATTAATAACAGAATAAAAAACAGTAAAAGAAAAAAGCTACAATACCCTATCGCCTGAAGCATTTATGATCATTATTTGGGTCACATATGCATACTGGTATATAAAAAAAACAAGTCTGAAAAATATTCAATTTTTTATTTCACTTTACATGTCGATCATCGTCAAGTTTTATTTTTTTTTCTTATAAAAAGCAACCTATTGATTTGTTAAAAAGAATAATAAAATTATGATTCATGTTATAAAGTGAACAGTTTTTGCATTACATGCTTTATTTAATAATTATTGTTATTAAGAAATAATTTATTAAGTGGAAATAATTATTAAAAACAACTAATTACTACTAAGTAAATAATAATTTGCAGTATAAAAAAGGAGATATTGAAATTTGAGTCATAGGTGATAGGGAAATTTTGAAAATTTGAAATGTCATTTAGACTAATGAGTCCATTATAGAATGAGTAAATTGATAATGATGTTTGTATTAATTATTAGCTATCGGATACATTATGTATACTTCGAAGCTTCTAGATTTTTATCAATTTTTACATTATTGTCTTCTTACATTTCTCTTATCAAGATAAAACATAAATTACAACACCTTCGACATTAACCCAAATTCAATTCATTGTTGACTTTTAAATGAAAATGAGTTAAAATATATTCTCATCACATCAAATATCAACTGCTATGCCTCAATAATTTTTTAAACTGATTATATGAGTCATTAATCTATATCTATACATAGATAGAAATTTTTTTATGACCAATTACCATCAAAATATTTATTAAACATTAAATAATATATTTCTTTTTCATCAAAAAAATATTTCTAAAATATTTTTCAAACATTTAACATACATATAATAAATATATATTATTAAAATACTCCAAAATACGTTCAATTACAGTATATGGTTTTCTCACCATCATTTAAATTATTCAAATAATTATATAAATTATGTATATATGTGTGCGTGTGTAAAACGATTTCGAAAATATATCCAATATAATAGTAGAATAGAATGTATACTAAGGAATGATTGTGACACACCGATCAGTATGATTGTTCGTCACAGAATGAAAGATTAACTACAATGAATCGACGCGAGACATTAATGTGCTCACTCTTTGACTGTTATATAATCAACGTTGTCGACATCTGCCTTTATTTTCTTTCTGCTTTACTACTCGGCTTCTTCGTTATTATTATTTTCTTTTTTTTTTTTTAGCCATACTCAATTTATTATTAAATTCCGGCAGTATATAACTGAGGACAATAATTTTGTCTACATGCATTTATATTTCTCGTCACTCGCTCGATAAATGTATTTTGGCACATATTATGGTGCTATGATTAATGGGACTGACGATAAATTGAAATTTTGAAGAATATTATTATTTGGGTGTATATTTATAATAATTGTTAAATAATACAAAATTAATAATACTGTTAATTTGTGAGTAATTAATTAATGATTAACATGATAAAAAAATGGAATTTTATAAGTGTCTGTGTATTACGGTAATTTCTTTCAAATTCATCGTGGAGAAGATTAAGTGGTGGAAATATACACAGAGTCAAACGGTGTGACAACGTTACAAGGTTTCAGTCGACTACAATCGAGCGCACTGACTGGATCGATCGTCTAGTGTATTTTTATTTGATTTCATTTTCCTGTAGATCAATTGTTATATTACTAAATTATTTCAAATTTAACCATTTTTAAAGTGAAGTAAATAATTAAACATTCAAATGTTGACTGAAAATAATTTATTAATTAAATAAATTTAATATATTTGAATTATAAATGAAATCAGTTTATAGTTGATGTGTTGTGTGATGATCGATTGTTGATTAAATATTTGATAGATGGAATGAAATAGTGGTGGAAGATCCCAAGATATTGATGAGTATTTAAAGAGTCACGACAAGATGCTCATTTTATAGTGTCGAAAAGGCAAAAGTTTAGTACACCCCTAACTTTTGATAGTGATCTTGTTTCACCTTCGTGAGAGCAACGATTGATTGACGATTGGGATCAGGGACATAAAACAAGTTACGATCAGTTCCTATAAAATAGTGTATTTTTGTTATCCAAATAAACGTACAAGAAGTATTGAAATAAACACAATTATATTTAGTGTCTTTGGAGAAATTAACGTAAAGTTTTAATGAGCATTCAACGGAAGAAAGGAAAACAATTTCCAATATTTCGTTTTTTTTTTCTGCTCAAGCTGAATCTATTGAGGCAATAATTTTCTCATGATCACAACCATAAAACATTGTTTACTAGTCTACAACTGAATTTGCCAGAAACTACAGTATTGGGTAACCACAACCTTGGTTCTTGGTTTGTAATTGTTAAGACTAGATAGTTGGTGAAACGTTGCAAACGGGAAAACACACAAGGCTGCAAGTCGAGGCTTGAGGATATTACCAAGTACAACAGACGCAAGAAGCAACGTGGAAGAAGAGAATAAACAATAAAGTGAGAAGGAAAATAAAGCCTTAGGCTCAACTCTGCAATGAATCCGTTTACCTCAGGAATGGAATTCAAACTGCCGTGAAATGTGTAGTGTGTGATCTACGTAATTACATGTACAGAAAGAGAATGAAAGTTAACTTGGACCTGTTCAAAGAAATTCCAGACTGACTTATGTGCTAAAACAAATTTCATGAACTTGTCAATTAAAGAAAATAAAATAAAACGTAGGAAAGGTTCAAGTTCTTCTTGACATAACGAATTGGACAGTGGTCTCTTGCATGTCCGTTCTCGTTTTCGTAGAATTTGGACCTGGTGAGAGTTGGACACGTATTTACACAAGTACGCAACCGGCAAGCAACGAGTGCGCGCGTGGTTTCGATCCACCGAACTCAAACGTGCCCTGAATTTTACATACATGAATCTATCTTTCGTCTGTGGAATATAGTATGGTATTCGGCCAAGCGGCAAACTCGTCGCGACTGGCTCCGGTCTTTCTGTGCGCTAGATACGGATTTTCGATTCACTCAACGACTCAAGAAAAGAGAGATTGTCT